AAAAATAAAATTACGCCGCTAGTTCCGGTATAATCGCATTAATTTTTAATTAAGGTCGATGAGGAGAATTCACCAAAGCACCTCTAGAAATTGAATAACTTAAACTAGAAATTACCGGCTTGATTAGGGTATTAAGTGAGGTACTACATTCTGCAGTTTATACTTAGAACCTTTCAAACCTGTGACGTTAGTATCCACGAAGACTTTAATTTCGAACGAAAAATGGTTTGCCTTCTTAGTGCCAATTATTTCTGATTGAAAAGATCCATCTATAAAGTTACCTTTCTCTCTCGCTCTGAAGTAAGTTTTCATGCATGGGGTCGGACATATATAATTATGCTTAATCTATGTTTTATGTGTTTTACGATAAAGTCATATGGATTTTGTATGTTAACAATGCCTGTGATATGTTGTGTAGAGGGCTGCAAAGAGAAAGCACTAATCTTGTTTATGACTAACCAAAATTTAGGATTTACATTTACTTGACGAAAGTTATATGAAACATAATTTGAAAACACACCTAACAAGAGAATGGTATTCTCTGGTTGATTTTTTTGAAAAATGGTAAGTGCATATTAATTATAAATAATGTTTGTGTCTTTTATCCACTTCAAAAATAGTATAGTAGTACTGCAGGATTGCAGGATTAATTTAGACCTAAAACCTTTATAAACGAAATTGTTTTTTAGGTAATTTTTTGTATATTGTTTGCTAAAATACAAGGTTTTCAAAAAGTTTTGTTCTTTGTTTTATATTTAAAAGTTTACATTACAAAAAATAATATCCCTGGAGTGAAATTATCTGACATTTCTAAATTCTATAAGCAACGCGATACAATATAAGTTTTATTTAGAAATCACCAAATGGGGTCAAATACAAAGAGTTAGCTATAGTACGTCTTAAACCATCGATAAGTAATAAAAAGTACTTTGATTGGTAACATTAGTACATAGGCACCTTAAGATAAATTTTTGGTCGCCCTGTATAAGATGGGAAGGTTTTATAACTGAAATATTTCGCTGATATATTTTAAATATTTCTTATGTATTTGAGAAATCAAAGATTTTAAATTTAAAAATTAATCATAATAGGAATAGCGTGAATAACCCTGTATATTTTGTTGCTAATATTTACCTTAAATAATTTCTTCTTAAGTGCGATTAGTTCATACATAAAATACTGAAAAAAAATCTTTCTGCAAAATTGACCGAGAAATAAACGCATCATTTTTTATGTTTTATTGATGGTTTGAAATGGTTGATGGTTGAAAATATGATTTAATTTCAACTTTATCGTATTTTATTTTTCTTTGAAAAAAAAAATCCATATACGAGTTGTTATTAACTCATTAAAATGAATAATCAAATAACTTGGTTGGACGTTTTAAATGTTGTTTGCTTTTGTTCGATACGATTATGTGGGTCGTCTGGATTTAATAGCGAATGTGCATGGGGGTGACTGCGGAAGTTATCGATTCGACGCCCCCAGGAGTGCATCATTCCCAGCAACTTATAAAAGAAAAAGAGCCCTTTGCTCTCTTGTTATTTATAATATGAGGTTGATTTATTTTTTGTTAAGATAATAGAAGTATGCCATTTATATTTACATGGTTTTAGTGAATTCAGTAGCGAGTGCTCTGACGCAGGAGGAGGACTGATCGCGATTATTAGAGCATGGATGTATTCAAAACTAAATATGATTGTGCGTGTGATACTGCTCAAAAATTGAAAAAAAAACAAAGGAAGTATGATAATTCAATGAAAAAATTTATATAAATCAAATAATAAAATATTTTTTACAAATAAATTTACAAATAATACTAATAATTTGTTGGCATTTTAAAAGCCACTGGAGAGGGTTATAGGATAAATTGTCTTTTCATTCGTTTATAATAATTAAATTAAATTTCGGAAAAAGTACTTTTTTTAGGAGACACTGTCTGATGGGTTGCTGTATAACCTTAAATATAAATATATCAAATTTTCGATGTGTCATCGGAAACTATGCTTATTAGTCAAGATACAAAGCTGCCGCTATCATCAGCACTTGGAGTTTCTGAGCTACGAGGAAAAATTAAAAATATGAGAGATATTTTGTTTTTTTTTGTATTTTTCTTTGCCACTTTTCGCCTGAAATGGTTATAAACACTATAATCCGACTAAATCTTAAATAAATAAATACCTGTCAAGGCAAAGAAAAAAAACTTAAATTTTAGCTTGCTTACGGGCACAAATAAAAAACTTTCTATATGTAGTATTTTTCTAAAAATATTTAGAAAGTCACTTAGTTTTTTCTGTAGGATCCGAAATTCTAATAAAATACAAATGTGATGATCTGCTTCAAATTCCAATGTGGCCATAGGTATACTATGTTCCTTTTCTTAGTTTACGTTTTAATAGTAGATCGCCCTGATTTTTTTTATGAGTAAAGCAGCTGATGTAATTTTACATATTGTCATTTTTGGTTAGTAGAAAATTCATACAAATTTTTAATTTCAAGCTTGGTTAGGATAAGGATAAGCCGCGATCCAAACTCCCTAATCTGCATCGTGCAGGTCTGGCTTTCAGACAATGCACAATGGCAGGGGGACTGAATAATTGCCAGACTTAATCAAGGACCGCCCATATTCACCGTTTTCGCGTGATATACAGCGGTATTGCGTAATAATCATATTTACGTTTGCCATCACAGGCGAGGCGTGTCGTAACTGGTACGTTATAACAGCACGGGTAATTGCGCCCTCGAAATTATAACGATTACGTATGAAACCCCCGGAAATGCAACGCGGGAGCATTCATTTCTCTAAATTAGATTGCTACACACAATATAGGGCTGTTTCCTAGGTTCAGTTTACTTTTTTAACAACTTATAGATCTTCATTACACAAACAACTTTTTCAAATACAATGTTCTCTGTAGCTCAAAAGTATTGAATTATTGCATTTTACGATTACTAAGTACGGACCTGTACTAGAATTTTACCGAGTCTATTTTTTCGGTCGGTCGGGTCAGAGAAATGATTTGAAGATGCAAATTAACGTAAGAAACAAAATGCCCCTTTCTACAAGCGTGTGCAATGAGTAATAATTAGGTGTATCTGCCTTTATTTAGCCACAATGAAGGTTTTTATTTTTTTTTTAATTTTATTTCGAATTGCTAACTAACATTGTATGCAAAGTACTTCGGTTCTACATAGCCAATTAGCCAAAATATATGAAAATTTGATATCATAGTACAGATGCAATGAAAATTAGTGCAACTTTATATAAGATACGAATATTTATATATAGTGGTCTAAATATTTTCATTCAGGTAACGCAAGTTAACCTAATACAATCGAACTTCTATAAGTCGAACAGCGATTTGACACATGAAAATTTCGAGTTATCAAGACTTCGAGTTATCAATAAAAACTACAAATGCATGTACTTTTTTGTGAATGAACATTTATTCATTCATTTTTAAAAATGGGTTATATAAATGCCCTAATATCTATGATTTTTGAACAAAAAACGAAAATTATGAAATAGTAGTATATATGTATGTATGTATTTACATAATATATGTACATACAAATGTATTGCATATGTACCCAGTATATATTAACATAGTATGTATGTACATATTAAAGTTTACTCTTTCACTGGAAAAAAGTCAGTTATTTGTGACTGACGACCGGATTTCTTATTTTGGTTTTCAACAAAAGCTTCAATTTTATTTAAACAATCATAGAGGAAATCGGTTGTGTATTCACTGGTTTTCAAATAGGAACGCAAGACAATCAACGAATTTTCAACCAATTCATTTGAAGGTGGTTGCTGAGAATCATCTTCCAATTCCCCCTCCATCGTGTCACTTTCGCAGTCATCTTCGATGTTTAACTGTACCGGTTCGGCTCTGCAAGACTCGATAATATCTTCATCAGTAGGAAACTCTGAAGTAACAATATCCTCATCCACATGTATAAAATCGTTGATGGTGCTACCTTCTGCTATACCTCTAATGTTTGTCGAAGCTTTAAACTCGATTTCTATTTGGATTTCGTCTTCAGTCTTTTCTTTCAGGCGTTCACTTAGGAAAATCAAAAGAATCTCATCTTCTTCTTCCCATTCAGAATGCTGACCAAAACCGGCTTTTTTAAAACAATTGGATATTGTTTCAGGCTTAACGTCGATATTCCATGCGGTAGTTATGTCGTCAACACAATCCATTAGTGTAACGTTATTGTTTTTTTTTCTTCGAAACGTTCCATTGAGGTGATGACTAAATGTTTATTTTTCAAAATTGTAGACACTGTACTTGCCGAAATCCCATACTTCACAGCTACATCTTTATTTTTTAGCCACTTTCCACTTCTTTTATAACCTTGAATTTTTGATCAACAGACCAAGCTTTTAATGTACATATCAACAAATGCAAAAATCCAAAAATATCTTTAATATAATGTGTAAATTGAATAGGGGCAGTATTTTTCACTTAGTATTAACTAGTAAGTCATACAAGTGAACTTAGCAAGCACAAAAACTAAACTGCTTGCATAGATACGTTGAAAAGACAGGTTAAGATCGGTCGTAATTAGGGGGTTCCCCGAGAAAATTCGACTTATCGAAGTTGGCACCAAATGTTTCGTTCGAGTTATCAAGATTTTCGAGTAATCGAAGTTCGAGTAATCAAGACAAACTAACACGCATTTCCTACTTTTGACGCTATTGCCAACTAATTTGGTTCGACTTATCAAAAATTCGAGTTATCGAAGTTCGACTTATCGAAGTTCGACTGTACTTCAATAATAATAAAATGTTTAAATAATATGAACAATAATTGTTTTCCTCAAAAATTATTGAGGTTACTAAGTACAGGACAGTACATAACAATTGAACATAACAATTTTGCAAACTAATTGAAGCCTGTACTAAAACTTTCATTAGTGTTCAATGCGGAATCACAAATTTGAAGTTACTAAGTCAGGACATTAAAAAAAAATCGATTTTTGATTTACAGGGGTGATTACGGTGGGGTACAGAGGCAGTTTTCAATTCGGCAAGGATGGGCTGGCGGACGTCAAATTCCGGAAACTGTCACGGATCTTGGTGAGCGGCAGGGTGGCTCTTTGCAGGGACGTATTCGGCGAAACTCTCAACGAAAGCAGGGATCCTGACCACGGACAATCAGAGCGCTACACTTCTCGCTTTTTTCTCAAGCACTCGTTTTTGGAGCAGGCGTTCGACATGCTCATCGAACAAGGATTTAAAATGGCAAGTAGTATTGTGCCGTTCTTCGTCGTGGCTTGCTACGTGCCCAACTTTTTTTGCAGTCTATTCAATGTTATAAAATTCTCATAATTATAAAAAAAATAGTTTTAGTCACTTAAGAAATTAAAAATTATAATAAGCAATAAAATTATAGCCAATTTCACAAAAATTTAGTTCCGCAAGTGTTTTTTATCTGTGGTATTTGCCTTTTAAGGAATGGAGATAGAGAGCATTTATAACAGAATGGGAGTTTTTAGTATATGAAAAAAGCGTTCTGCGCGCGGTAGTCAAAAGTAGATTCTATTTTCATTCATCCATTATTGAACTCTTTACCCATTTAACTTTTATTGTTTCCCGCGTCACTGCCGTCAGCCTGTTGGATACTCGAAAGTCAAACAATTAGAGCCCATCTGTCGCGTTTCTGTCGATGCATATTTAAATCGCTTCTGATTTATTTAATGTTGAAAGTTCGGTGCATTGATTCATGGCATGAAATTTTCAACGCGTCGAAGCGTTTTTCCGTTTTCTCCTGCAAAATACTTGTTCGTTTCGCAATGCTTTTTGCAGTGGCACTAGGAGATAAAGTTTAAAAAAAATAGTATGGACGAGGTTTGTAGTATGCTGTGGCCACACACACACACACACACACACACAGCTAATGAATAAGTCACTGCGTCACAATTGGAAAAACATATTCAGCTATATGATTTCAAATAAAGTGCCTGTTTTAAACAAATTTAAAACAAAAATCACGTTTTTTAGGGTAGTTGATTCAAATAAGAGTCTTGGTAATTTGGCAGTAAAGATTAGGGTTAATATTCTTCTGCTGCTTTATTATTATAGCTATATTTATGGCAAACTTTGTTATTATTAGGGACACTCGGTGACTTCCAGCAGAAAATTAACGGTTTGAGTAAATCGTCACTGGTCAATATCGAAATTTGAATTATTAGGTGTTATTCGAATGCTACACATGCGTTTAGGACTAGATTTTCAACCTATTTGATACGTCATACACATAGACATGACGTAAAAGAACCCTCGAACCTATATAGAAGCTGTCACCTGCAAACTAAATCACGGGATCGACATAGAATAATGGGTCATTCGAATCGGACTCGTTATAGCTCTTGAGGTTATTCAGACACATTCGAGCCCTCATTGTCCAGTCAGTTACAGGGTTTTTCAATCATTATTACCCTGAACGCGGGCAATTAAATTTATTGAAATGCTATAATTAAATATTGGGCTTTTTTGTTTTAAATGTTAGTACGAAGGCTAAATAGTAGCTATTAAAAGTTATATAAAGGGCGTTTCCAAAGAATAAAAGCTCATATAAACAGAGGTCGTATAATAGTAGGTTTTTAAGGGAGTAAAATTAGAGAAAAAAATCGTATTTTTATGATTTTGAAAAGTCACCCAGCTATTTCTGCGGTTATTATTTCTTTAAAACCGCTCACCACATCAAAAACAAATAAACAATACATTTTGTGCTAATGTCAATATCAAGAGAAAATGAAAATAAACACATATACATTTCATTTCATTGATTTCCTAAAAATCGTACATTTAACTGCTTTTATGTAGAAATATACATTGCTTGCTTGTTGCTGTATTTTATAATCAAAAACTATCTGGGTCCTGTGTGTTCAAATAATCAAATAAATATCGTCGATCTGATTGACTATCCAGAATTTGAAAATTAGGTGTTTTACCAACGTCAAATGGACCCATTTGGCACAATCGCGTCTATCAGGACCTGGATGATGTTGTTTCGTTCCATTATGTTGCTTAGATTAATGGTCAATGTATGTCAAGTATCCAAATGATTGAACCGATTTCGAGAATCCTATTTCGGCGACGATCGTTCTACATAGAAACTTTTCATTCATTTATCTAAATTTTCTACTACCTTTTCCAAATACCGATTTTAAAGAGCCGCAGAAAAGTTAGTTGTTCGCCGTCCGACGCTTTATAATTATCAAATGCCGAGTCAGAAATGTTCAATTTATATTAATCCCTCGGGATTAATTATGCAAAGTGTTTGGAAGCCGCTATTTTAAAAATATTCGTGTAAACGCCTCATTAGTAATCCTGCGGAATGGCAAGGAAACAATCGGGAAAACGCGACAAGAATTATGGCCGATGACGGCGGAGCAGAGCATTTAAATGAGAAGAGAAACAAAGAAAAATTATCGCAGCCCATTTAATCCTGCGGTGTGACTGTGCGTCACATAGAATTCGACTAACAGTTTTCTACTGCCTCTGTAATAATTGATCAAATATTACTTCCTTCTCTTGCAAAAAGAACTTTATTCGAAATAATTTAAGACCAGAAATTATGCCTGCCGATTTTTTTTATTTCTAAAATATATTTTGATTTAGGCTTACAGTTAAAAAAAGCAACTTATTTACCACTTAGTCGGAGCAGAAAGTATTTGGACAAAAAACGTCCAGTGTACAAATCCTTAATGTTTTTATTTTTAAAGATAATTATTATTTGTTTGCTTTTCGTGACCCCTAAACAGTAAACTGAGATGGTTCAGCCGATCGTGATTTTGTGAAGCAAAATTTATTTCGAGAAAGAAGGTAGTAATGGAGACTCGTATCTTTGTCATACACGTTAATGTGTTTTTGTGGCAGATAAGTGCTCTGGTATTTCTCAATTTCTCTACCCGTTTGAGTTTTTTGAGGGCAAGTCTTCTGCATTGTTGTTTTTGACAGGGACCATTCTGTGTGTGTAGAAACATTTTTTAAAATTGTAAATTCTTATATTGCATGATATAGGAGCTGTAAAAGATCCTCCAAAAAAAAAGTTTTTTTTGAGTAACTGAAGCACCTATTGCATATAACAAAATCTAATTGTGTTTTATAAATAAATAATAACTGAGTTATTTATATTTCCATTTAGTAACGAAAATTGTTAATTTGGTTTGTCTTTTATATTATTTAGTAATAAAAAGTAATTCATTTTTTACCCATTGATTTAGTTATAAAAATATATTCTTTGAAGTGAATATATTTAGGTATTTTAAGTCTTTTCTGAAATAAGACTGCTGAAAAAACACATATTGCTATTTTCTGACCAATTCTTTTTTAACGTTGAAAAAGACAAATATTTTGAATCTCGATGTATATCAATTGGAATGCGCTTTTTTCAGAGAATTTTTAAGAAGTTAGGTTACTATAAATTTCAGTTTCTTGTAAGTATTTTAAAAAAAACATTATTTGATCGCTAAATAATTATGTATAAATTTTTGGAAGGAACTATTTCGGCAAATAAAGTAATTAAACAATGAAAATACCGTCTCCTACCATTTATGTAAATAAGCCAGAGAAGGACAAGAATACCTCACTGTTTAGTTTAGATCGAGTTGGCTCCCTCTAAAACTCTTTCAAAATGCGAATCCAAACATCAAAATAAAATATCATTTCCTTATTGGTATCCTTCAAAGCCTGAATTAATTTAAAACGGAAACTTCCTTTTTTCACTACATTATTCTCAAGCGCGCTTTGAACCTGTCAAATCAAATACAAATTTGATTAAATTGAACTGGTGGCCATTTCCCTATTAAAACGTTAGGTGTTTCATGGCTTCAGTAGTAAGTGGTGTTTTTTTATGTGATGGTGTTTTAGGTTGGCAGCTGCGGCTCGGGTACTGCAGGCGGTGCGGGCGAGCTGAAACCCGGAGTCGACACCGAGGAAAACCGCTGGAATCATTACAATGAATTTGTCTTCGTACGAGAATAAGTCCACAGCGAGGACCTCGTACCAAAACGACCTTTTACGATCGAATTTTCGCGCATACGTTGCCAAGTAAAGTAACTGTGAAAATCCATAGGGTTATGAAGTTTTTGAATCGATTTTGTTACATTTTAAGTGTATACATGAGATCGTAGTTTCTTTAGGAGACTCGCTATGTAATTGTTTAAAAAATAATAATATTCATATCCGGTCGTCACCATATAGCAAATCGACCTTGTAAAGAAATTTTCCATAGAAAATATAAATAGTGTTGATTTTGTAGAGTTTCATTTTCTTTTACCATCGAGTATCGTATGAGTTTAAAGATTGAAACTTAACCATAATTTCCTCCTCACCGCTATTGGTGGCTGGCGGAACTACCCAAAAACTGCTGTCGACATTGGGTGCGTACATATAGCTACTAGATACATGTAGAGGCCCTGTCTAGGCTGAGAACACAGGAATTTATTGAAAATATTGAAATGGGCCGTTTAATGTACTAAGTCACCAATAGAATCTACCGGCGTTGAACCAACATGGTCGCTGACATTTCGTCAATTGGACGGGTCGCAGTTTAGCAGCGCTCGCCAACTTGTCGATCGCGAGCTACCGGTAGCTCGCGGAGGCAATTCTGGTGGCTCTCACAAGGATTTTAATTTTAAAAACACAAACTGCAAAAATCAGAGAAGCTTCAAAGTTCCACAAAAAAATCTAATTGTCATAATATTCCGCGTTGGTTGCTCACTGTTTATTCCAAAATTAACAAAGTAGCTCAACACATTGAAGAGGTTGGCGACCACTGGTTTAGATGAATCATTGTTATTTAGTATTCCGGAGAAGGTCAGCTAAGGTATTAACTAAACAGAGTATGTAACAAGATAATGCAAACATAATTTAGTATACGAATTTTACGAAATTCTATGATCGGCTAATCTGAGGATATCTATTACCTAGCCTAGCAGATGTATACGAGAAGCAGTTTTTAGTCATGGACTTCTTAATTTTAGGTATTTCATACTCACAATTGAAGCGGGTTCCACGGAAATGAATGCAATTTCTACAAGTCAGTTTTTTCAACAAATATGAAGGGTATCCGGGTTTTAAGTAGTTTGTGAATTAAACAAACTAAATGTATTTCTTCTCGGCTCGATATATTTAACCATTTTAAATCGTGAAGTTTATGACGAGATCTCTTTATTTAAGGTTATAAATAAATAAAATACAGGAATTCTGTACTTTTTGTAATTTATATTTTGTCAGAACATACAAGCGGGGTCTATAGACAAAATTACAGTAATTTAGATGACTCAAAATCAGTGCTTCAGAGAGTTTTTTTTATTTTAAAGCTTTTATAAATGTTGCGGAGATTAATATAAGCCTTTGGGCCAAATTTGGAAAGCTGCGTACGAAATCTGAGTTGATTATCAAAGATGATACCCAAGTTTTTACAGTCGTCAACAGCTGGTATTTTAACCCCATTTATAAATATATCCAAGTTTAGGGCGGCCCAATACTTAGCGGACCCAAAATATATTAATGCAGACTTATTCGGATTTAATTTCATGCCATGATCATTTGAATATTTAAAGAGCAATTCCAAGCATTTATTTAGTCTCTTTGTCGCTTCCACTGCAACAGACCGGGAAAAAGAAATATGTATTTGCATGTCATCAGCATACCTCTTACTATTGAACTCACTAAAGCAACCCGACATATCTGCTGTATGAAATAAAGAGGTCCTAATAAGGAGCCTAGAGGGACCTCCATGTCAACTTCTAATCTAATCTAATGTTGTCAATGGAAAGTAGCTGATATCTGTGATCCAGATTCTTACGAATCAATTGAATTGTATTAAATTTAAATCCATAGTATTTTAACTTGGTACAGAGCATAACATGATGAATGGTATGGTATGAAAAGCTTTACTATAATCTAATAAGACCAAAGTCGATGTTTCCCCTTTATTTGCGGCTGAGAGAATATCAGCCAAAACTTTGAGCAAAGTCGTAGCCGTACTGTACCCTTTGAGAAATCCTGACTGTAATTTAGGTAAAAGGTTGTTATTCAGTTTTTCAAATACTTTAGAAAGCACTGGCAACAGACTAATAGGTCGATCTGCGACGTTGTTAGGCTTGCTCACTTTTGGTAACGATATAACCTCTGCTATCTTCCACTGTAAAAATACAGCTTTCAATACAAACATTAAAAAGTTGAGTAAGAATAAGCAGTATAGTTGGGCAGCAAAGTTTTAGCATTTCTCGTGTGATTCCATCCATACCGTGTGCATTGGATCTCAATCCCTCCATTGCTCAGACAACTCCCTCCTCGTTTACCGGCTCAAGTTCAAATCTGACATACTGAATCAACAAAATATTGATTAGTGAGCTCAGGATTCCTCAGATATTGCTATATATTACTAAAGTGTGTTAGGTAGGTTTAAAGAATAAATTTTTTACATCATAAACAAATTAATATTGAGCATAGTGTTGTAGAAGGCGAAATGCAAAACATGTCATTTTAAGTGGGTCTACTGCAAAAACCGATAACTTAAAGGATATTTTTACAAACTAGCAAAATTAAGTATCCATAAATTGCCTTGCTTGCAGTTGTAAGTCGGGTTTGTCGCTAAGTTACAAACATATTGCTAAAGAATAAATTTTGTACATGAAAAACCATTAGGATAATTTTTATTTAATGTCTCTTGAGTGACATCCAAAAAAGGGTTTTTCCTATTCATTAATTCATTCTAGGTCCATTTTAGTTTGACTCGAGGAATTAAAACGCCATGCAACAAAAATAAGTTTAATACATCTGAAACGAACACCCAAAAATAAATACACAACAAAAGAATCAGTCGCTTTTTGATATTAGATCTTGATCGTCGATATGCTGGAATTAGAACTGGTCCGGAATATTTCCGTGGAATAGTGGTGAGCGTCGTAGACGGTGGGGAACAGTCTGAATCCCAAATTCTTACAGTATTCCGGATCGCATTTGGTAAGCATTTCGTACACGTGCTCTACAAATAACTGTCATGAGGTTCTTTAGCCCGTAACCGTCCTGAAACTTACCTTTACTGCCCGCTATGTAAACGGGAACGCTCAGCTTCATAAAGCTTTCGATAATACTTTTTAGCATCGTCACTCCCGAAGGATCGATGTAACTAACCGAAGAAAAGTCGAGTATCAGACACCTCAAGTCCGTGTTCACTTTGTGTTGCACCCTCTCGAGCTTGGTCGACAAGGACTTCTTCGACTTTTCTTCCGCCTGAAAAGACATCTGTCAAAATACCATCCCAGATTGTCCGGGTAAAATAAAGTTTAAACATAATTTCCTGCTTGACAGCTGGAGAAGGTAAACAAAATCTCTGGATTCATAATAATCGTAGTCCGGTCCGGACTTTAACTTTTCCTTTTGTTTTCTACGAAAATAGTCTGTCTAAATTGTAATAGTGAATTTGTTTGGAGACACTTAATATAAGAAAAAAACTTTTCTTGTTTGCTAAGGTTTAAATACGATTTCCTGCTTAACGCTATTGGCAGCTGGCTTGAGCTTTTGGTTCATAGAAAAATAGTCTGTCTAATAATTGATTATTCAAGTATTATTCAATTCAGTTATTCATTTTTCATGACAAACACCATGATATCATGATTGAATGAAGCTCAACGCAGGGCATTTCTTAAAAACCGTAGCAAACTATCATGAATTTTCATAAATCAAAAAGTTGTCGACAATTTTCTAAATCATCAAAAAATGAAAAACGTCGTGTTAGTATATTTCAGTTGACATAGCGAAGAAGTTGTCACGATTAAATATCAAAAATCGGACTCATAATGTACATATTGATTTTGCTTCATCTAGTTTATTACGGTGATTTTGTGCCAAAATTGGTGGTTCTTTAACTCCCAGTGCTCCAGTGTGTTTAGTAAGTTGTCAACGGAGTGTACCTTAAAATGGTTATCATCGCAAAGATTTAAAAAAGAGAAAATCTTTGGATTATATGTAAAGTAATTGATAATTGCTAGCAATTACAAATTGTTAACAAAATAAGGGTTTGTAAATTATTGGTCAGAAACTCATTATTTTATATTATTAGATAATAACTTATAAAGCAGTTTTCACCTTACATTTTTAAATATTATTAAGGAACACCCTGTATAATGTAGTTGCTGTTTAATGAACCAGTCCATAGTGCGTATTTCTCTTCGATCTTTGATTGATCTCTTGAGTAGTATTAAAAAAATTGTCATAACGCCTTCTTTGAAATTGAGAGTACTTTGAGTGGCCAAAGGTCGTAGGAAAAAAGGGGTCCTCGATTACATATTCGATTCATTCTAGACGCATTCTAGTTTTTTTTTGCTCCCAATAAATATTATGTCCTAAAGATTTTTCTCGCCACTGATAACTTCGTCGCTACCAATCATTGTTGTCAAGAAAATCGAATAATAATACCACTTCTGGGGTCGCTAAACGAGAGGCCGTGAACAGTTTCCGATAGCCCGAACATTCGCTTTTAGCCATAGAAACGACAATCGAATTTGATTCGACAAGCTTCGTGAGAAATCAGAGGCGGTCTACAAATGGTTCAGTAGAGGCAATTCACAGTGCGAAATATAAATAACGATTTTTTAAAGACATATTTTCGAAGAGTTATTTTTTTATGGGTTTTTATGTTCGCCTAAAGTTCGTAATAGTATATTATGCAACAAGTGTGATTTATTTGGGACGAGCGGAGCGAGTGTTTAATAAACGAAAATATCCGATTGCTCCCAAACCCGTGCGGTAAGATCAAGGAAATGTCCGATGTATCTCGGATTCGTGAAAACGAAACTGACGTGGTAAAATGACGCTTCCCGCACGCTAGATCGGTGTATAACTAGGTATTTTACAGAAGGGAGTAGAAAATAGTATATTATGCAACAGCATTTGAGTCACAAGTTTATTTGGCGAGAGCGGAGCAAGTGTTTAATAAACGAGTGAGTTAAAAAGTTTACCGAACGTGTTGCATACTATACTTTTTCTACGACCGTTAGTTTTTGAATGCATTGTTGTAAAATAACACGAATACATTCGCTGACATGACCGTCCGATATGACAAAATGTCAAATTCAAGCCGAGCGGTAAAATCTCCGAAAACACCATACTGCTCCCAAACCCGTGCGGTAATATCCCGGAAATGTCCGAAGGGGCTCGGATCCGTGGGACAAGAAACTCATATGGTAAAGTGTAATTAGTTATTTTACAGAACGGATTAGAAAAAAATAATTTTGGTAATAAGTCAATGTAATAATGATTGTTCAACCGCGCATTGCATTTTGAAGAAGGTTAATATTGGCAAGCAATTTTTTATTTTTACTATTTGTTTTTGTTTTTAACATCCTCTGCATTCCAATGACTAAAAAATCCCCCAGTGTTATAATTCACAAATTATTTTAACAGCCTGTATAAATAGGTAAATGAGTAAATATTGTTAAATTTATTGAGAGGACTTGTTATTTGTTTGGTTCCATTCACGCACTCACTACTCACCCTGTCTAAATATTTAGCGAGTTTTGCCCTGTAGATGACCTCTTTCTGCGGATTGACCCCCACCAAGCGTATCAGATCCGCTTTAAAGATAGATTTGGTGGCGAAGTTAAGTCCACCCGAGTAATGGAAAATTTTCATCCCTTTAATTTCTTTTGCCTGAAACCGATTGGTTAATTTAATTGTTACGCGTTCAAATCAAATCCTCCTACCCCTTTATATCTGGTTATGTCCAAGTAGAAGTCTGTGTTGGGCACTTCGCCCAGAAGGCAGGTGTACGGCCTAAAGCTAAGCACGAAAATGGTAAATAGCGACATCGCTATGCCGATACCTAATCCGATGTCGATCCCGATGAAAACCACAGACAAAAACGTCGTAGCCCAAACCAAAGCGTCGATCCTGCTCAGTTTCCAAAACTTGAGAAAATCGAGGGTCTGCAGCAACATGCCCTTGAGCGCGACGACTATAACGCTTGCTAGCACGGCCTGCAAATTGGTGTGAAATTTAGGGTCGTTTTGGAACGTGATAGACTGTACCTTTGGAAGTAATTCGAAGAACGGGCCAATCCACAACAACACCGCCAGCAATATGGCGCAGGACACTATAGAGGCTATTTGAGACACGCCACCGACAACCTGCTGTATCAGAGACCTTGAAAGGGACGCGCATACCGGCATGCAGGAGAAGAATGAGCCTACTATGTTGCCTGCGCCCTGCGGAAGATTCCAATTAAATTATTTAATGTGACAAGTTATGAACGCACTCACCATCGCTAGTAACTCTTGGTTGGCGTCGACCTCGTAATCCAATTTCTGGGCAAAAATTAAAGCCATGGACAAATTGATCGTGTAGGAGACGATCGCTATGGTGATGCCGTCCACCACCATGCTCGACATTAACCCAAACGGCGGAAGGTGGGGTTCGGGTATGCTAGAAGTGGACAAAATTAGAGGGCCCCTGCTCAATTATCTGCTTAAACAGTTCTTACCCTACTGGTATGTCCCCAACAACCTTGATTCCGTACGAGTCGACCAAATAACAGTATTTTGAAACCACCGTGCCTACCACGACGGCTACCAACTCCATAGGAAACGGAATTGGTGACTTCTTGGCGACTATAGGCTTCAAATAATCGTTATTGATCACTGACGTAAAAATCGTTACAGCCGATATAATCAAAGCGGCCACGTTTACTGAGGAGATTCTCTCGAATACGGCTATCATCGTCTAAAATGCGGGATCACTTAAATCAGCGTTCTCAAATCAACCGGCAACGATATAACTCACGTAAATGTTAACGAAGTTGCCTTTAAACTTGGGTATACTTAGACCTAACAGATCTTTTATCTGAGAAACCAGCACATGAATCGCCGCGCCAGTAGTAAACCCGCTCACCAACGTTTCGGACAATAATGCGCTCACGATGCCCAATCTCAGAACGTACATAGCGATCTAGAAAAACATCTTTATTATTCGGAGTAAGGCTTTGATGAATTTGGTTTTACTTGGAATAGTGCCACTATAAACGTTACTGCCGTAGCTACTTGTACCGGACTATAGCCAGTGGGTTCACCAGTCATAGTCCCATTACTAATCTCGGGAGAGTTGGCGAAGTAGCTGGGATCGCTGTGCTCGATCACAGCTTTTCCCGTCATCAAACAGGCTACGGAAAATGTTCCTGAAATGGGGAAAACTATTAACAGCAGAACAATTTGAATAGCACTAAAATTATACCCAACGAGTTATGCCGAGACGTTCCGAAGAAGAAATACACCAATACAGGAAAAAAAGCCATATAAATGCCGACGATTGCGGGCACATTTCCCAACATGGCGTAGGCCATTCCTGTAATAAAGATGGCATTAGGGAGAGGATGGGTCGGCATTGTGAGAAACGACCTTGCGGTATGTGCATAATGGCCACTGTAAATCCGGCAATTATGTCTGGCGCGATATCTTTCTTCCAGTTGTATTTGAAAATCCACTCGAACACGGGAAAAACGCTTACTATAAATTTCTTCGGTCGAAAGTTTTCCGACCATTCTTTGGCTGCATCTGAAAAATTAATGGGAACTTTAGACGTGAAACTGAGAGGGAAGAAAAGACAAACGCAGTAATTTCAAAATTTGCCATTGTAGGATTTTCAGTCAGCGGTGCCAAGCGACATCCTTGGTCTCTTTATACAAGCAGCGAAAAATTGCCATTTTGTTCTATAAAGTCTGAGTAAGGTTTTTACATTTTGTGTTCTTTCAGGTACATTAAACAATCTCATTTTATTATTAACTCCTTTGAACTCCTACATCCTGAATAACTGCCCGGTTTCATAAAATCGATTTTGCACGCCGCTGGTTCAAACTACGAAAAAATTGAAAATTTTCGCTGCCTTCCATTCACAAACCTTACATAAACCCTGTATGTCGAGACATGAGCAAAGAAATGTCAAAGTTACAGCTAGTCAAAATGAAGCAACTTCTTGAGTGTTCAACTTCTTAGTACACAATCAGCTATTGACTTAGTAGTAGTAGTAGTAAGTATATAAAGTAGTTGTTATGTTTAAATCAAAAATTAAATAGATAACCGATCAAACACACAAAGACACACACACACACACACACACACACACAGAGTAAGTTGTAGTGTTGTTGTATATTCCGAGTGTCACCGACAGGATTGGCAGAGTATTGAAAAGACACGACATCAAAACAATCTTTAAGCCTACAAAGAAGATCCAGCAGACCATCAGGTCAGCGAAGGACAAGAGGGGCTCACTTTCAGCTGCAGGAGTCTACCGCATTCCGTGTTCATGCGGAAAGGTCTACATCGGGACTACCAAGAGATCAATGGGAACGAGACTTACGGAGCATAAAGCAAGCTGCAGGCTAGGACATACAGAGAAGTCTGCAGTAGCTGAACACGCACTGGGCAGCGGGGAACACAGGATACACTTTGAGAGCTGTTACTAGCATCGGTCAACGGCTATCGCAACAGACTAGTCAGGGAAGCCATTGAGATACAAAAACACCCACACAATTTCAACCGAAAGGAGGAGACCCTTAGACTCAACCAAATCTGGAACCCGATCCTTAGGAACGCCCGAGCAGTACCGATCGATATCCCGAGACCAACCGAAGCGGAACAAGCCCCGCCCACCACCAATCGGCATAAATACAACCTGCGCAGGAGAAATCGTCAGTCTACGTCCATCGGAGATGGAAGGACCTCTGAAGAAGCTCGCCACTCGTGCTAGCGAAACGTTAGGAAGTAATTCCAATCGACGACGGCCTTTAAACCCGAATGAAGACAATAGCTTATCAACGGGCCGCGAAAGCCTTAACCAATTTGTAGTGTTGTGTTACTCTTTTGTATTCATTCTTTTTAAATAATGTGAATTTAATTTAAACATATTAAGCAATTTTTGTTTTTATTTTTTTAGTCAAAAAACAGTGCATAGCACATTTTTTCCATTGATATACAATAGAACTTCGTCTGAGAGAAAAATTGCTATATTCCACAATCGTCAACAGAAGAGAGTAAAATTTAACTCAAAAAAGGAGAGAAATCTGGCCTTTTTCCACACAAGTGTACAAAAATAAATTACATCGTTGTTCGGCAACGCCCGATTAGCTCTTTTATAAAACACGCGACCTTCGCGCAGCGGAGGGCATGGAGAATCCTTTCTTTATGTGTTGAACTTTACCATTATTTTTCTTACTTTCTTACTATTTTGAGTTAAATTTTAATCAATTAGTGTTATAATTTTCATTAGATACAGTTATTTGTGTGTCATAGCAAGGACACACGTTCGCGCATAAGTTTTGTGTACAACTGTGACATTTTTTTCGAAAAGGCGGAACTGTGCGACTAAATTTCAATTTAAATATTTGCACTCGCAATACGTATATGTATTATGTTTGTTTATCGGAAGACGTTTTGCATTTACACTACTCTTAGATCCTGGAGATAAAATTTATGATAAAACGTCGTGTGCATACCTGACGTAAGTCTAGGATACGAGCGCAAAGCAAATATGTATATTTTGAAACCCCAAATTAAAGCAGTAAACTAGACTTCGCTACCAATAAGATTTAAGAAGCGCGTTGGACGAAAAATAAATATTGGATATCAATGAGCTAGTACATTTCCCAGATATTGGAAAGCTTTAGAGAATCCTCTTATATCACATTTTTTTATTATTTCCAAAACCAAGTAGTTGATTTATTTCAAAGAGTTGAAAACGTACTCACTAACTTAAACTGATTTGTTATTGAACATAATTAAGCCAAAATGTTAGTGCAATAATGCATGCCAGAATTGAAAAAACGAAAAAATATTATCGTTTTTTGAGATCTGTTTTTTTTAAAAGGAAACAAGTAATTATAAATAAATTACCTTTTCGGTACTTGATACCTCACTGAAAAGTAATGCAATAATTTCAGTGTCTAATAAACCTTTGTTTTTTTTTTTTCGCTAAACCCTATAAATCTAACCTAGAGCTGGTGGATAAATTCTCAAACTCCACGCATTGGGGCCTTTTAACGCTGATGAAAATCGTTAAAATTCGGTCAGTCCATAACTCATGCATAGATTACTCTGAGAATAGTAGATTTCGACAGAACACCTGTCTGCGATTGATCTTCGAGTATATATCGAAGGATCTAGTTGGGTTAATATAGAATAAACATGAACGACATGTGCAACCAATTTCTTTTTTCTTTCATCCTATAGCTCATTTAAACGTGCCTCTTTTACTTAAATAAAGTTCTATTTAATTTTTTAAACTTAAATTATTCTTATTCAACTTCATGACAATATGATGTTCTCCTGTGGTCGAAATCTTGGTCCTGGACTTTCTAAGCTTAAGGCACGTTTGTTGCATTTTTAGACACTTTCTTCTCTTTCTATAGGCGATATACGAAAACTAATGTTGATGTCCGAAGCTCAATTTTGATAAAACACTTAATAACAAAAAAAATGAACATGGTTATCTAGTACCGTTTCATGTTCATTTAAAAAAAAAATGCGTTTCAATGAAAACATTTCCAAAGCAACTTTTGACGCAAGAAGTGGGCAAAAAGCTATACACGAACTCCCTATGGGTCACAAGAAATAATAGCGTCAGAGGCCGTTAAAAGTACTTTTGCGTCAACATGAAAATTAAAGACACCGACAAGACTCGCAAAAACTAACGTTAGCTAAAAGTTAAGGGAAACACATACATGGCCAACAGTACTAGAAAAGTGTAATGGTGCAAGTGGACACTAGAAAAATGAAACTGAAACGTAGCACCTCCAACGAAAATCAGAATTTGGACACACCTTATTCTTCTGTATTATGGTAGTACTGTCCAAAGCCTACTTTTTCAAAGTTCAAACCAAGAAAGCTCGAGCAAAATATCAAATTCGTTATATTTTTGGAAAGACAACATTAAGTTCTTTTTAATTATGCAAAAATATATAGGAAATTGAATTTTCGGTTTATAAGTAGAAAATTAGTGGTAAAAATATTATGCTTAAGCTATCAAAGTCAATGTTTTCATAGAAACTCACTTTACATAACAAAAACATTACATCGATTTTTTTAAAATGCCCGTTTTAGAAAAACATCTAACTCTGGAACAAAAACAGACATCCATGTGCGGTTTTTACCATTATGTTTTTTTATGAAAATCGAACTCCAAATATCTATATTAGTTTTCGTTTATCTCCAACCTCCAACGAAAATCAGAATTTGGACACACCTTTTTCTTCTGTATTATGATAGTACTGTCCAAAGCCTACTTTTTCAAAGTTCAAACCAAGAAAGCTCGAGCAAAATATCAAATTCGTTATATTTTTGGAAAGACAACTTTAAGTTCTTTTTAATTATGCAAAAATATATAGGAAATTGAATTTTCGGTTGATAAGTAGAAAATTAGTGGTAAAAATATGCTTAAGCTATCAAAGTCAATGTTTTCATAGAAACTCACTTTACATAACAAAAACATTACATCGTTTTTTTTAAAATGCCCGTTTTGGGAAAACATCTAACTCTGGAACAAAAACAGACATCCATGTGCGGTTTTTACAATTATGTTTTTTTTATGAAAATCGAACTTCAAATATCTATATTAGTTTTCGTCTCTCCTTTAGCATAAGGAGTTTCGCTTTGAAAGTGTTCAATTTGGTCACCCTGCGTAGGTGCATTAACTAATTTTGAAGTCAATCATTTTGACTGACAATATTTTGAATAATTTTTGCCTTAGCTTTGATAATGAACTCACTCGCTTTTTTCGGTTTTTCGTAATAGAAATCTTCCCTCAGTTTCCTATGCTCATAGTACGGCCTGTCTATGCGTATGTGGCAGTCTTCTGCTTCCATGCTCCCGAGCCACCAAACGACAACACTACCTGGTCGCACACAAACAACTACGGTAATGTTAAAACCGTTATGTGCCTTTACAATTTAACTAAATCACAAAATGTTATTGTGATAACTTTTAGCGCGGCAGATGCGCATATCGTTTCGAACAGGTTCGAAACGAAATATGGGACCTGAAAAGATTAAATTTCCCAAACCAACCGCGAACGGGCACTCGCGGGACCGTATCGGCGCGGCTAGAAAAAAGTGCGCGGCTTTAATTAATTATGCTTTTATTGAATTGTAATTTATTAGGAGTCGTAAAATTGTGTCGACTGAGCGTAAAATGCTGTCGAATTATTTTTTAGTCGCGCTATTTGATTAAAAGGCATATGTTCTGAATCGTTATTACGGTTTAAGGTTTGCACAACCTTAACCCTGTTCACTCGGCCGCAGATTTGGCGTCAATATGAAATTATCGGTATAATTTCTAAGGTTGCAATCAAGTTGGAAAATATTTGTATTTAATTGCCTACAGGGTGTGCATAACTATTAGTGGTAAACATGGTAAAACTAATACACCTTAAGCGTCTCTGACATGTTTGTACAGGAGGGAATGATCTTCCGAAGAAGCGCCTTTTTTTTAATGCACATTTCCACACACATCTCGTTTTTTTTTCTGAAAATGTAATGGAGTCGGCGAGCATTTTGAAAATATGCCACAGCCAAACTGGCAATTGTCAAATTCACTGTGGAAACGTAGTGATGAAAGCGAAGTTTGACTTTAGAGAGTGTTGTGTTTTAGCCAAGCAAATGTGGTTAGTGTGAAATTATGTTATCGTTCGTTAAAAAAAGTAAACGAAAACGAACCTAAAAACTTTAGTCGCGAGTTCGTTTAATACGAGCGGAGCACAGTCGAGGGATTGTTTAATAAAAGAGTATCTGAAGAAGTTTATACACGTGTTGCATACTATACTTTTTCTACGACCATTAGTTTTTGGGTATGCTCTGATTTTAAAATTTACTGAAAAGCTGTGACTAAACAGACGGAAACACTCGAAGTAGCTCACGGAAATGCTCACGTATTAATAGTGAAACTTTGCCCTTTGTATACACGATCTTTGCTTCGAAAAAAAAAAGCAGAAAATACTCGATAATATATAGGCGCAGTGACGAGTAATTCAAGTAAAGATTGATATTTCAATAGATAAGGAAATTATAATATATGATTTTTGAGTACCTGGCTGGGTACTTTTGTTGAAATATGATAATGTCTTTGTACGTATTTCGGATGATTCTTATTGAAACGGTTATCATTTATTAAAGTACGGTCTGTTTACGCGTTTTTTAATTAAATTGGTGTTACCTATGTATTATACAGGGTTATTTACGTTTAGTTTCCTACTAAAAAATCTTTTTCGAAATTTCTAGGTGACAATCTATATATACTTTAGAAATTTGTTCTCATTCTCGTACAATATAAAATTTGTTAACCCATCTCCTACAATACTTATTTTGACGCACGAGAAGAAAAAAATATGAATACTGAAAAATGACTATTATCTTAGAAGCAAAAAGTTTTTCAGAAGGAAAAACTACGGAATTAAATAACCAACATATCTAAAATTATCAACTTGCCCTTTTGAATATGTTTTTTTAACAACAAAACTACGGGATTTTATGAGAAAAATTTAATTTAGAGTGAGATGGTAATAATGGGGATTGTATTCTTTTGTCTATGCACATTATACTAATAACAGATACGTACAAAAATGGCAGCTAGTTAGTCGACGTACTCTAACTATTTTATAATTAACATGAAAGCTTTAAGAAGTTATTACAAATATTTAATTGTATAGACATAAAAAAGATAAAGCATGTGTACTTTCAATTTAATCGTTTATCTTTCTTTAAACTAAGTGGTTGTGATATATATTGCCTATTTTTGACGGTGACAATATTTTTTATCACGCGGTAGCTATTCCAGGTTAGATCGAGGTATGGTCTGTTCATAGATATAAGAATAGAACCAATGCTTTTGAACGGATTATCCAAGGGTTGTCATAACATACAATGCAACAAGATTATTATTACTAATTAAGATAATTATTAATAATCCGTTCAAAAGCAATTGGTCACTTTCTTATATCTATGAACTGGCAATAACCGGATGACAAACACAATAAAAAGATCTAGAAACTATGGAATTTAAACACGTATTTTTACATTTTTACAGCGTGCTTTGATATTGACTCTTGATCCAGCTCTCCTAGCTCTGTGATAAGAATAAGTGAGTTGACAGAAGATTTATAAAATTGAAAAATGATTTTACGACCATCATTTATAACACAGTATTTTCTCAAAATATGCCCAGAACTCGTAAAATGTTTTGCGAAAACGAATGAAGTATGAGGAAATCGCTATTTGAAAAAATAATGTTACCTAATAGCTATCTATATGTTCTGACTATCCATGCTTGTTGCGATGAAATCGAATTTTTCGAAAGCATACGCGCTTGGCAACGAAACATATCTCGGCAACGGGAGGTCCTAGGGAACCACCATTGGTACAGAAATGACCAGCATGGATTTTTTTTTGTTTTTGTGTTCTCCGTTCTCTGTCGACGGTCCATAGGAACGCGAAAAATTTCCAAACAGTTTGAGCCAAAGTATTAAAATTTGACTTCTTTTAAATAGCCCAGGAGACACATTAGCCAATACAAAATAATCCCGATCAAATACCGGCGTCCATCTTTTTTTCTCGATTTTCGTATATCGTGTCCGAAAATTAAAGCTCTCGACTTAAAATTTGGCGCACCTTGGTCCCCTAACGGAACCTATTGAAACTGGGTGCGCGAAGAGGTCGGCGATTAATTAAAAAAAAATAAAAACCGCTTTTGCAATGGTAAATTTCTTGAATAACAAAATTCTTAAACGAGAAGACGCCCGAGATCCAAATCTAAAAATTATTGAGAATAAGGTTTTTTTTTAATGTACAGGGTGCTTCGGCAATTTGCAAATAAATAGAAAATGGGTGCTTCCTTTACAGATAATTGGATATAAATAGAAGACTATATATCAGCTGTCAGTTTATATTACACGGCCATACCGAGAATATGAACAGCTAAAATTTTTGTATTTGACTATTTCACATATTGTACAGTATAATAGTTGTCTTAACTTTACAGCTGTCGACTTCAGATTTGGCAGGGAAGTAGAAGCCCATACCCACCATTAAACTTTAAAAGTTAAGCGCAATCAACAGTCGCTAAGTATTTTTTAAAAATTTTAGAAATTTTTTTTGGGTTATTTTTGATTCTAGAAAAAAAATTCTCGAAAACTATTTAGCTGATCAGCAAAATTCTTCAACTGGAAAAAATTATTAGCCATAAATTAAAATTCGTGAAAAATATCGTCGAGGACTGCAACTTTTGTATTTACGGTTTTCGTATAACACATACGCTGCATCCATATGAAAATCAGGATTTCTCGAGCTCAATCTATATGCGATAACGTCATTAAGTATTACAGCATAGTGCATAGTTTCAGAAAAAAAATATTTTCTCGAAAACCATTTACTCTATTGAAAAAATACATATACCAGGAACAGTGGGAGAACCATGGCTTCCATTACTTTTACATCGGACATTTTTTAGATTATCTACAACTACAAGGTGTGTCCATTATGGGTACAAAAAAAGAAAGAGATTCTGAAAATTGCCGTTTTCGTAAGTAAATTATTAGCAATAAATGAAAAACTATAAAGCATGGGATAATTTAGTGCCGTAAATTGTGTCGAGAGAGACTTTAAGGTTTCGTTTATCATACAAGGTGCGCGAGATATTTGGAAATATTCAATATTGTAAATGGCTATTATTTGTACAAATTTTTATATTTACCAAAGGTTGCCGTAACTTTGAAGTTGAGCGAGACGTGATAAATACTTTATACAGGGTGCATCCACAATAAAATTACACAGATTTTGCGGAAAGTTACGGACCACAATAGACAAACACGACAAGAAACCGTGAAGCGTCTTTTAAATACGATATTTCGAAAGCAATCTTGTTTTATATTGCCTTTAGCTTTTTTTAAACAGTTTATGGGGGGCTTATGGATGCACTTTAATGGCACGGTATTTTCGTGATTGACCACAAAATAATAAACAATAAAACAGTACTAAAGTTTCATTTAATGCAAAATTACAGCCTTAAGTTATCACGCTTATTTTTTGTTTGTGTATGATTAATACATAATACTAAGGAAATGCTAAATTATTAATTAATTAAGTAACTAATTAAGAATATTTGATGCAATTTTTTTTTAATAAGGCTCTTATATTGAACAAAACTGATATCCCAAAGTAACATTTTGTCACCAGCATTTCCATTGACATTCGCCTACACATCTGCGTTAAACCACACATTAAAAAGGAATGGAGATTTACAACCATGTACCATGATAGGACCAGTTCTAATAATTCAGCCTAAATGTTTAAATTACATTTGCTAATAAATAATGTCTTCTTTAATAGATTCAAATAAAAACTTCACAACACCTCCTGCCATTTTACTACCATAGTGACCTTTCCAAAACATAGTATCTCGACCTTCATGACCAAAAACAATTTTAGCTATATCTGCCCTATAATCCCGGACTTCAATTTCCACCTAAAAAGAAACAGTTTCCATATTCAATGTTTAGCTAAATATTTTCTAACAATTTTTTGATTAGGACTGTACATATTTACCCATTCTTCTTTACCTTGCTCCAATGCATTCGTTCCCACTGTTGCGCTGATTCTCTTTTTGTTACATAAGTGTATGGCAAATTAGGAGGTTGTGCCTCATTATCATTTCTAAATGCATATGGTATACGTCTCTCCTCATGAAACTTGATTCGATCATATTCAGAACAACATCTGATTGAAAGCTGATATAAACAGCCACAATCATAACGTGCAGCCCACCACTCACTTACATAGAGTATGGGTTTATACTTAAATAGTATATAACGAAGCAGCCTTTTCTTCATCAATGAAATCTCCTAAAAATATAAATATTATCTGTTGAAAAGATAATAATGTTGGAAGCTCACTTGTATTTTAAAGCACAAATTATAAGATGTGGAGAAGCAACTTGTATGCCCATAGAATTCTGGAGTATCAAGTGGCAGAGGATCTGCATATTCAGGCAGGTCTTCTATCTTAAAATGGTGACCACCATTTTCTACAATTTGCCAATGATCAAATCGCTCTTGACCATTTCCATTTTTCAACAAATTTTTAAAATTGTCAGTGGCAAAATAACAATAAAAAACATACCACGGCAGATGAGCCGCTCTTCTGGGATACTCTCTCCTGTTATAGAACACCTGCCAAAATGACGTCGACTTTATGATGTTACACCACCACTTACACACCAGTGAGCAAGTAGACAATAGCTCATCAGCTTCAAGGAATGACAAAATGTGAGACACCACTTCTAATGGTACGTAAACGTCATTAAAACACAAACCGTTCAACAACCCTTCCACGGGGAATTGATCGTGGAATTTGAAATACTCCATGCTATTATCCTTCAAACCTAACCCACTTTTTATATTTTTTAACGATTTTGCCAAGAAATCCATGTAATTTTTTTATTTAGCACGATTTTATTGTGCAAATTCGTGTTCACTGTCAAATTCATGTCATAATATGGCTAGCGTAATTTACTTTAATGATTTTTGACATTTCGGTATTTATTAGGCGATGATTTTGACATATAGTAAGTACGTTATTGTGCAACAAGTGTTAAAAGAATTCTCGTACAACAGTACATGTTTTACACGATACTTTTTCTACAAAATAAAATGTGGTTTTAAAGATTTGTTTCTACTCCCGTCTGTAAAATATAGTGTCACTTTACTACGTGTTTTATTTTCCACGGATCCGAGCCACTTCGGACATTTCCGGGATTTTACTGCATGGGTTTGGGAGCAATCGGATGATTTCGGAGATATTTCCCACGCCTTCAATTTGACGTTTGTCAATTCTGATGGCCATGTCAGTGAATGTATTCGTGTTGTTTGGCGAAAATGTACCCAAAAACTAACGGTCGAAAAAAAGTATAGTATGCAACACGTTCGGTAAACTTTTTAAGCCAAATTAGCTGGTGAATCAAATGCCGTTTACCGCACTTGTTGCGTACTATTTTTATTCCCTTCATGTGCACGTCACTCGGTGATTATATTTCTGTTCATTTGCAAAAATGGTAATGTACTAACAGTAGTTTAGTACACTTTGTTAGACAATTTCATAGTTGTCATGAAAAAGTTTGTCATGTAGCTTACTTTATTTTTTTATTTTATTATTTATTTATTAAATTAAGTGAAGTAAGTCTTTTTAAGTTTAAGTACAAATATACTATTAATATATGACAAAATTATTTTTTTTTTGCTTCACCAACACTTTTTATATAGTTATAAGTTCGAATACAGCTATATCATAGGGATCTTTATACTTTAAAAGTTTTTTAAAAAATTAGTTGTTAAGTCACATGCACTACGTGTATTATCTAGATTTTTTGTTTAAACTGTCTGTACACCGTTTTATTGCAGCAACGATAGGAGCAATTTTTTTATGATTTGGCTCACATGTATGTCCCACTCAAGTTTATTCATTAAGATTAGTATTAAGTATAATTTTGTACTTCTTTCAGTTTAACATTGTTCAGGACCAAGTTTATATCAGTTTTGTTTATTTCTTTGTTTGATGATCATATATAGCGACTTATTTGTATGTATAGATAACTTATCCTCATTTGCACATTTTTCTAGTTCTTGTGTCTTTGTAACTGACAGAACTAATACTGTGTCGTCAGCGAAAACTAAATATCTTGCTGTTAGTCACAAGTATTGAAGGTTTTGTATATACAGTATATGCTGAAGAGGTCAAAGGACTGACCCTTGAGAACACTTACAGTAAGTGACCTTTTTTTACTTTTGGATTTGTTTATTTGTATGTAGTATTTGCGATCTTTGGAGTATGTTTGTAGAAGTTTTCGTGTAACACCTCTGAAGCCCATTTTTTGAAATTTATGAAGCATTATGTCAATGTCGACTGTGTTGAATGCTTTTTGCAAATCGATGAATATTGTTAACATATACTTATTTTTGTTAAGTTGTCCTGATCTATGCTCTAATAAGTCTGCTGAGGCGCCTAAAGTACTGCTGTTTTTTGGAAACCATATTAATATGGGTATTGTTTTTCTATAAATGTTACTAACATTATTTAAGTTACTTTTGAAAATATATTTAGGACATTAACTGGCCTATAATTGCTGAGGTCATTTGGCGAGTCTTTTTTATGGTGTCATTTTTGCTTTCTTTAGTTCTTCAGGAAACAGTCCAGTTTCTACGATTTGTTAAGAATGTTCAATTTTTTCTCCAATGACATCAAAAACTAGTGTCAAATCGTTCTTTACTTCTTTAGGGTTTCCTAAATTTCTATTAAGTCTGTCAGCGCAAGGTAGATTAAATCCTTACATTCTTCTTCTCTTAACCGTTGAATTATATGGGGATTAATTTTTGAAGCAAAGTTTTTTCCAATTTCTGAGAAGTTTGTGTAGAACTATTTCAGTTTGAATGTTTTTCAGCAACTTCCATCTTTTTCAGAGGATGTTTCTTTTTTTATAAATTTGGCATTTACCTAGTTGTGTATTTTTTCTTAGGCTCACTTGTTTTCCTAATTTACTAAATATTGTTACTTACCAATTCACCCAATGTTTGATAAAATTGGAATCAAGAAATCAAGTCATTTGAACCTTTTCAGAATATTGCTCAAATCTACCAAACGAATGAAACAGAACACCAGAAAAACACATGTTTTATTTGATAGAAATCATCACCAGGAATCAAAAGTGAATGTCGTACCCAACAGTAAATATATACTGGAATATGATTTTGAATCACTTCTATTTAACTAGACGATTACTACAAATTGCAATACTTGTGAAATTTACAGTCACAAATTATAATTCCTATACATCCAAATTACTTAAATATTTAAAAGTAATAAAATAATCATTAGTTTATTAGTTAAATATCCAAAAACCTATAACTAGATTCACTTGACTTGGGCAGCTTCTGTCGTTGGAGCACCTCCCTCTGTCTTTACCATTTTGCCTGTATCACCTAAAAGAGAACTTAGCATCGAAGTTTATAACAAGTTTGAGGCACTTACTCTCAGATCCTTCTTGTTCCCCACCTGAACGACGTCGTTTGCGGGCTGACCTGTCCCGGCGGAAGCCTTTCTGCGGCGCGGGCAAAGGATCCATACCAAGAACCTTTAAAATGTGAGATAACAATCTGATTAATGATTAATGTACACTGAAGAAAATGTCACAAATATTGACAACAACGAAAAAGAAAGAGTCACCTGGGCCAAAAAATCCTTAAAGGAGATATCCAAACGTAAGAAATAAAAAGAAGGCAAACACTAGCTTGGGCAGCCTTCAACAAACAAATTCAACTACAACTAAAAACTGAAGTTTGTGACGTATCGATCTTGCCAATACTTACATAAGCAGCACAAACATGGACCATCACAAAGAAGAACATGAACATTCTAAGAGTCACACCACATGCAATGGAAAGAGCAATGCTGGGACTATCTATCTTAAAGATAAGACAACAATTACATGGATAAGACAAAGAACAAGGGTAACCGAAGTAGTGCACAAAGCCCTAAGACTGAAATGGGAATACTCAGAACATGTTGCCACGTGAGAAACTAACAAATGGCAAAAATCAGTTCCGGCTGGAGACATGTGAATTTTGAACACCTGGGGGAAGACCACCAATGAGATGGATAGATGATTTAAAACCAATCGCCGGCCGAAACTGGATACAAACATGTAAAAAGGTAAAAGTGGCTTTACAAAACGCTAAAAAAGAAGAAGGTTAAATCCAAGTCACCTTGAAAATTTGTCTAAACGCAATCAATCTAAGGGCATACTGCGCGGAACATGTCAAATCTTCTCTCTGTTGCGCGGTGAGGGCGGCAGCAGCGTCGGGACTATCTTTCTCACAGGGATCGCCCAATCCGGGACCTCCGGGCAAGAGCAATCCGCTGGCCACAGCCTCCATTACGCGACGAAGTGCATCGCCAGGCGACAATTGTACCTGGCCCGGTACTGACGAGATTACTTTTTCTGCTAGCAATTCCATGGCCTGAAAAAAGGAACCAGTAAAATACACCAACAATAAAGGGAATCCTCAACGATGCACTAACCCATGCACTCAGAGGAGACCAAGTCGGAACACGCTGGCAGAGGTCCCTCAAGATTCGGATAATGATGACACACGAGTGCAGTCCTAAAGCTCTAGCCTAAAAGTTCATTGAAGTTTACACATTACTCAACCATTCAATGATTGCACCAAACATTGTTAACAAAGTTTCCACAATAGGGCAAACAAATGAGACACCGTGCAATGGATGGTATCAAAAGGTTGTAATGTTTGGAGGATTCAACGCTCATATATTTCTAAAACCCTCTTTTCAGGTAATATATTTTGTTAATTTCAAATTAATCAACTATATACATGGTTTTAATGAGTTTCATATTAGGTAAACAAAATTTTTCTTTCACTACCACTTATTGGTTAAAATTTTTTTTTACTAGAACTCAGTAGGTCAGATGGAGGACCATCTACTAACAAACAACCTTTTGATAAAACCGCGACATTACGATCTTTTGAAATTAATGCGTGGAAACTTGTACAGTTTAAAATCTATATTCTGATGATTGTGATGTGAAATTTTTCTTTTTCTTTTAAAAACGAAAAACTGCAGAAAAAATTTAATTAACGAAATAAACAAATTCTAAACAAAACGCGACCGAGCAAAATTAACAAAGGGAATAGAAGCAACTAATTACAACTGCATTTTCAGCTTTAGAAGGTAACAAAAACCAAGAGTAAGGGAAGTGCATTCAGCTTCGATTCCCATTAAGATACCACAAAAAACCCACATCAACAAATCAATCTTTTCATGGGTACAGGTATGATAGAGTCTTTTCCCGGTAATAAAATTTTGTTGAATTATCATTCTTTAGTCGGCAACAATATAACAATTTCTCAAAGGTGTGAGAGTGGAAAACACAAACCTGGAACCATTTGGTATGTCTGAGCGCTGCCAGCGCCTGGAGACACTTGCCCCTGGATAGCACATCCCGGTCCGACCCGCCGCTCGCAGCTTCTAAGACATGAAAAAAAAGGGTGTTTGACCATCATGCCCGGAACGTGGCTTCCTTTTTTTAAAACTACAATAGATAACCTATTAACACAAAAAGGAAGCGGCGCTATAGCGGACGAGACGGATGGTCAAAAATCCTTATCCCACACCACCGTAGCCTTTGGACGTCTAAAAATATGTCACCTCATAGAGGCACAGTACTTGTAGATAAGTATTGGACTGCTACTACTATAAAAGTAAACAAACCGGATGGCGAGCGCGCCCGACACGCCACCCTTAAAGGAAGGGGGGGGGGGGTCGGCCGCGGAATCGCTAACCGCCCGTTCGCTTTTCACCGCACAAACTAAACAATAACTTTAAACAACAATTATTGTTCCGTCTGCTGTAGTTTTCTTCGATTATTGCGACATATCTCTTCGGCCTAGAAGAAAAGTCCAATATTTATAAGTGATTCAAGGTTTAAGCTGTCTATCTGTTCTGAAAAACAAGTTACAATTACATGAATATATGAACAGTAAAATACATTACGCAACATAAGTATACAAATATTTTTCTATTATATTGTATTGCAGCGTCGACAGGCTAAAAATTAGGATTACTTTGTTAAACAAGCGCAAACTAGTTCTAGAAATGTATCCCTGTATATCAAATGTATACAAGTTACAAAGTCGCTCTGAGATTAGAGCCGAAACAAGAAATTAACATCAAATAATTACAGTTCCTTTTCTATGAAGGTTAAAACGCAGGAAAAGGATAAAAGCAAATAAACATAAGGAGAAGGCAAAACAAAAAATACCCAATGAAATGGAAGAAGTGTACCTTCAGGTAAAATACTAAGCAACAAGGAATAGAAAGGAATATTATAAAAACATTGCAAATCATATGTAAGAATGCATGTTATTTATACACTGTTGCTTGGCTGAGAGGAATCAAGGAAGCCCAAATCTCCATCACAATAAATAATAATCGCTCTACATAGCAACCGACTAAAATATAGTCGTACGTTTAAAAGTAAAAGCAGTAGAATGTTGATTTAATGTGCAGACCTGTGATCCTAAATACAAAAACTAATACTAATGCGGCCAAACATAAATTAAAGGAACTGTCTCACATTTGAATTTAAAAACCAGTGGTATGAAGGTACATAGCCTTTAAGAATTCACTAGAAATGGACACTCTTAGTTCCTAATTTTAAGTCTGGTTGTATGTCAACACATTACTTCAAATATACAAAATATTAGAACATGTTTTGCTAAAATTTCTCAGCTTTGTTCACTCAATAACCAAGTCAATTTGTAAAATACCATGCAGATTACAACTAGAAAAAGACTAGACTTTCTAGAATTAAAAAAAAACATTGTTTCATGTCATTGAAAACTGCACATATCACTTTAAAAATTAGACCCCAAATTTTATCATGTATCATCTAGGGGGATGTCCTCCCTATCAGACGTTCACAATACATCGATATACAGGGACCCGCATATACTGCTAATTAACGCACATTAACCCACCCCAATTTAACTTCACTTTGAAAATTATTATAAAAAAAACTACTGTCTTCAACCAGCTTAAACCCTGCGGTACTGCCCGGCACTTTCAGTTTCATCCATTGTTAATAAGTTATCCTTTACCGACCCCACTAACCTTGTTCCCTCATTACGGGGCTGGTGAGCTGTACCAGCACAGTCAATCCATCGGCGTGAACGCTCAAGCCGGCCTCTGCTGCGTTCAGGGTTACCTGATAATTCGATTCGGGGGCCACCTGCTTCAGAGAAGGCGGCAGCAGCTCAATAACCTTCCTTAGCAGGGTCAAAGTGGGTTTGTCGGCACACAACACCACTAGTTCGACTTGACAGTCGCCGCGAAGCAACAGGCCTTTCGCCAAATGCCCAACCCGCATTACTCCCTTAAGTATACGGTTCGCGTCTTTGTCTTGTTGAAAGGAGAACCTGAAAAGAGGCAACTTCCTCGTCAACTTCAGCAGATTTAGCAGATCACTAAAGCATCTCCCAAAAGGAGCAATTCATAAAACCTAAAAGGATTCAGACTGAAATAAACTTTGCCGCGGACTAAGAAACATAAAATACCACCCTTTAAATCAACTGTACATCATTATTAACAAATTCTAATGAGAGTAGTTCACACCAACTACTTGTAAGTAATTTTAAGTTATTTGCGCACAGAAAAAAACTAACAGCATGCATTTACTGTACAGAAAATTGGGCTACAGATTTATCTATCAAGATAATATCGATAAATCTGCGAAAAAATCCGATTTTGTTGTTTGCCTGTTGATGAATGGTCTGTTATCACACGAACAGATCAACCAGTATCAGGCAGATATCCATTGGTCTCTACTTGGAATAACTTACAGCTGATTATCTCTGCCATCTTCTTTCTGCTGCTGCTGATCACCAGGTTTGGAGGCGTCGGCGGTCCCACTCTGTTCTTCGGCCGACTTCTCATCTTTGGTTTTAGACACTTCAGCCAATTGATCAGAGACCTGTTTGAGTGCGCGTTCTGTATGTGAAACTATACGCTGTATAGCCTGCAGCTCCTCCTCTTTTGGGTATATCTCGCTGTGTTTGGCCATTACATGACGGTCGTCGCTAGATTCAGCACGACGTACCGGACCACCTTGGAAAAACTGAAATGAAAAAAGAATTATGAAAACCGAATTACAGCAGGAAAAAGGACTTACGGGAGGTGCGCCGCCTGGGAAAGGCCTGCCTCTTGGAAAGGGCATGTTTCCACGGCCCATCATTTCCATGTACTCCTCATAGCGCCTGCGGTCTTCCCAGTACATTGACTCTTCCTCATCCATGTTAAAGTGGCGACGGGCCCAAAATTCCTCACGCATGGCCTGTCATAAAAACGATTAATTGCAGTTTTTGTAATTAAGAATTAAGCTCGCGCTAACTAGAACTATTTTAAGAAAGAAATAAATGTGTGAATTAGCAAAACCCCAAAGTTTAACAACTCTAAACCTTCAGGGGTGAAGAACTCAAATTATGTAATGACAACCCTAAAATCTTGATAAACGAGCATTGTTTAACAAAAGGAACTGTTGTCATTTAAGCATTCAATCCGTCGGTTGTATTTGATTAAAGTGGCAATGAACTCACCGCTCTTCTCATCTTCTCCTCCTGAATCTTTCTTTGCCTCAGAGATGGCTTTACATCCACAATCAAGTCTGGATTGACCTTCTTCTTATATTGCAACCTGTGCCTGCGACCCTTCATGTGCATTTCTTTTGCATTAGGGTCATTAAATCGACACTCGCATAATTTACAATTAAAACTGATAACCTAAAAAAAAGTTTTATAAATCAGAGTTAAAATGAGCCAAAACCGCGTCATACTTTGCCATCCTCACTCTTAATTTCCTCAATATAATCCTGACCAACAGGCTGAATATCAGGCTCAGGCACTTCATCCTGTTCTTCTTCTTTGATAGCATCGCCATTACCCTGAGTTTGGGCAGCTGGAACACCCAAACCACCCGATTGAACAAAGTTGATTTTAGGCGCCGAAGCGACAGACTTACGTCCACCTCCGATGACTTCGGGTTCTTGAGGCGGTATTGGTTTGCCCAATTTTGTATGTAACAAAACAACCTAATAAACAAATGACTTACAAAATTATGAAACACCGGTAAAAACGGTTTACTTTTTGGTGCTTGGCGCCGCGGATATGAGCTGCGTAAGCGTCGTTTCCAGTACAGGTAACATCACACAACTGACAACGCAGTGAATTGCCAGACCTGTTTTGACTGGTGACCGCTACAGAGGCGGCCATTTTAGTGGCCGCCTCTCTTTTCTTGTGCTTCTGGCCTTCTAAATGCTCGCGGTAGGTTTGGGGACCCGCGCAACTGTTTCAATCAAATTTTTACTTTTTATTTTCAGAAAAAATAGACAGACGGGCAGTATACAAAGGGGTGACAAATTGGTAGCTTGGTCCAAATGTTTTAATTGACGTCATGCGGACAAAATTTTATTAATAAATTAATTTGTCTCTATCTATAATTTTATTGGTAAAACCTACGCTGCCCATTTTACGTTGGCAATAAAAATTACTATTGATCCTGGTCACTTTCAATATAAGTAAAATTTCACTATAGTCTGTCTCAATCTTCATTCTGCTGGTTTTTGCCCGCCATTAAGTGCTGACGGCAATAAAACTCGGGTCCGATAGGTACTAAAGGACAGAACATAGGATGGACTCTCAAAAGTTTTAGTAATAATTTTTTTTTATTTGAGTTTATACAATAAATACAAAGTTACATAATTATATTTTTATTCATTATTATGTCTAAATCTAATTCTGTTTCACAGAATCGTCATTATAATAGGATTTATGTTGTTTTGTATCGAAATGTAAGAGTACTCGATTTTTATAATATGCTCTACTGAATTTTTCCAGCTCTCACTTGGTATGTTATTAATTACATTTTTTATCAAATTTATAACACTGGGACTTAAAGTAGAAGTAACATTTTCTGCTCTGACCTTCAATGTTATGATATGGAGGAAGATGTAAAACAGTATGCCCAGCCTGTTCATCCAAATTATCCCATGCATACTGCTTTTTAATTGCATATGAATTTAGAACTTTCAAAAGTTACGCTTTTTTGTAACTGAATTCAAACTAAATATCATTTTCTAACAAATATTCCCGAATTTCAGTTTTAGAACTTGATGAGGCTGATGCTTTGCTAGCAGACGGCTACAGTAGCTTTGTTTATCCATCACAATAATACTGTTATTGAGAATATTTATTTAAAAGATAAGTTTTGAAACCAATTTTCAAAAAGTTTGGGATTTGAATCCCCATGATAATCCAAGCTATAAACTTTAATATTCTTTGAAGCAAACAGTTTGTGACAAATCCGTCTTCTGACCGAGCATGCATTATGGTGATGCGTTCTCCTTTGTTTAAATGTGCTTTCGTCTGACAGTTTTGGGTTTAATCATCCCATCCTTTAGATACAGTGTTGTGTATATCGAACCATGTTTCATCAAGGTAAATTATGGATCTTTTGTCGAATCTATATCTTTTCATTTCAAGTGCGTAAACTGTGTGATTTCATTACTACTTGCCTTTTGTTTATTTTGCGGTAGTTAAATCCCATTTTACAAACAACTCCTTTTTGGCTTTACCAAATAACAACAGGTGATAACATAGTTCTTTTATTCGTGAGGGTCCAACACAATGAATATTAAGACTGACTATACCATACCATACCATCTTAATTTTAAAAATTAGTATTTTCAAAACCATTGGACATTTTTCAATCACAGTTAATACCTACAGCGAATACATAATGCACAGTTTTTGTTATTAGCATTAACTGGTTCATATCTGGAAAAATTGGTAGCTCTAACAAAAATTCTTTAAATATCTCCTAAGTGAAGGTTGTTTAAATTATCGGACACTACAGAACGCGCTTACCTTATTTTGCAAACGTCGCAGTAATGCAATTGCTGAGGCTTGGGAGGTGCCTTGGCACGCATGTTTTTCGCCCCCAGACCGCCTTTCTTGTAACCCTGCCAGCCGCCGCCCCCGCCTGGCTTTTGCTGGGCGGCAGCCGCGGCCGCTACCGCAGCGGTTTGCTGCTGTTGCTGCTGCGCGACGTACATTGTTGCGGCCGAATATAGGGCCGCGTCGTATCCTGAATACGTGGTGCTCGAGTTAGCTTCTACAATAATTAAGGAGTAACGCTCGACAACATACACCAAATGGGAGTATAAAGTTTCATTCAGAATTCTAGAGTTTCCATTATACTTCTACATTCTAAAAAGAACTTATTAAATAAATCAATAAGTAAACTCAATCTAGCAGGTAAACAAAGTTTATTTTGATGGCGAAGTTTGATAGAAACCTTTTTTAACATTTTTATATTTCAAAAGTATATACTGAGAATCAGAAAACTATTTATTTAGGCAGTTTTGTTACTCGACTAAGACAAGTAGAGTTTTCAATGTTAGAAAACTAGCAACATATATGAAATGCTACGAGAATTTTTCACACTATGCGGACCCGATATGCGGCATTTTATCGGGTCGCAACTCAGAGCGATGGCTGGTTAAATACCGCCGATTGGTTCCGACGATATTATGTACATTTTTCGATGTATGGCTGCTTGTTACGAGATTTATCGGCAAATAAAATTTCAATATTGCAATATTTTCAATTTACTCTCCTTATTGAATTGTTGTTTCAGTTAAGCTGTAAACAAGCCAACACGATGATTGATGAAACGTCAGCAAATTCAATTTGTCAACAACTGACAAAGAACGAATCCAGAATATTTGTAAATTATATTAATTAAATTTAATTTAATCAACTTAAAAACTTGAGTATACCAAATAATACAAACAGATATATCAAATTTAATTTTAGAAACAGTAATTGGTAGTCCTACAGACTATTTAATCAATTACCCACTTTATTACCTTAGCTTACTGAGTTATTATTTTAGAGAAATTATGATTTTCATACATATTCATATTTTTTTTATATATAAACGCTACTTAGTATCTGACATTTAAAAATTGGAAACTTACGCTTCGCCTGGGTAGTAGGTTGCGCTGCTATTGTAGTTTGCACAGCTGGCTGGGCGTAAGTGGCCTGGTAACCTGTAGCGTTGGGTTGATAGGCAGCCGTGTACTGAGGTGGCTTTGCTGCTGCTGTCTAAAACATGAACACAAAAAAAATCTGGATTATTTGGTTAATGAATGATAATATGAAGTTATATATATTTTGATGGCAGATTGGTATTTAACACAGATAATGAAATGTATGGATCTATCATTTGAAGCGTCTCATAGACAGGCACATTCAAAGTCAAAGGATACGTCCTTCTTATTTTGCAAGGTGTCTGAACATAACCCTGTATAGGAAACTGAGTCATGTAATTCTCCTTGCCAATCACTCCGTCAACTGCAATATCATTTTAAGCAATATTTAATTGTAAGGGTTAATTCACATTTTACATAGGCCCATTTCTATTATACAGAGTGTTAATTAAACACTTGTACAAACTATAAAGGCTGAATTTTTGACTAATTTTAGGATAAAAAATTCATATAAACAGGTTCCTCAGATACAATAGCAATGGCAATTAGACCAAACTCGAGATAATTGCTGAAGATAAACTGAAATATTAACTTAATTTTTTCTTTAATGATTGAGAGTGCCATAGATGCTGTTGTTCCTGAATTTAATAAACAACAACTTTTTTCACTAGGCGGGCCTATTCTGTATTCAATTTTACATACAAAAGGTACTCTCAGTATTTGTACACTGTCAGTATTTGTGGTTTCACATCAATTTCTGAAAGATAACTACGCTAAGAGTAACAACAGATCCCAGACTGGAATCCTTTAGATGATTTTCTGTGGGGTCACTTAAAATCGCTAACTAACAAAATTAATTATCAATCAGATGCTAGGTATATTCGAAAGAATTCGTCAATCAATGTTAAGGCAAATGAATGCATATTTTGAGTAGGATGTGATTACTTGTAGCAGTTATATATGTTATTAACTATTTTAGTCTTACTCTTGTAAATGAACTAAGTTTGTTACCCGATGAATCAATAAAAGATAAATTTTTTCGCTTATTTTTCAAAAATTCAGAAATGATCAAACATCAAAATTTTTATCCAAAGGTTATAGAAAAAACTAAATTAATATTTCAGTTTCTCGTCATCATTCCCTATACTTGCCACGTTACTGAACAAAAATATAATCAAAAAAACCAAATAAAATAGTTTTTTTGGATGCCCTGTATCTAAAGAATCAAGCAGAATCAAGTACTTAATTAACACCCTGTATAATGAACCTTAATGTATTGTATCGCTGTCAGTATTAAACCTATCAAAATTATTATTTGCATAGCATTTTGACTATGTCCTGCATCTTATGCATTATTCCAAATCAAAGGTGTGCCCCACATGTCAATTAAAAGTCAATTGTTGAAATTTTTATCTTTCTACCACCAAAAAACCTTTTCTTTGTAATCATAAATAATTATTTAAGTTTACAACTATACTATTAACTAGTCCGTACTGTCTGTGATGGTCTGGATTAGAGAAATGCACGACCCTGAGGCATGAGAAATTTAAAACCTGCTCCTTGGGGTGATCTATTTTTTTTAGTTAGTTGTGTCCTATAAACTTATTTGGTAGTTACTGATCTGTATCTACTGAACAATCAAAAGCAGTTTAAGAACTTGTGAGGTTAATTCACCATAAAACGCCATTTTGGATGAACTGTGCATCTTGCACCAAGAAACAGGGAAATAAAAACTTACAGCAGCTTGAGCTTGTTGCCCAGCGGCCCTTTGTGTGGCGTAAGTAGCGGCGTAAGTGGCAGGCTTTGCAGCAGCCGCAGCCGTTTGATCGTAGCCCCCTGTGTAACCTGCAGCCGCGGTTTGCCCGTAACCGTATTCGTATGCCGGCGTTGCCCCAGTACCAACGGCAGCATAAGTTCCTTGAGTGGCCGCGGCCGCCTGATAGGCCGTGTCGTAGCCCGCTGCTGCCCTTTGAGTACCGTATGTGGCCGCTGCGGCTGTTGCCGGGGCTGCCGCTACTGCATATCCCGCCTGGCCGGCCTGGTATGCTGCCTGGGTTGCGGTCGCGCTAAAAACCGACGGGAAAAATGCCCCTATAAACTGCAGTTTGTGCAATTTCACTCCAACCAACGTTAATCGAATCGAACGCTATTAAAAACTACGCTTTTCGCGATACAAAATCGCCAAAAAGCTCAGCAGAACCGCGCAGCCTTAATGGAGGACGCGACGTATCGATCGCAATACACAAAATGCCGGCGCCTTGTATCAAGGACGCCGGTTAATCGGTGAAAACAAATTTGGCATGCCAACATTCACGACTGTGGCTTAACTTGTTAAATGCGCCCAAATACTAGAGCATTTTTTTATAAATCCAATAACACTCGATTTACGTACCTGTATTGGGTGCCTCCGTGTGTAAAACCAAAATAATTATTCGTAGCCATGTTATACACATACACAATCACTGACAACTTGCCTGCAAAGGGGCGCCTTCATTCGGCAAAACTCGCAAGTCTATATCCGGATGTGACGACATGGATACATTTGAAATTTACCGCCAAAATTAGAGTGGCAGGACAAGTCCTCAAGAATAACTCAATAACCCTAATTTCTATAGTAAATATGAAACTTCAAATTCTTCTTGAAAAAAAAGTAATCCAAAGGAACTTTGAGTAATTAAAATATTGGAAAAAAAATTATGATTGCTAGGTAGAGTTAAATAAAAAATTGAGGGCATAACATACAAAATAGCATTCATTTAATATTATTAATTAATAAGTCCAAAAAATGATATCAGGGAGGTAATTAATTATAAGTATCTATACTGCTCTTGAATTTACCAACCCATTTTTTTCTCAGACAATTTGAACCACATCTGAACGCATTAAGCCACACCTTTGACGCGTTTATCGGATGCACCTGGAGCAGTGAAAGTTTTATTACGTATATGAATTTATGAAGGCAATTTCGTACCATATTCAACCCAATTAAATTAACTATAATGTCTACTGCTTGCTGGTCCATCGTCACACAGGTGATTTTGTAAAACCAGCAATTATTTTTTTAACGCGCCAAAATTTTGTAAAAGTTTTTTTAATTCGGAAATGTAGTCTTGGAATTAATAACAAATTTTAGTAATTTTTTATGACTTTTTGAATGCTACTGACTACAAAAAATCGATAGAGTAAAGTAATAAGTAAGCCCAATATTCTTCTTCGTTAGGACGTCCTGCGTGCGCAATTTTCTCCCAAATGCTGCTGCTTATTTGGTGTGATATTCCAAGATTCATTTAGATATCTCCGAAAATTCTAGATGTTAGAGACACATCTTGTGTGGTGAATGAAAGTCTCATAGAATAAGTGAATAAGTGACTAATTACTTGGGATTAGGTCGCAACGGAAGGCCGGAATAACACAAAACAAACCTAATGTTTTTTTTATATTGGTTTAATAAACGCTTAATTAGTTATTATTAGATTTACTTTTAACAATTCCTTCCTTGTTATCCCTGTTATAACATGCCAGTGTTGTTTATTTCATCTTATTTGATTTCACTTTATTTGCGCGCATTTTGAATTTTATCCAAATTGATCGAGGTCAGGGATCAGCTTTCACCGTCTTTAAAATTCGGGCATAAATTTTCCCGTTATTTCAATATATTTTTTTTGTAAACCGAGAATAAAACCGCGTTTTGTTACGACATTTGGTGGAGAAGGTGAATTTGAAGAGGTGCGATTTTTCGTAATATCGAACACAAGCGCCAATAAGTAAATTAGGAATTCTGAGATGAAGATCCCATCGATCTTCGAATATCTATTAGGCAGGTATAGAAAGCGAGTTATTTGTTGAAGAAACAATTTACATCCGCGCTGAGCAACAATTTTTGCTGTAATCGTGATAGTGAAATGCGTCAGTGACTAGGAACTTGGGTACCATATTGAATATTGGAATACAATTGGCAACCAATTTTTTTTCGTAAAAACCATTGCTGACATTATGATTACGCTATTAAAAGGTTAAACCAGTATATAGATATGTGGTATATGTGGTAAAAAGTCTGGAATAGTTCGAGTTATCATAGAAAAATGGTATATTATTTAAAAATTCTTTGCTAAGATTTTGGAAGCAATAGTAATTACTCTATTTGTAATATAAATTCTTTTATTGGCCAAAAACGATTTTCCAATTGTTTTTACATATCCTTAGAAAGAAAGTGTTATGCTACTTTGTGGAAACGGTTTGAAACAATAGTCAAACACTTAGAGATGACTACAAAAAATAAAACATTAAACTTGGTTTCTCTGTAGTAGATAAATAGGAACTTTGCCAATATCATTTTGAGAAGTTTCCCACACTAGGTATTCTCAGCGGTTCCCTTCCACAAATTAGCAGACGGCATCCTACAAAAAAGTATGATCACACGATAGCCGACCAATTCCAAACATAAACTAGCATAGTGTACTAAGTAGGACGCAAAATTTTTAACTTTGGCGATTATCAAATGATTGAAAAAAATACATAAGAACGAAAATCTCCGCCGCTGATTGCCCGAAAAGTGTTATGTTATACCAGTGTCCGGAAGAGTCTTCTCGATGAGATCGTGTTGACCCACATGGGGCGATTATTCCTTTCTCTTCTCCGGCCTCCGTGCGAATCCATCGTTGACCGATGAAATAGAAATCTGATGAAATATTCGGACATTCATTCAAATGAAATTGAAGGGGGATTCTGAAATAAGAAGATATTTGAGTCAACTGACGAAGAAAACAAAAACATCTTATCCGTTGCTTATCTTTATTTTTTGGTCAGGTTTGAACTTTTTATAATTTTTATTTGTTGTTGAGGGTTGGAACTGGCCAATTGACCGTCAATTAACCACTTCTTAATTGACTAGTCAAATTCGATTAAAATGTTTGAAATAACAAATGTAGAGTGTTATCTATCATTATTTAATAGTAATATGTAAAATTGTTTTAAAAAATGCTTTTCTACTCTCTACTCTAAAATAGTCACTCTATCACTCATGGTCTCAACCACTTCGGACATTTCCAGTAATTTAATAACAGGTTTTTAACGATCGGATGTTTACGGTAGATTTAGTCAAGTCGGTCACTTGTGACTCAAGTGGCGTGTATCAAACTTGCTGTTATATGTATATATTACTATTTTAATATAGCAAAAATTTATTTGTGGTTTACACTCTCAATAACATCAAATACTGAATGCGTTTTTGCTATGTAGATATAAGTCTATCTAATCATTGGCCAAGGTCTACTCAAATATAGGTGATTCGTTAAAAATACCCTATCAATGCACTCTGTAGATGACGAAAAATTAGAATTTTAACAAATACGAAAGTAGATTTTGTAGTATTTGTAGTATTAACTTGCATTTTGGGTCAACCTGAACTCTAAAAACTACTTTGATTCCTATTCGTCTACGCCGCCTATCTTTCTAAAATGTTGCTAATTCCTTATCCGTAGTTTTCTTGAATAAAACTGAGAAAAATAATGTGTTACAAATACGCAATTTAAATCCTGCAGACAAATGCTAGGTGGAAAAATTAAATTAAAATAAAAAAAAAAGCATTTTTGACGAATTTGCATTGTTTAATAACGGGAGTTCCTTAACATAGAAAAAACAATAGAAAAATTTCCAAGTCTTTTCAAGTTTTCTTAATCAAGAAAATTATTTCTGAAAACAAATGAAGTTAGGCACTCTGACGAAATTACGCCCGACTTATTTTACCCATTTTTCGTTTTCTATAATACTAAATTAGATACTCAATATACATTATACACACGGTACACATTCTATGCTTACTAAGGTACTGATGAGTGGTAGATACAGCGACAAAGCAAAGTTAAGCATAGAGCTAAAGTGACTAATTCATAACGCCATTTGGTAAATGACATATTTATTAAAATATGAGTTAGATTCATTGTTTAGAATATTACGAGCCATCTCGAGCAACAATTTTTGAAATATATCGGAAACTAGGTAAGCAAGCAAAGAGCGACAGATCTTCAGTCGCGAGATCATCGGCTCCATGAAATAGGTAGATACACCTACCTATTTACGCCGACTTAATCATACCATTAAGGTGATAAAATTGCAGTAATTTAAATTTGTAAGTATATCGCCTTGAGAAATGATGAAACAATTTCGTTCCATTCCAAAACGACGTTTTGCGCAATACTCATCTTGGCAAAACGCGAAACATTCGCCTGAGAATCGTTCATCGACAATGAGGAAAGATAATTAGTCGTTTTTGTGTCTGAGTTTCGCCACTTGCTGTGAAATTCGGAACGCTTTTTGTTCGTCTGTGAGACAAAATCCATCGGTTGCTTTTAAAATCCACCTCGTCGGTTTAGCGTCAGGTTAAGGCAACGTTGCTATTATTAACGTCGATTTGCTAATTTTGGCGGTCAGGGTCATGTGTGCAAAGCAAAAAACAAATGTCTTAAACTTGCGAAAAAATCTTAGCGCACAAATATCTTAAAGAGTTCCGGTGGGCTTTGTAATAAGAAGTGGAACAAAACTTTAATGAATGAATTAATAAAATTAATTAATGCCATGATCCTACAAAAAATACCAAAAAAGTTGAAGTTATACAATACTTTTCTTACTTTCATCGATAAGTAAGCCAAGTATGTTAACTAGAAAACCCTGTATATTAAAGCATTTCTAAATTGCTTCTATACCTAAGTCATACCGTTTCTAAGTGACAATTGCAGCCCTAAATATCTGTTTTAGTATTTTAAAATAAATAAATACAGTGTAATCAGGTTAATAGGAAAAAATTGAAATGGAAAAATCCTTTTTTTTTTTTTTCAAATAGGTTTTGCTTTGCTATTAGTTGACTATAACGATGATGTGCGAAACACGTCGAAAAAAGCAACCGAGTATTACAAAAACTTCACTATTGTGGCACATAACTATAGCAAAATATATCAGAAACGGTAGGACTTAGATGTAGGGTGTTATATACGAAATAAAAAGTTTGAAAATGCCATAATATACAATCGGGTCTATTTAAAACAAAAACAATATAATATTTTAAGAAAAAAAAATTCAAACAATTTCATTGGTATTTCAATTTCTTCTTCATATGTTTTACAGGTTCTGAGATAATAAACGGACCACCCGGTACAGGTACAAGTGAGGTTTATCAAAAACCATAGTGTAAAATAGTAATTGCATATACAGGGTGAATCACAAATATCTCGTGAATTTTCCAGGTACTTCTGTATATTCTATTAATGCTTGCTAAAGCTTAAAATTGTCTAATATATATTATAAAAATAAAAAATAAACTATGAAAAGTAGTATGGTTAAAGTAGCTAATAAATATATTTTTTCGACTAATACCGGAAATTGTAACTGTAATAAAAAATTTATTAGTAAATATATATTGATAACGGAATACTTCCCTAACAATAAAAATTTAAACTCTGCGAACTCGGAAGCTATGACATATAGCATATAGGACTTTTTTTTATTTAATGTTAGGGAATAACATGAAATTGAAAATATTTTAAAATAAGAAAAAATATTTGTAATTTCATTTCTCTCACATATTTGGGACAATTTGTATAAAGCTGAACGATCGCGTTAACTTCAACGGTTAAGTCCAGCAAATGCCCATTGCTGTTTGCAAAATTCCAATTTGATTATATACTATATCAATAGGTTAAACGAAATATGGTTACAATTAATTGCAGAATAAAAATATGAAAAAGTATATAAGAGACAACCTAAATTAATTTTCTTATGCATTTATGGAACTTTCTGCGTATATGAAAATATTTTTTTATTATACTACAATCCTCTGTATAAGTGTTTAAATCAAATATGCCATATTAATTGAGGACAATTCTGATGAGACTCGAGAAATTAAAATAGTTGAAAGTCTAAAAAAGTACTGTAACAGTTTTTTAAAAAGGTTAATAGTATTTTTAAAAATGTAATGTAAATGTATCAAAAAACATTCGGTTTTAATAAGTTTTTGTAAATAGACAAAGGCGTCATTCGGATCAAGTGTGCAAATATCTTTTTTAGGTTTACAAACATTTTGTTTCGAATACACAGCAGTTTAGATCATTAATTTATACTTAACTGCAGTTTATCAAAGATTAACTGAAATATTATCACTTTCTTTCTTTAATTACAGAAGTGAAGTTGAAAGGGAGAAAAGAAATAGGAAAAACAGGGAAGAAAACACTCCAAATTACGGTGACAAATGTATTTTTTTTAAAAACATAAACTATGAAAGCTTTATACAAAAAAGTAAAGTAAAACAATAATTTGATGGTGTTGTTGTGATCGCTCGATGTTGTGGATCTTCGCTCGTTACCGTTGAGATGCATCATGACCCGTGTGAGATGAAAACGTGATTTTTATGTACACTTAATGTCAGTCCTTTGTTTGTAGCTTCGCTCGCCAGGATGTGCGTTAGTAGGGTGCCCCGTAGGAACCGGACGGCGCCGGCGCCCCATAACTCGAGCTTGGCCCGCTGGGGTAACCGGAGAATCCGGGAGCCTGCGAGATCTGGTTGTACTGTGCCACTTGGATAGCCTGCTTGATTCCCTCGAGGTCAATACCGACTACCCTGGTGGAGTAGCTGGGTACGCCATACGACGACGACGGCACACCGTATTGGGGAGATGGTGCGCCGTACGAGCCGCTGATACCGCCGCCGCCACCACCAGATGAAGAAGCCGAACTTTGTTCCTCTTTGAGTAGGATCTGGCGGACTTGTTCGAGGAGCGCTGGGTCTACGGAGGCTCCTTCGGAGGTCTGGTAGCCGGATGACACGGCAGTGTATCCGCCACCACCCCCGGACAGTCCACCGCCCAAGGAGATGCCGCCCCCGAAACCGCCGCCTCCGCCGCTGGGCCGGCTGTAGCTGTACCCCGAAGGGGGTTCCGCTACGACGGCCACCGCCGCCAAGGCGAACGTGAGGGCCTACGAAAACATCCCAGTATAGAATACAGAAAAACTAACACAAAGATAATGATAAAATTACAAGGCTGCCCAAAAATCCGTTCATAAATGAAAATTATCCATAAATATTATGCAGATAGCAGACATTTAAATAAACTCTGTCAGGGACTCTTGTTGTAGAAATAAAATTTCTTTATAAACGATAAAGGAAACAAAATTTTAGCAAATTATGATTAGCATCATTTTTTTAAATATGGATTAAAATTATTTCTTTCTTCATAATATAACTGCATTTTTTGTTGTTGTTTTCTTCTTCAATATGACTCCCCAAAAAAAAAAAATAAATAAGAATAATTTGATTCTAATTTTTAAACAATGTTGATTTGAAAGAAACGTCAGAATTACTTTTTTCCGGATAATACTCTTCAGCCAGTCCCTTTAAGTTGAAGGAAACTACTTTTTATTTAGATAATTATAAATTTGCATTGAGTAAATAATAGTTGTAGATACATTTGATAATTAAACATTAACATTTTGAACTACAATTAGCTTGGAAGTCAGAAATATAACAAAATATTGTCATTTTCTTGCTGACTGGCCCTAAGTTATACTAGTTTTTCTTTAATTATTTTATTACAGAGAGTTTTTTTAAATCAATATTCCACTTAAACCATTGAAACAATTGGATACTAGTTGAACAGGAGTATTTAAACATCTATTCTGCTCTGTGTTAGGTATAAGCTTGTTCAGTGTTGGAATTATGTATTTTCATAACCGATTGAAAGTTTGTATTTGATTTTTTAATTTATTCAATATTTTGAATAAAAGTTTGCGTTGGTAATGATTTCATGATTTACAATATAGGTAATCTTATGCTGCTGATAATAAATAATAATAAAGCACCTAAATAATTATACAAATACCCAATTGCTTCTCAAATTTTTGTTTTATTTAACTTTACAGATTTTTAATTTGACACTTTACGAAGAAGGGCAACTAAGTCTGTGATCAAATTTGAAATGTGAAATAGGTTTAACTATACGGTCTTTGGCGTTTGCCTAAACGGCAACTATTTTTGTCACTTCAATCAAATTAGAGGCTGTATAGTTTCCACCACAAACCGAAAATGAATGGGACCCCTTTGCTTTAATAAAAATTAAACCAAATCATTAAGTCCGTATCGCGATCATTAATCAAACAACAAACAACTTATCGATCCATCAGAGATTTCACCGAATTAAAGACCAGCCGCCGCATTACTTTCTGTTCCAGTAAGCCCGCAGATGTTAATAATTATTTTTATCTTTCGCAACAAACTGTACCTACATACACAAAGTATAACGCATAACATCTTCAAGACCCCATTGACTTTAAACGGCGACTTCCAGCCAAATTAATCGGTAAAGTCATAACACGTTAAAACAAGCCACAGATCACTAAAGCAGCGGCAATTAGAACCATTTTAAAGTTGCCTCATTCGCGTTTATTTTCCGTCGCATGTTTATGGGTGCTTTCAAAAATTTATTTTGACATTTAAAATGTCGTTAAAGCATCATTAATTGAGACGAAAACAATGGCCACTATCAAACAATTAGCAAACGCGATGAAAGTGAAATCAAATACCTATTGCGCTCTGGTCTCGTCCGCTACTTTACGTTGCACAATACTTTGTTTACATAAAAAAAATAACGTGCGGATTTTGTAAATCGGTGTAAATTGATTTTATTGGTAAAATAAACGAAATTAATTACGACGACGTGAATGGGGAAGACGTCCATCGACGCTTTACTTTCTCCGGCCCATTGTCGTAACCCGAGGACTTTCACGCAGAGACGCGGCGACAGACAACCAGGAAGCGGCATCGTGAAGATAGGGGTCCCGCTTCTGTGCATAACAGCAGAAGCGTCTAACGTTGAGTAATTTTGGTTGCAAACGCTGGTTTTTGTTATCGAGGAGTGCGATAAACGCAAATTGTGTCAGAAATCTGGACGTATATTTGCAATTTAAAATATCCAAAAGCGAGTATCTAATTATTTTTCTAGCTTTCACTGGCGTCTCAAATATCTCTCTGTCGATGTGGAATTTAAATATTTGAACGGGACAGTTGTGTCAATATTGGTTACTCCTGCGCGATTCCTTTGTTAAACAATTATATTGAGTGCGCGAAGCGCACACGGAAGTTGTTTGCGAGCAAATAATGTCCAGTCCAGTCCCAGTAAAACTTCTTTATATTTTTTATACACACCATTATGTACACATGCAAAAGAGTTTCTATTATTTTGGAATATTACTTAGACAGCTGGCGTTTTGGAACCAATAAAAGAAGAATACGAGGGAATGAGGATGGCTCGGTCGGTAGGACATTAGACCTGTCAATTCGACTTGCGGGAGATTGTGGGTGCGATTCCCACTAAGAGCATTGGGTGTTATTGTGTTTCTTCAACTTTAACGACTGGCAAAAATTGCCTAATTTACTCCTAGGTATATGGAAAAAACCGGAGCAGTCGTGTCCAGCCGAGTCCATTGAATTAATTTAATAATAATAATTTAAAAGTAGTAGATAACAAAACAGCTACAAATACAATCTGCGAAACTTATTACCCCATCTCACTAGTAGAAATGTTCTTTTCATAAAAAAAAACATTCGCAAAAAGCTCTTTTCGTTTGAAATGTTGTAAACCAGCTCGACTGTCATTTCTTTTGCTTAATACGTTACGGACAATTAAGTATTAATCGATTGGTGATAAGTCTATGCAAAGGATGCGCCATATCTACGTACCGTAGATAGATTTGACTCCAATGTATTTCAATCCTCCATTAATTTGAAATAAAATTCATTTTAACTTTATTTCTGTTTAAATCTTTTAATATTTTTTTACACTGAAAGTTTAAAATTTCCGTTTTAGATAATAATCTCATTTTCTTTTCTTGTGTTTAGCTTGTAATTAATTTATTGTTAAACGAAAAACATTTAATCCCTTTAATTTCAATTATTAATTATATATTTGTCTAAAAGTTAAGATTTCCGTCAGATTTGTGAAATGTTTAAATTTAATTTAAAAAACACACATATTGTTTCAAAATCAAGCAAATAATTATTATTATTCGAAATTTATAATGTAATGGAAAAATATACAATTCAACTTTAAAATAATAATTAATATTATGTATAAGTATCTACAAGGTCCTTGTTGACAAAAGTATGAGCAGGGGATTGTTTCACGAATTGCAACATAAAAATTCTACAGCTCACGGTATCGAAAAAAAATGGGTGCTTAACAAAATAAAATAACAAAAGTTACGGCAAGCAATTTTGCTGATATTTAATTCTTAATGTTTATGAACCGTAACAGCGTTAGGTTACGCCCCTGGCTCACTTCGGATCAGTTGATCGACCCATTAAATCCCCACCCCGAAGACACTCGCGTAACTGATCAAATCCCACCGGCCCGACAACAAAAAATCTTGAACTATGATCACTTACCACGGTAAAAGAGTTCATGATGCTCGAGCGATGTAGGGTCAAGTGGTGACTGTACCGCAACATACCGATGAGCGACGTTTTATACGAAACGACAGGGTGGGAATTTGGTCGCTTCTTCGGAAGATCCCATCCACTTTCACACACACGCACACACGCGCGGTGTCTTTAGAAAACCTCCCAGCGTCTTCTCGGAGGACGCGTGGTTCCTACCGAAAAATTGCGCGCCGCCGCTGGTGAGAGGTTGATTACGCCCAATTGACGTCTAGGATGCGTATGAATATTTCTTAGGGCTGTTAATTCGTGGATCTTTAAGGGTAACATATGACTGCCTGCATTTAGCCGTTTTTGAGTAAAAAAGTAAAAACCAGAAATTTACTCCATTTTTTTTTAAACACACTTAATTCGTTTTTTCCCTGCAAATTTAAAGGAACGACGCAAGGTTTGTTGAAAGCTATATTTGAAATGACATTTTGCCTATGACCAAATACCATGTTCAATACTTTTCTGAAGTTGACTGCAAAAGTCCATATATTATAGGCCTAGGCTAAGCTATATTTTATATATATTATATAGTGGTTTAAGTGGTTTGAATCATATTTTCATAGAAAAGAAAATGGTTTTCCCGCATGCCTCAAAATTTCACACACTAACCTGCACTTTGGCCTATTTTCTTTCTAAAACAGCGATTTCTACACATTTAACTCGTTTTCCTAGAAAATTTAACGAGGTCTGGACATGTTTTGAAAAAAATGTTTCCGTAAAAGTGCTACATCTAAACTGAAACCTCTCGAATTGACGAACTGTCAGCAGCCATGTTGGTTGTTGAACGCCTTATTGGATTTTATTAGTTGGTTTAAAATATACCTATATAGTGTAATTTTTGAACCGACGATGAAAAAATATTGCGATGAGAATGTGCATAATTTTTATAATTCGAAAATAAACTCATAACACCGTAGGCTTTAGTTTTCCCGTAATATTTTCGGTTGATCGGCCTCATTGTTAACTTTGTCCTATAATTTGAGCTACCCTGTATCTTTCTTACCATGGCCAAGATGCCAATGTTGAGAGAATATCACAATTATTTTGGCACTAATAAAACTCGAAGTTAAAAGAAAGCGTCTTCAGCATAGCATTTAAATTTGTACCATTAGCATTTATAGATTTTTTTCTTCTTCGGCCCAACCAAAACATTTTGACGTTAGTAGGTTGTGCGACAAAATTTGAAAAAATTGGACATGTTTCGATTTATTAGAAAATAGCGTAGGAGAGTAAGTGAAATCAGAAGTTAGAGTAGAACACATTAACGAGAGAGGGAAACAAAGTTTTTTGTCCAGAAAACGATAGCGTCACTGTGATCTTTGTTCTAACAATCCCGACTCTATGTAAAATAATAATACTATACAATAAATTAAATATAAATAAATTAATAAATAAAAATAATAAATTAAAAATACTGGTTTAATGTATTTTAAAAAAACACTCTAAACTATTCGAATTTTTCCACGTGCACGTAAACATTGTTAATAAACAGCAATAATCCTCGACAAAGATTGGGGTTTACAAATTATCCACTTAACAAGGGTTCCGACCAAACCAACCACTTCAAGCCATTTGTTGTGATTCATAAAAGCGTTTATTTTACAAAAAACATATTCATAAGCGGATGTAAAGCAGCGATATTTAGGAGAAAAACAAGCGAGTCGTTTAAGATTTTGGTTTCTTTTTGTACAGTTAACCTGAGTGGAGACGATTCGCGTCTGTACAGATTTTGGGTCGGGTCGAAAGTCAGGTGGGCGTTTTTGTACATTCACTTCGCGTGGCGAGAGCAATCGGTATAATAGGAGGCCGTGAACTCTAAAATCGCGAGCATCAAATGTTTTTTATTTGTACTTTTGTGTTTATGACTAATGCGATAATTATAGGTACCATGAGTACCCACTTTAAAGCAATTTTTGCTAAAAAAAATTACATCGCCTGAAATATATAATCCCGAAAACAGGCATTTCCAAATACTGATGTGTTTCTCGATTCGATTCTCGTCGTGTTTACAAAACCACTTCACTGCTTGAAACGAATCCTGAATTTTAAACGGATCATCTAATCATTATATTAGGTAATTTCTGTTAACGAATTTTGTCATTTTCATTGGCCATCGAATACACACAAGCTTTTATTCACGTTCTTATAAGGAAGCCATAGAAAAATAAAATTATGCTTAGCGCCAGTAAAAATCCGTTTATTGCGACATGAAGAAACTGAGGACAGCATTTTCTACTCGCTAATGTGCTAAAATCAATTGCAAAACTATAAAAAGCATTGTTTACAGAAGTGCGCGTGTAAAGTAACGCGACGTAACAATCTTGTTCTAACGATTCCTTTCTTTTGACCGTCAAACACTCAAATTACAACAAACGACGCAAATTAATTGCTACCTTTGGATCGCACCAAGCCCACCCTTGAGCTAATCATTTCATACCCATGTAAGAGGTGGGAATCAGAACAATAACATTTGAAGTTAAAAATGTATAATATATATATTTATTTCTTTTAATGTATAATTTTTAAGTTTTTTGGGTCTAAACGAACGGCGATTAGGCCATAAGAGAGGTAACACGGTTCGCATCTGAGACTAAAAATATATCCTGAGTACCAAAGATTATTAAGATTAATAAAACAAACTTAATATTACTCAATATCACCAGAAATCACAGATAACATAAAATCTGGAACTGAGTTTAGGTTGGTACTAAGGGCAGAACACACATGGTACCTATTTCAATCACTAATGCTGATTATTCCGATCGTGCAATGGATACTAAGGGCAGAGATACGCGAAGTATCCTGTCGCAAATAACCACACCTGCACTGAAGGGCAGAGACATGCAACAGTGCAATAAACAACAGGTCATAATATACTGAACGCCAGAACAAGCATCAGTATATTGGTACTAAGGGCAGAGACACGCATAGTACCTTTTTCAATCACTAGTGCTAGTTATTCCGATCGTGCAATGGATAACAAGGGCAGAGACACACGAAGTATCCTGTCGCAAATAACCACACCGGCACTGAAGGGCAGAGACACGCGACAGTGCAATAAATAAGTCAGGCCATAATATTCTGAAGGGCAGAGACACTCGGCAGAAGCCCCGACTTTCAACAAAGTAACAACGTTTAAAATAGTTCAAAGGGAGAACACTAATATTTAACCAAATTCCTTGGGTATTATTTTATAAATTAAAAATGAAACCGATCAATAATTAGAGCATTTAGTACTTTGGTATTTTGGTCAATATAACGAAACCATCATGAAATTTAAGTACTGTACTCATGAGAACACTCACTCACCTTTAAGTCTTCGCAATTTCACGGAATGCAAGCTATAACCCGCAACACTCGAGTGCACGGTTAACCGAAATGCGGATTTTTAAGAAAACATCTGGCTCACAAGTGGTTGCTTATTGCATCGTACGTACAAAAATTTTATAGCGTAGCTTAAAAAAAATATGCGTCTTACACCCAGTGCGTTGGAAGGATTTAAAAAAATGTAGCTGTTATTTGATCTCCCGAAAACGTGCAAAATATGTGATTTGGGTAGATGCTAGTTCATTTTAAGTGGTTCCAACGTATAGCTATTAGATAATATAGGGACCCTACTGCGGTAAAATTTGATGCGATTTTGGGCCATTTATTTTCTAAACAGCGATTTCCGCACCCCTAAGTCCTTTTCCCAACACATTTAATGAAATCTTAGCATAGTTTGAGAAAACATTGCCGTAAAAATACCGCATCCCAAGGTATTTATTGACGATCGGTCAGCGACCATGTTACTTATTGAATATCACAAGGTAATTGATTAAAAACGAATTTAAAACTCGTGAAAATTTGATGGTTGCTTCATAATTCCTGTTTTAACGCAATATGCAGGGCCTCTCTACCTCTAGTTACTATATGCTCACCACTTTGGCCGAATGGTATTTCAAAGAAATTAGAAGCGATCTGGATGATTGTAAATTTTAATCTATTAAGGGGATGTCCGTACCAGGTTGATTATTCAAGACTTTCCATTAAAAAGGCAAACGCAATAAAAGGCTAAAGAAAAAATATGGAATTGAACTATTTAGTCTACGGTTAAGATTATTTAGAATATTTTTTGTCCATGATCATAACCTATACTTAAGATTGTTTTGTACCTAAAAATTTTGCGGCAAAGTGAGCTTGTGCAATGGCTGACTTAACGACTAGTAAAAGTGTTTCTGCTCTTCCGATTCGTCCCGACTCCCAAGCTGCCAATCTGTTATGGCAGCGGTTGAATAGGATGTGCAATAAGTCGCCAGTTATGTCACCTTCTCCAAAGCGACTGAAAAGTGCCGCTATTTCCAAGAAAATGCAGAAACCTACGCAGAGTAACAATTTAAACAAATGGATTTCCAGAAAGGATGTTCAGGTTTCTAAGGAAAATACTGCCATTCAGAAAAAGTTCAAATCAAGAGAAAAATTCAGCAGAACCACATGTAAAGCCAAACTGGAGGGATTTGGTTCAGGAAGTAGTGATGATTTGCCCACTTTCATTGAAAACAAAAGCAAAAAACAATCATATAAACAAACCGAGTCTTTCAAACGGTATGGTGTTAAGCTGCCATCTTGCCAAGATATTTTAAGAGATCAAGAACAGTTTAAAGAATATAAACGTCAAGTGGAAATGGCTCAAACTTTGCAAGTTCCAACTTGCCAACTATCATTTTCTCCTCTCAAAGAGAAAATGACTGAGGAAATGTGGTTGGATTGTAAACACTTGTCCGACAAATGCATTGCAAACCATTTCCACAAACATTGCGAGTATTTGAGGAGTATCATGAATGGAACGGTGTTGTCTGACAGACACAAAAGATATGATGACATAGGGCAGCATCAGTACCACCTCACCACAAATAGTTTAACATATAATACTAGCATGATAATTTTCACATTTGAACAAATTGAATACATTTTGTCTTTATTAAGAAAAAAATTTGATCCTGATGATACCAAGGCTGATTATTTTTTTAAAGTTCTTGTGCCAGAATTTTGCTTAAAAGTTTTTATGGAAACTTACAATTTTGATAAAGTAGAGGCAATAAAATATTTGGAGCGCAGGCCGGCTGATTAATTCTCAAATTCAGAATAAATGTGATTGTATGAATCCAAATCTAAGTTGTTATTCCTTATCAGTGATACTGATCAATTATTGTGGTCAGCAAGACTAGTCCTAAATTGTTTTTTTATTGAAATGAATAGTTGCAGTATTTTTGTTGTAATTATTTCCAAATATTTTTGTACATATTAGAAATAAATCTAAATAAATTTTGTCTTTTTTGTATATTTGCCATTTTTATTATGACTCAAGAATGCATAGCATACTGTTAAATCTTTCAAGCTATAATCCTTTAAGTACCACTTTTATCAAAAATATTGCAACACAAATTGCAGTTCTATATTAATAGTAACTATGTAATAAAATATGCCATTAGTTCAAAAATAGATTTGAAAAAATTCTACATTCTACATTGTAAGGTGCTGAATTTGTCTTAAATATTATTGCCATTATTTTTACAAAGTTACAACTTAAAACAGAATCCAAAATTAATACACCCTTTTCTTCAGAGTCTAAGTTTTTGATAAAAAGATTTTGTACTAATATCTATAATTCATAACCTATCCCGCATACAGCAACAGGTGTAAATCAAAATAATATCTATTAAAAAAATGTGTCACTTTGTGATTGTAAATTTTTGGTACAATATAGCCTAAACTGCTTAATATCAATTGTGTGCATTTTTTACGAAGAAATAATTACTCTTCTGAATATGAAGTCAAAATTGTCCCGGCTTTAAAGGAAAAACTACTTAAACAAAGTGCAACATTATCAAGAAAGAACATTATGAAGAAAGAATGGTTTAACGTTCAAACTACCCAATTCAACGCTTGAAAAATTGAAAATATACAATCAACTTTGACCTTATTGCAGTTGTTCGAAAATTAAATTTTATTGGGTATATAGTATCTCTCGCTTTATAGCGACAAGCTGTAGTAATTAAAGATGCACTATTAAAAAAAATGCTTGTAAGTAAGTATTTAATGAGCTAAGTTTCTAGAGTCAGTTTATTTGTAAATCGTAATGGAGAATTTATATACACAACTAATAATTGTGTATAAACAAGAAGGTTTTATCTTATCACGAGGCTTATGCCGTAAACAGTTGACCAACAAACAACGATAAAGAAAAATTAGAGTTAAAATTAAAGCCAGTCGGCTATTTGAAATCAAATGAATCCTCCGGTCGGTACCAAGTTATTGCAATTTTTGTACAACTTACATAGTGCAAGGACTATGGCGAACTCCGCAGACTTTCTTGTGAACAATTCCAAATACTTATTTCTAAGAGATCTAGGACTGAAAGACCGAAACGCTGGAGTATTTGATGGTACCTGGAAAGGATCTGGTACAGTACGTAATAATTCTTAGTGGTCTTTGCCTTAGACGTTCAATTTAATGAATTTACTTGATGAATGAATTTAAGTCGTTTCTTATAAATATTATATAAAAATATACCCTTTTAAAAAGAGTCCCACTAGTAAGGGGATCGGAAAGTAAAGTCGTTTTTTTATCATTTTAAACTACATACATTTTTGTTTGATTTTATTTTTAATCAATAACATAATTGGCATCATTGTCAATGACCTATTTTCATCTTTTTAATAAATTGTTAATGACCGATTTAAAAAAATTAATTGGTTGATTCTTAAAGTGGTGAGAGCATTTTTGATATCCACATTGTTAAATTTCGTTCCAGCTAGGAAAAGTTTCCTAAACAAATGAAAATCAGATAGCGCAATGTCAGGTGAGTATAGCTCCCAACTCAGATCGTTAATTTTTTTCAATGGTTTTTTGCGCTATGTGGTCTGGCACAGTCATGCTGCAGAATAACGCCTTTTCTGTTTACCAAAACTGGACATTGTTTGGTCAGAGATTGGCTGATACGACCCAACTGTTGACAATAAAGGTACAATTCCGCGAATACTCCACCAAACACGCAAGAGCGCCTTCCTTGGCTGAAGGGCCGGTTTCGCAGTCGGTTTTACTGTTTCATTTGGGGATGGCCATTGTCTTTTGCATTGCGTCATTGCATTGCATTGGTGATTTAAGACCCATTTCTCATCCCCTGTAATCAAGGGACCCAAACACCTTTCCTTTTTGTGCCTTTATAGCAATTTGTATACCTCGGATAAGTCATTCGGAACCCAAACACATCCTCTGCTTCGCTTATTTATCTGTACCAGATGGTCTTGAATGGTCGACCAAGGTTGGTTAAGTGCTTGTGACAACTTTTCAATTGTCTGACGAGGATATGCTTCCACTTCCGCCTTTGATAGGTCATTATCAAAAACGACATTATTTTCCGGTCTTTCTATTACACATTACTATTTAATAGATACTTATATAGCTACTACAATAGGTGGTTCAATCCATATGTCCCAGCAATGGAAAAGTAATCGCCGAAGTCACCCAGGCAACTGTTAGCGAGTATGAGGAATGTGTAAAAAATTCAGAAGCAGCTTGGTACACGTGGACAGACCTCCCTGAACCTAGGAGAGGGGAAATTGTTAGACAGATTGGGGATGCCCTCAGAAAAAACTTGAGTGCCCTGGGAAAGTTAATATCACTAGAAATGGGTAAGTATCATTTATTAGTTAGTGTGTCCCGATTACGCAACGTCCGTTTAAGGAAAAATCCTGCCCGAGGGCATTGGAGAAGTCCAAGAATATGTGGATATATGCGACTATGCAGTGGGATTATCACGAAGTCTATCAGGAAGCATATTCCCGTCCGAAAGACCTGGTCACGTGCTTATTGAAAAATGGAATCCCTTGGGAGTTATTGGCGTGATTTCTGCGTTTAATTTCCCAAATGCCGTTTACGGTTGGAACAGCGCCATCGCCATGGTAACTCGCTTTTCCTTAAAACTTTCCGTGCTTACACCTAAAGCCATAGGTTTGTGGAAACACTGTCCTATGGAAAGGTTCTGAAACTACTCCTCTTGTGTCCGTGGCGACAACTAAAATAATTTCTGAAGTACTGGAGAGGAACAATTTGCCAGGAGGTGTGGCGTCTCTGTGCTGTGGAGGAAGTGATATAGGCAAAGCCATGGCTAGTGACCCAAGAATTAAGCTTCTCTCGTTCACCGGCAGTTGCGAAATAGGGCAGCAGGTGTTTGTTTCATCTTGATTATTTTTGGGTTTTTGTCACGAAATAAATTATTTCAGGTAGGCGTGGAAGTTCAAAAGCGATTTGGTAAGCATTTGCTGGAACTCGGAGGCAATAACGCTCTTATAGTTGACGAGGACGCGGATTTGGATATGGTGGTGCCTGCAGTACTATTTGCGAGCGTAGGTACAGCTGGCCAGCGGTGTACTACCACCAGGAGGTTAATTTTACACAAAAACGTAAATACGGTGAAAAATGCAAGAGTATTCCAACAAAGTATTTGTACTCATACTAGGTGTACGACGAAGTATTGCAACGATTGAAGTTGGCCTACGCCCAAGTTATGCCCCGTATTGGTGATCCCCTAGAGGAGAACACGCTAATTGGGCCGCTACACAGTGAGACGTCATTGAGAAAATACAAGGAAACCCTCAAGCAGATCACCAAAGAAGGCGGCATTGTGGAGGTTGGCGGCAAAGTAAGTTTCCCTTACCACCAATTTAAATGCTTCATAAAAGAACCTTGCAGGTATTAGACGTGCCTGGGTACTTTGTGGAACCGACAATAGTGACAGGTATTGCGCATAACAACTCACTAGTCCATAAAGAATGCTTCGCTCCGATTTTATATGCATTAAAAGCCAATAGCATTGAGGAGGCCATTTCGTTAAACAATGAGGTGCCTCAAGGCCTGTCATCCAGCCTTTTTACACAAAACATTTCCAAAATATTCAGGGTAAGTCACCACATAAATTCGGAATTAACATTTTAGACCTACGTTTATCTTTAGTGGATTGGACCTAAAGGTTCAGACTGCGGTATTGTTAATGTGAATATTCCGACATCCGGTGCAGAGATCGGTGGCGCGTTCGGCGGTGAAAAACAGACGGGAGGTGGTAGAGAATCTGGAAGCGATGCTTGGAAGCAATATATGCGGAGGTCTACAATTACCATCAATTACTCAAAACAGCTACCATTGTCGCAGGGAATAAAATTCGGATAGAGTGTATATTCAATATATTATGTAGTAAATAAAACTTTAAAAAACTTTAATTTATATTATTTTCCTTAATTTTCTAAACTCTTTTTGAGTTAAATATATTCCCAGCATGACAAATACAATTACATACATTACAAAAATAAATTTACCAAAAAAAGTAAATAACCATAGCGCTAAAAGTTCAGAATAAAGTGCCACGGAAGTCCACCTAATGCTCCTTTTTCTCTTTCTTCTTTCTTTTTTTCTTCTTATCCTGCAAATCTTCATTTTTCTTGCACAGACATGGTTTGCAATACCAGTTCTCATTCTCATCGGGAGGCACTTGAATACCTACGCACACCCAGTGGTACCAGGCATCGCAGCCATCACAACCAATCATTGGCCGGCCGTCGTCCTGCTGACCACATGCGGGACATATCCAGACTTCGTTTCCGTCTGCGTCCTTTTTCACAAAGGGTTGTTCAACTTTCTTCGGCTTGGGCAACGGTTTCGGTTTCAACGGATGTATCCTGGGTCTACCGGGTGGCCTAGGCATTGTTGCAGGAGCAGGAAGGACTTCAGCAGGTACAGAATGCTGTACGGGTGAAGGGTTCTTCTGCTTGGGAGGTCCGGTAACCAAGGCGGAGATCTTAGCCAGGCCTGGAGAGGGTTCGCGTTTTCTTTCAAATGAAGTAGATTCATCCTCCTTCTTGATTATAGGTTTTATATTGAGCTTTTTCATTGTTTCAGGTGTTTCCGGTCTAGGAGATGGAGAATTGACTTTTAGCAAAATTTTGGGTATGGGGATTTCGCCTTCTTTAGGTTCTTTCTTTTTCTTTTCTTTCTTAATTTTGTCCTTCACCTTCTTCGCTTCCTTAATTTTCTTCTTCTCTATTTTATCTTTCACTTTTTCCTTTTTATTTTTCTTTTTTATCTTTTCCTTTTTCTCTTTCTTGTGATCTTTGGACCTTTTGGAAAACTCTGGAACAGGTTCCGCGGCCTCAACGTCCATCAGTACCGCGGGTTCTAGTGGAGGCTCCGGTTTTGCAGGGGCCTGTGTTGGCGGAATAGGCACAATTTCTGCAGGTTCAGCCTTAGGCGCAGGTTTCGCTTTGGGAGATAGTTTCGGCACAGGTTCCATTTGGGGGGGAATAGGATTAAAGTAATTATTCTTGCTGAAATTAGACAAGGAAGAAAACGGAAAAAGGTGAGTGCCTAACGGTGGTGGTATCAAACCTGGGCCACCAAAATTCGCTAACGGGAAAGGAAATGGCATTGGTGGACCACCCATGGAGTTAAAATGCCCTGCCTGTCTGGCCAACATGTGTGGTTCTGGCGTTTTGGGCCTTTGATCCAAAGCTAAATTAACCAGATCTGCGTCTAAGAAATTCGGTTGCTTTCTGAGTTTCTTTACTCGGGCTTTGTCTTTCCGCTTCCTTCGTTCCTTAACCAGAGGAGGACTGTGCTTTAAAAGTTCTGGGGTTCTGGGCGTAGGTGGAGTCACGGGAGGAGATCCATTATCAAAGTAACACTCTACTTTGGGACTGTGCTTCAGAGGCAAAGGATTTATGGGTTCGATAGTTATATCACCCGACAAGTTAATTTTATTGACAATATCGTTCGGGTCGTGGACGTGTGGTATTGCTGTAGGCCTTGAAGGTTTGTCTTTAACGTTGGATATCTTTTTTAGAATATTGATTTTCTTTTTGTCAGGTTCATTAAACAATTTATCAATCTGAGTATGCATTGGCATCTGAAACTGGGCAGTCTCGGTTTTGATAGGTATAGGAGTTATGGTGGTGTTTAATTTTTCAGTTTTTGCTTTGGCTGCGGCTAAAGTCTTGTTGAAGATTTGCTTCGAGACGTCAACTTTACTAACAGGCGGCATGGGCGGCACTGAATGATGATGCGGGTTCATAACAAGTTGAGGATGTACAGATATTGGCTGTACCCCGCCCACATGCATGGGGTTAATTTTTTGCTTCCCTTTAGGTCCATCCTTTCCACTATTCCTCTTTACTGGCTTTTCATCACCCAAAGGTTTGAAAAGCTCCCTAGGCAACTTGTCTTTTTTCTTCTCCACTTTCTTCTTGACAATAACAGCCTCGGCTGGCGGAGGCGCGGGAGATGGAGGTTTTACAGGTTCCGGAAGCGGTGCCGGAGCTTTAGCCTCCGGCAACTTACCTTCTCTGGCAGGAGAAAGGAACCCAGATGTAGTCATCATAACACTGCTTATCTCTCGGGTTGGTCTGCTTCCTTCTTCCTCACGCTTCGGCCGTTTGAACTCTGGATTTGCTGAGAAGTCTGCAGGCTTTTTAAATTCTGGGGATTCATCTACTACTGGTTCCTTTTTCACTGCCTGACTGGAGGGATCGCTCTCCGGTTCCTCGAGCAATGGATACATGGGCGGTAGATGTTCATTTATGTATATGGGCCTGGTAACCACCTCCTTGCTACCAGGTTTTAAAAAATTTAGATTGCTCTCTTTCGGTAACGGATATTTGGGCACCGTGGCAGGTGGAGGCATAAAATTTACAAACGTAACGTATTCCTCTATTTCGCTAATGTTTAAGCCCATTTCCTGAAATGCCAGTCCTAAATGGTCCAAATTCGCGTCTGTCTGACCAAACTCATTGGAGTAGTCATTTGTTATTTTAGCCAATTGACGTATGTAGTTGGCCATAATGTCCGTTAACACCTCCAAAGGTGTGGAATTGATTGAGTGCCATCCTATGGTCTGTAAAATTTTGGCCACCGCCAGTTTACAGTGGTCGCGGGTATATTGTGCACTCATTGTCAACTATTAAGAAGCACTTTCACTCACAAAAACAGTTATGAAATCAAGAACCTATAAAAGTCAACATTAATGTCTACCGAGGTTTTCTTGTGGAATTTGTATGTTGAAGGCAAGTCGTAGCGAAGCTCGGCCAAGACTTCGGCCTTTGCACCCAAAGATGCAGCGTGCTTCAAAACATGCTTCCTATAACCAATTAATTTAAAATTAAGTATTCACGTTTCAATAACCCATGGGTACCTTGTCGATGTCTTGTGCAATGAATACACAGATCTTGTCGAAAGCTGAAAAGCCACTTCCAGAAATTTCATATCAAGCCCGATATTGCATTTTGTGCCAAAAGGGGGATTCATCAATACAGTATCAAACTTTTTGAAAAACCTAAAACCAAAAAAAAGTAATGGTTTGCAGGCTAAACATTGTTTCACAAAACAAATTTGATAATTATAACAAATTTTACAGAATATAAGTTGCTTCACAGTCTCTAAATCTGTATATGCACATTTAAGATTCAGCGTTTCAAAACTACAGAATTGCTTAATTCACTTTTTGCGCAATAAAAAATATAATTTTAATTTGTTCACTTTTGCGCCCACCCGCTATGTAGCTGAAAAAACTGATTGAAGAGAAATAAAACCCAGTGACTCTGCTACTCAACATCAGCAGTAGTGGTGCACGGAAGAAGCTAGGGAGTCGCGGGCGTTGAATAAGAAATCAGATGTAGATAAAAAATATCAATCCTGCCCTACAAAAAGAGAAAAATACTTTCAACACAGAGCTTTTACTGACACAACAGATAAAGAAAAACTTAACCTTGGAGTTTTTTAAGATTACCACTACCATCAAAAATTTATCCCTCATTAGCCAACCAGACTATTAAAATTAATACCCAAAAAACCTACATCCCGCGCACCCCTATCTGAGTGTATCTTCAATACTAAATCCCAAATAAGCCTAGTTTATGTTTCCACTAGATATATTTTTGACTCGTAGGGCGCCCATTCTAATAGCAATAGTAAAACCCTTGACCAAACCAAGTTTTTATATAGTTTTTTATAATCCAAAACATTTTATTAATCACAATTGTTTAAATAAAATAACCCAACTGAAACAGAGTAAAGTGATTTTGTTACCCTTTTTGATTTGCCAAAAATACAAATATATCACTACACTAATTTTTGTCTTTTTACCTGTCTGATATGTTCAGGACATCACACTGAATGGCATCTATATTCACTAACTCAAACTCAGAAACATTCACTCGAAAAATATCTAACGCTTCTCCATCAATTTCAAATCCTACCACTAAACCAGCATTCAGGAGAGCCACACCAACAGACAATCCTCCACACCCACAACCAAGATCTGCTATAATTTTTCCGGTAATGTCTCCATAATGGGCCTGCAAAAATACTTCCATTCTTTCACCTGCATTACTTGTTGCATAAAACATATGTCATGTACCTGAACAATGTGTAGCATATGAGAGCCCAAATGTGGTGGTGTAATGTACTGCTCCAACAAAAGCTTAGGTTTCTCAAATCCAGATATACCTTCTAAAAGCTCTTGTAATTTGCTCAACTTGAGACATGGGAACATTATTTGGAATCAAACCGAGGCAAAACGGGCAAAATCAAGTTCCCAAATGAGGAATCCTGACTGATAAAATACCCCATTGACTGGGAATGTGCTGTTTGCAAAGCTGCTCGTTGCAGTGAATTTATTGAATGGTTGTCGTTATTTTGGACAACAGTCGATCCCAATACCGGTAGCGCTGTCGAGCTCAACGTGGATGCTACTCCTTGTTTCAGTAAAAGTTGCTTCTTAAGTTGAAGCTCCTCCAATATCTTCCGATTCGCTAATTCTATGAAGCCTTTTTAAAATTTTAGTTGCATACGAAATTCGGATCTTTACCTCTTTGATTTGGTTGAAAAGCCATTAAAATCAAACATATATAAAATCCATTAGATCCCAAACCGAAATTTCCACATTCAATACAAAGTAAATGACACCATTAAAACCACAGATAAATCACAGAAATAAAATACGTTTAAAATACTTTGGCTCGGATTTTCAAAATTTTTGCTTAGAACACCATTTATGTTTCCGGTTATGCATCAACTTTTTGTGCAACGGATCATGTATTATATTAAATTGTCGATTTCTCCATCATTGACTAACCGGGATCAACAAATGTGGCGAGAGACATAAACCGTAAACCAAAGTCAACCAAACTTTGGTAATAGACATTTTCTGTAATAGAAATTTACCCTTCTAGCGATTTTTTTTAATCAAAAGTCAAAATAAAAACAAATTAATTTTTGACGAGGAAAGAGCCGAATCGAAGATATAAATACTAAAATAATTAATCCTTTTTTACAATAACCCATAAAAATTGTTTCAAAGAGGATTTTATCTATGGACATGTTAGGGAAAGGCAAATTCATATTTAATCTATGGTTTGCATTGTAGATAGTATAGAGCAAAATATATACGCAAAATAATTTTGCATATATTTTTGTTTTTATTTATATATCACAACAATAACATTTTTTATCTATTTACAACATCAGTTTGTTGAGTTGAATAAATTATATTTTTTCAATATGTGCAGAGAGTAAAATACAATTTTACAACTTTCAGTAAAGTTAGAAGAACTTACTGGTTGTTTTGAAGGTTTTGTAAACTGAAGGTGATCTGATGCAAAATCGGAGAGAAACGCAACATACGTCTGTTCAATAAAAAACATGAGTACTTTCACTTGTCCCAATGAAAGAGAAGAATTTGTAGTACAACAACTTACTGAGCTATTTGGAAGTTCCTTTGAGGTGGAGGTTATTAAGGGCACTGCAAAGACGTGTAATTATAACGGTAAGACTAATATTACCCGAAAATCAGAAAATTTGAAATAACTGCTAATTTTGAAAAAGAATATCAATTTAACATGCCATAACTTGATCAATGTGACCATTTGACACAAATTATTTTTGCTGAAAATAGTATATATGTAGTGTGTTATTTTTGAGTACAGAAAGGTACACTGATTGTAAAAGTCTAGATATTTTCTTGGTTAGTTTAGGGAAATAATTAGTATCTGAAAAAGATATATTAACAAGTACCTGACCAAATTGAAATTTAAGATAATATTTGATAACAATGTAATAAGTATCCCAAAATAATCAATAATTTTGATTATTGTCAGTGCTGGTTGATAAAATTATACATTTTAAGTTATACAGGTGTATTTTTAGTTCATAAAGCATCAAATAAACTACTGGAGATGTCCAATAATAAAAGTAGAAGCCCAAAAAAGAAGAGCAGGAAATCCACAGACTTGGAAAATGCTATTATAAATATCAACAAAGGCTATAAAGTTTTAGTTTTGTTACGAGGTCTACCAGGTTCTGGAAAGTCCACTCTAGCTAGAAACATACTTCAAAACACCATTGGATGCAGTAAAGATTTCATGAAATATCACATTTTATCAACAGATGATTACTTTATGAAAAATGGAATATACAGGTATGACTCCACTAAAATAGGAGAAGCTCATGGTTGGAACCACCAGAGGGCATTTAATAGTCTTAGCAAAGGTTACAGTCCTATTATAATTGACAACACTAACACTGAAATGTGGGAAATGAAGGCATATGCTGTTATGGCCATGGATTATGGTTATATAATTGAAATTCTAGAACCAGACACACATTGGTGTTTCAATGAGACAGAACTGGCAAAAAGGAACAAACATGGAGTTTCTAAATTCCATATTCGCAATATGCTTGACCGATTTGAGAAGAATGTGACCCCTACTAAATTATGCAGTGCCTATGACTGCAGATATAAGTTACAGAAGCCTCCTCAAATGAGATCCTATCCTCCTGTTGAGCAGCAGATGCCAAAAGTTTCAAGTACAACAGAAAATGTTGCGCCAGTTCATAATAGCCCAAGACGCAACCCATTTGAACATGCTCCTTCACCAGTAATTGTGGAAGAAATTATCAATTTAATGGATTTTAATGAAGACTCTTCAAATTCTCTATCAACAAGCAAGAATGTACCTTTTCTGAATAAAAACGTCAGTTTTATAGACAACCTGCTAATGTACCAAGGAACTTCACCTGTTCAGAGCTCAATATTAACACCAGTGCAGACTTTTGACATGAAGCAGAGCACTTTTTCAAATATTGAGACGACCTGGGGTATAAACGAACAAGCTCTACGTTCTTGGGATATTGTGACTCCCTTGAAAGAGGTAGAACCGGTTTCAACAAAACCTATTATTTTAACTGAAGATGAAGTTCACATAGAAACCAAAAACTCGTCATGTAATACTGACGATGATATTTTTGTGCTATTCAAGTCAAATAGTAATGTAGTAATGAATGATGTAACTATTCGGGAGTGTTGTGGTAGAGATATCAACAAAGACACAGTAACACGTAGACCAGGAATTAGTAAGAAACTTATGCTGGATAAGAGCTGCCTCACCGATGACTACTTAGATGACAAGGATATCTACATAGCACAATTGACAGCTCTGTTTCCAGATGTACCTAACTCGCATCTGAACTACTGGTATGGCAAGTGCAAAGGAGACATTGAATGGACCATTGAGTTACTGCTTGCCCAGAAAGATGACATAATCATTCTCTCGGATGACGAATTGGAGGAGTCTAAGCAGCAGCATGTCAATGAAAATAATGACATACCCTTACCAATGGAACTGGATCAAACTATCAAGCCGAAGCCTAAGAGTCCCACTAATGAGGAATCTATGGAGCTAAAAAAGTGTATTGAAAAAAAGGTGACTATAAATGAAAATTGCTATTCTGATCATCTAAAAAAAATCAGAAATCGCAGGAATGGCGCCCCAGAACTATCACCAACATCAGAAACACCAGCAGTTGACTATGAGGCGCAAGATGCTGTAATGGAATTTATTTATTCCGATAATGAGTGTGGAGACTGGGAAATTATATCACAAGCTGATGATGCTTTAGAGGAAGAAAGTATGGAAATTAACCTGGGTCAACAATTTGTTGAGCAATTAGAAAGAAGGTTTGGAGAGCAGAGCCTTGTGTACCCAAAAGGATTTCAGCCAGTTGTCCAAGTACCTGTCTCGTTGGCCAAACAGCTCTATACTTTCTATATAGAATCAGTATTTCAGCAGATGGAGGCTCAGAACTCTGTACTGGATACCATGGTTAAAGAAGATGAGGAGTTTGCCAGGAAGTTGCAAGAAGAAGAAGAAACATCCATAAGCAAATCTGAAAAGTCATCTTCAGAACCTAGGAATTTTCAAGAAATAGTTAATGAACAGGCAGAGCTTAGCAAATTGGAAAGGGAAGCAGGAAAATGGAAGGAACTAACACCTGATACATTGGCAGCCAAGCTTACACTTCAAAAACTTTTTAAAGCTTTTCCCTATGCCGATCAAACTTCATTGGTTGAAATACTCCATGCTCACAATAATGTATACAAAGACACCGTGGAAACTCTTCTAGCAAGCTTTGACCCTCAACAGATTGTTGGTGATGTGCAAAACATTAAGGAATCACCTTTAGAAGAGTCGGTCATAAAAGAAATGAAGAATGCTCAACAGACCTATAAGCAACACCAGGTAATAAATCCAATGGTATTTTATTTATATATATATATATATATATATATATATATATATATATATATATATATATATATATATATATATATATATATATATATATATATACTATTTAAATATATTTTATTCAGTTTTTAAATTCATTCAAATTCCTTTATCACATTTCCAGCTATAGTAGTAAAAATAATTTTTACTCATAAGTTGTTGCTATGTGTGAATCACAAATATCAAAAGATGTCACCATCTGGAGATAAATACCCAGAAAACCAAGAATAATTAGTTCAGAGAACTCTCTAACTGTATCCATGGTATTAAAATTTTTAAAATAATGCCCTTTAGATAAAATGCTATTGAATAATTTATTTTTTTTCTCTGGAAATGAAGGACAAAGGTGAAGAACGTTCAGCCCAATCTTACCGTGATGAAGCAAATCAATACTATGTCAAAAGATCAGATCTATACCAGAAAGCCAACGAATATCGCTCCCGGGGAATGACAGAAGTCGCCTTGTTTTATTCAAATCTGGCGTCCTGGCAGACAGTATATTGGGAACGGGCCAACAGCATGGCTGCCATGGCATTTGTTGATGAACATTCAAAACGCCTGCAAGATTTCAACACCCTGGACTTACACTTTTTGTATGTCAAAGAAGTGGTGCCCGCATTGGACATGTTCATTGACCGGAATATTAATTTATTGAGGCACAGTGCCACCAAGCAAACAGAGTACTTGCAGATTATAACAGGTCGAGGTAAAAGAAGTGAGAATGGCAAGCCTAAGATAAAGCCAGTGGTGGAAGCCAGACTCAGGAGAAGGAAGATTATGTAAGTTTTGGTCTGTTGTAAGTTATCAATTCAAAGATAATTGAATAATCCTGATATCAATGTCAGCAAAGGCAATAAAAATGCTGAATTTTTCAGATACCAGCACTTAAATCCGGGTCTTTTGAAAATTAAGGTCACTAAACTATCACTGGTCACAAATGAACTGCAGAATATATCCGATCCATTTTAAAAAAAATAGTGAGTATGCTATGTGTACCCAAATACAAACAAAACAGCAGTAACTAAAAATTTCCGTTTTCAGAAATACATAATTTCAGAAAGACCTGTTATCTTCAGAAAATGTAAACTAGATTAGTGATAAAAAAATTAAATCAAGGAGGATTGGGTTAGAAATTAAATTCTATATTTTTATCTGCTTGAACTATAGGTTTTTTGTTTGAGTTGGTGCAAAAGGTTGATCGCTTTTGTTGACACTCTCCATTCGGCAAAGCAAGTTTTCAGGCTGTGCCAAAAGTATATTGCTAAAACGAACAAGGGCTAAAAAAAGTGTGTCCATGGATATTTTAAATTTTCTGACACTACTTTTACAGCAGTTTTGTTATGACTGAATTTATATTTATTGGATATAAAATGAGATAAAAAATGTTAATTCATTACATATATTATTTCCGAATTATGACAATAAGCCTTTAAGTTTAAAATCTCGTTATATGGCGATTTTATCTTTTCTTTTTAGCTCTCCTTTGAGAAAACGAGCAGTCTCGTGGATGGAAAAAACTTATGTTTCAAAGAATTTTTTATTCAGAGTTTCTGTAGTAAAAATGTCATTTATTAAATTGCTTGGGGTCTTTTTATTTTATTCATTAATTTTGGCTATGGGGTAGCTTTAGTATTAATGGTACACTTATATTTATTTGCAGTACTAGTTACCAAATGGGATCAAGCAAATAAAAATAATTTGTCATTATTTTTTTATGGTAAAAATAATCAATATTAACATGTCTTATTAGTACAAAGATTAAGTACAAGTTTTTTTAAATACAATCTAAATCTTTAACTGATATTCATATTAATTGGGCCGCACCGAATTTTGTGATACTGTTTTGTTTTTACCAATAATATTTTCTTTTAAAAATATAATTATATCGGTAATATTTTTTAAATAAATAAGTTGTTATTATTGGCTTTTTAATGAAAATACTTTTGGGAAATACTAAAAATAAAAAAAGGCATCTCAATTATTCACTTATATTTCTTCCCTGAACAAGCACAGTGTTGATCGGTTCCACCATTGTGCCCCCTTTTTCTAGCTACAACTTCCGACTTTGATGACAACTGACTCTTTCTTTCTCTGAAAAGTACTTGTTAGATTCTTGGGTAAGGAGGAAGGTAAGGACAACCGTACCTGGAAGACTTTAATATAATTTCTAAATTTTTCTTACTGTGTCCACGACTCGACATCTTGCTCTTACTAGAGCTGCTCGAAGTAGGTCCCTTGTCGTCTTTAAAGATTTTAAAGTCGACCAGGGGCAGAGACGGTAACCTCTGTTGCTTAACCTGTGACTTGCTGCTTGGCGTGTAGTACGGTATTTCAATAGAGGGTGTACGTGATCTAACCGACTTTAAACTCGCTGCGCTACTTTTTGAACTATTAGTCTTCGAAATTTGGGACGGTTCTCTTCTGAACACTTTCGGTTTTCCCTAATCACAAGTTTAAAATTAAGCCCAATTCGATGGTTCTCCAAATCGCCAGTCGTGAAAAAGTAAAGTTTAAAATTTCAAAAAGACGATAGAAGTCGTAATGTGAAGGTACCGTCGTCCTAAGGGATGCAGCGAGGTTTGAATTAAAAATTGTCTCATGTACAACTAGTTTTATAAAAAACTGATACGGCTTGAAAATTCCACATTATATTTTAAGCAGTATACACATCACCTGGCCGTCAACAAAATTTGTTTTGACTTCCAATATGGGATCTAAAGGCAGATTTATGCAAACATTTTGAGTAATAAAAATGAATACGCATATTTTTTCCTTGTGGATATCGAATTGATCAGTTTAGCGGTTTCGTCAACTGTGAGTCACTTCATAACTACAAGAAAAGTGTGAAGATATCTTTTAAAAAATTTATATTAGGCTTATGTGATATAGTCACTAGAGTATACAATATTTTGTTCAATTTAATTATTTATCGTTAGTTGTTCTCATAGGTTTTATCATTAAAAAAAATCTTAACAGAATCAACTTTTATTTATTTTAAAAATAAAAAGATATTTTGAACTTTTAAATAAACAACTTAAAAAATAATTAGGTTTAGGTAAATGCCAGAATTGTAACAAATTTAGAAGAGGGCCCAACATTTTAACATAAACAGGACAAGAAGAAACACTTGGAAGGAATTTAATATTTTGTGCAATCTCCATCCGCATTAATTATTGTTTGAAGTCTTCGGCTCATGGTTATGAAAGGAGTTATGAAGTTTTCTTCAAGCGATAATTCCCATACTTCCTGAATACCTTGTCATAGCTCCTCGCTGTTTTGAGGCATAAAATTTCATTTCACCATTATGTTACGATGTTTGCAGTGTGGATAGGACAGATATTTTCATAGAAAACTGTCCAAAACTGCTCTTCTTGCGCTTGGTAGTTATGAACGAAAAAAAGCCAAGCTCGCTTTTGTTGGAGAGTGAGTGCAGTCTTTTTGCCGCACTTGAGATGCCATGCGTTAATTCTTTGACAAACTGTGGTTTTACTGCCCGGAAATTCAGCGTTTTTCGCGCTTTGAAAAGGGTCATTCTCGACTACCCCACGCAGCAACTGATCTTGACTGAGGATACCTGCCGCAGTAGCAATTGAAAGCTTTGGTAGCAAAACCAATAGACCAAGGCCTAGCAACCCGGAAAAACTCATTGATTACGATACCTGCCGTGAACGCCTACGGAAGTTTCTTTTTGTCTCCACCTTTTATTAATGGAAAAAACGGCTGTTCTGCTTACATTGAAATGTTGATTACAATTCGTGCATTTATTTTCTAACATATTTGCGACAACATAATTTATTTTTTTTATTTAACAGTGACAGTATTATAAATATGAAAACAATGAAGTTTGCATGACGACATGGTAGCCTATAATCCTCTGCTCAAAACTTTGAAAAAAAGTGCTCTAAGTTTTTTATGAAAGCAGTCGTACCATTAAACATTCGAACCCAATACCCACCGCCGATACGCTTGAAACATTGTCACCTAAGCCTCTCTCCACCCTTTCAAGGCTGCGACAGTGAGATTTGTGTTTCCGTTGCTGGGTGCCCTCCATTACAGGTTCAAACAGGCCCCTAGACATTTTTTTAGTCAATAGTCCAAGTATATGTACAACTCGAACCTTATTTCATCGAAATAGGCGTTTTTTAACAATCTACGGACGTTAGACCTTTTGTCTGGATCATATTCAATAGTATACTGCAAAATCTCTTTTCCGTTCCGGGTTACATGCGGCAATATCTGATCAACTCCTGAACCCCTCACTTTTGGAAAGTACACGCAATTTCTGGACCTACGATTCGAATTTCTATAATCGAACGTCAATTGTCTAATTAAATTTTACTTTGACTTAAGTTTGTTTAAAAATTGTACTGATGGGCTGCCCAGTATTTGATGAATCTTCGCAAGTTGGTCTATCTCACTACTGCCAGGAAACAAGGGCGACAATCTGAATATCATTGAAATTAACTTTCCAATTTGGCATATCAGATTTTGGTATCTTACGTTATCATTTCATAAAATACGCAGCCAGTCGCCCACACATCCATTTTGGGACCATAATTTCCATTGGTCAAAAGACATTCGGGCGAACGATACCATCTTGTCGAAATATATTCAGTATAAGGAGGTACACTATAAATACCCCTTACAGATCCGAGATCAGCTAACTTTACTATGTCATACTGCAAGACAACAAAAGTAATAAATTCCTTCAGCATGTATTAATCCGAGAAACCAGTAACCATTTTAAAGAAACTTTTTATATCATGTTTAAAAACACGCTACATCACTTACGGTTTGAATTTTGGTAAGGCGACTGCGTTCCAAAGAAGGAAATTTTACCAATACATTTTCGGGCTTTACGTCTCTGTGAAATAATCCATTTCTATGCAAGTGCTCAAGGCCCCTCAGTAGCTGGTACAGGTACTCTTTCGCCTTCCGTTCTGTAAGCCCCCTAAATAGTCGATTAAAGTTTTTAAGAACAATCTCCACATAACAATTACAGGGAACTTTCGTGCAGTGATGATTGCAGTTTGTATTTTGCAATCATTATCTCTTAATTATATCACAAATTTATTGAATTGCTAACCAGCAGATATAAAAAATATTTTGTATGCAAGCCTTAATCAATCGTACTTCAAAATTTAAATACAGGGCAGGAATAGACAAACATTTTTTTTTTACAAAAATACAACAAAATTCAAAATATACCTTCGCGCCAAGATCTGATTTTTGATATATTTTTTATTATTTTTAATATATATTATTTTGTAATTAATGTGCGTCTATTATGATTTGAGTATATGGCGTAGCATTGCCTGAATCTACTCCACGACAAAGCAATTTAGGTTAATTCTTTAAAAATATAACTATATTTTTCACCGAACTATGTATTGTTGACAGTATTTAAATTTTTTAATTCAGGGCATACCAAAATACAATTTGATTATAATTTAAAAATCTTGAATAAGTCAATAACGAAAGATGAAAATAAAATAAACCTATATATAACAACAAATTTTTTCTAGAAACAAAAAAAAAAGGAATTGATGTAGATATAAATTATGAAACGTAATAACCATAGATACATTTAAAAAAATACAAATATTGAAATTACTAACTAACTTCATTATCCAACAGGCTCTATCACTACCAAGTGGTAGGTCAACGCCATTCAATGCATGGTTTCAGATGGAAAAATATGTTGATTTATCGCAATGGAAATTTATAAATTAAGACCATATTTAAAATATCTATCTGATTCCATTTAAAAATATGACTCAATAAAAAGACTAACCGAGCAGTTAATCTTTTCCGATAGATGAATTTGATCAGGCAGTTTCAAGATTATGCAGCGCAGGTAATATCTTTTTATAAAACTTCCGGATTTCTCCTGCGTCGGTTTTTTCTGAGCTTGGCTTGCATTTTAGTCAAACTCTGAAGAAGCCAACAGGATGATTGGCGAAACGTTAGCTAGTTTGACTCAACCAAAAACCGACTCAGGAGGAATCCAGAAGTTTTAGAAAAAGTATTAATTTAATTAGTCAGGTAATAGCGTTCGCAATTTCGCAAGGATTCCGTATTTTTTTGAATTTCCTTAGATTTCCAAGATTTTGATGCGATTTCAAAATACTGAGGCCCATTTGTGACAGTATTACCCCTAGTGGATGACTCTTCACACCATTAATACAGAGTTTGTACCTTCTCTGTCTTGGTTTAGGTATATCTTGCTTTGTTATCATTTATTTATGTGTTACTTAAAATTTATTGATTAAGCTCCTTTATGTCTTATCCTTAAATGCCAGTAAATATTCGAAGCAGCATTCTCTTGAAAGTCTTACAAGTTGAATATGGAACATGGAAGGAAGTGGCAACACCCAGTTCTGCATATGGATAATAACATAATATACAATAGTGCATAGTTGGCCCAAGCTGGCTGGCCTAATCACTTAACCCTCTAGTGCACACCCTACCTTATGAATGCAGAAAAAAACTTAATTTAAGAAGTGGAAGAAATTTTTTTCTTAATGGGGTAAATAATAAAACTAATAGACCTTCTTCTGGATTTGAGATAATCATATAGGCTCATGTCCATCAATTCGAATATAAAGGTGACTTTGCCTGCAAATGAGTCACTGAAATTATTGTAGTCAATATTGATATTATATAAATTACAACATACTAATGGTACTCGAACATGTTCAGAATGTTTATGTGAGAAGGCACTTTTTTCGCCGCCACAACTTCTGCACAAGTCACCACACATCCTTCTCTAAAATTAGAATTACATTAAACAAAAACCGAGACTTCAAATAGCAATAGATACGATTTGTATTCTTTCTTTAACCTTTTGGCAGCATAAAATGAATTTGTAGCCCTGTGCTCACACCTTAACACCTCAGAGAAGGAGCCTTCACCTATTTTCTCCAAAACTTTGTACTCTGAGATTATAATATGCTATCATTTTATAGGCAACTAAAAATACTACACTTACTTGCTTGAAATGTGTCTATGTTACACATATTCCTATTTTTTAGCTTCCAATATATAATTTGTATCTAGGTAGCCTCCAACAAGTTAATTTTGATATATCAAATTTACAATTATGACCTGTCAGTGTCAGATAGCCTGTTCTTGAATATATTTAATAAGTGACTCAAAACAAGGTTGCAATTAAAGGCGGTTTTATTACAAATAAAAAATACAAACAAAATAAGTGCTTATCTTTCTTCTAACTGTTTATCTCTTGTTACAACAGATTCTTCAAACTTCACCATATAAGTAGTGCCTTTATGCCAATGGGCTGTAACTTTAGCGGGCTGAAACAACAAATCTACATAACACATACTTGCTTTTTAATTCCAACCTTACAAATCCAGTCCCCGTCAATACCGCTTCCACAATACCTGCTACAAAAACTGCACAGTTTAAACTGCTCTTATCTCTGGGTACTGAAATATATTTGTTGACCAGAGGCTCCTTTTCCATTAAGTAGTAAGTGTTCTCATCATCATTGGAGTGTTCTAATTTGTCAGCTTCCTTCCCAAAAAGTGCCTTCCAGAATGTCGACTTTACAAACAATAAAATACTGAGTAATTTAGTTTCTCTCTTCCCACTCCTTTCTCGCACAAAATACAGGTCAATTAGTTTAAGTCCAACTTTTCTGCCAAGTTCATGCAACCTTATCAAAATTCAAGATTGGTAATTTAAAATTTAACCTTCATTATCTCCAACTCACCTAATTTGCAATTCCGGAACTGTCTGAGACTTGTTCTGGCAATACTGAACAATTTCAGCAAACAAAAGAGCAAAGCAAGTTAAAGATACTTCCCCTTTACCCCTACTGAGGGGCTTATCTAAGATATTTAGACGATACCTTCCACTTAAACTCATTTTTTTCGTGTATATAATAGACAATTTGATGTATCTTTACAAATATTGATAACTAGCACTTTGAAAAACCGTCATGTTTATACACAGAGCTTTACCAAACAAATTGTCCATAGTTAAGGGAGGCCAGAGAACAAGGTAAGTGCTTGTAGGTCTTCTTTTAATATCTGTAAATAAGGACCACTCGCGATTTTAGCCGTATTTTTGGCATCTTACTTGACTTTGAAGGCTTTTATACAGCATCTTCTAAGTTGACGCCACTTAAAGGCACCTCATGAAATTTGGCATAACAAAATCATCAAAATTCAGTACTTAATTTTGATATGAGCTTATCATTGTTTCTTGAATCTCTTGAATTATTTAAAAGCTTTTTTTATTCCACAGTTGAAAGCAAGAGGTTGAACGAAGAGGAAAACGCATTTATCAATATTTAAGATAGTTACTGTACTGAACATGATTGTGTTCAGAATGGTCAAAGAAACCTTAAATAAACTTATAACGACAATTTATAGCGAAAAATGTTTTTCGGCTTATTCGGGCAAAAGCCGTTATGACGCTATAAAGCAAATTCGACTATGAAGTCATGACTTTACAGCAAAAATACTGCTTTGGCAATTATATTTAAAATTCTTTAATTTCAGCTTGTGAGACTTGCAAGGGAATGCTACGTCGAATATTTACTGGCATTCAAGAATGAGACAGACGTCAAGACCTCCATTTAACCAAAATGTGAGGAACATGTTTTCTAACCGGCGATTTATGATTTGACACAAATATAAAAATAAATAAATAGGGAGTTATCAAAAAAAAATAGGGAGTTACCAAACTTTGTCATTTTTACAACTGTGATTGACGTAGCTTTTTCCTTACTTTTCAAGGTTACCGCTCAGCTGATGAAAGTTTATTTAAAAAAAAAGTTTTTTGATTGGCTTTAAGCGTTTTTTTGGTGTATACATTCATTCCAACCGGAAATTTTCTTTTGATTCCAAATTTATTAAATTATTAAATTATGCCGAAGATTTAAATTCTTGTGGACATTCCAGGTACATGTATCAGATTTTTTTAATGAGAATATTTAGAAAATGTTGTAAAACCTCTGTATATTGTATTTAAATCTGAATAGTAATAATTATGTTTATTGTTCAAAAAGTGTTAAAGACAGGAGACAGATAAATACTAGGTTAAAAACTGTCATATATCATTAGGGATAAATACCAATTAAATTTTTGGTGCAAGGTATTAAAGCAAATATTTATTTGATTGGTATATTTGAGCGCAGTTAGCTAAAATTAGTACATCCAACCTAATATTTTAGAGTTCAACTACGCAATCACCATCTTTTTGAAATATTGAAATGCCCCGTAGCAAACGCAGATCCGTTGCAGAGATGAGTTCAAACGACGATGATAGATATGCTTCAAAACGGCTTCGAAATTCCAACAGGTACAGACCTTTACTAAGCATCATAAATTTTACCATCAGTGTTTTTATAACAGCCGTAGATTAACAAGAATGGATGAACCCATGTCATTCAGTCAGAAACGTTGTTTAGCATGGTTCAGGGGCTACACTATGACAGATGACCCTGATACTTTAGGCCCTGAAGGGATGGAAAAGCTATGTCATGACCTGGCTGTTGAGCCAGAAAATATAGTCATGTTAGTGTTGGCATACAAAATGCAGGCCCGACAGATGGGTTATTTCACCAAAGAAGAGTGGTTGAAGGGACTGAGCGAGCTACAGTGTGATAACCTGCAAAGGCTACAATATAGACTTGAATACCTCCGGTGTCTTTTAAATGACCAGAATACATTTAAGGCCGTTTATCGGTATTCTTATGATTTTGCCAGGGTGAGTAAATATAATAAATCATTTGTGTTGCTTTGAATCTATTTATCATATAAAAAGTGGCGTTAGAGTAATCAAATTATAATTAGAATTGAAAAATGTGAATCTGCAATTGTAAAATCAATGAAAAAATATCCATTTTAATACTGTTCAATTTTATGTGACTAATTTTTAAAAAAATCCATCTAAGAAAATATTACAATAAAAACAATTAATTAAAAATACAGTACAGTCTATTATTCTTCGCATATATCATTAATATTGCGAATTAAATTGTAAATTCAAATTTTGGTAAAGCAGCAAGTCTAATTTTCTTATAGGACAAAGATCAGCGGAGTATGGATATGGAAACAGCAAAAGCCATGCTTGAACTCCTATTAGGAAAACACTGGCCATTGTATGATCAATTTAGTCAGTTTCTTGAGCAGTCAAAGTACAAAGTCATCAATAAGGACCAGTGGTCTAATATATTGGAGTTCTCAAGAACTATTTACAATGACCTTTCCAATTACGACGTTGATGGAGCATGTAAGTGTCTGGATTTTTTGTATTACAAGTTTCTTTTTTTTTAATTTTAGGGCCTGTGATGTTAGATGAGTTTGTAGAATGGTTAAGAGCTTCAAGAGTCAAAAACGATATTAGTTGAGGTTTAACCTTGATGCTTACAAACTTTTCATTTTAAATTGTAAATCATACTCAATTTTGATTTGGTAAAACAGTGGCTTTAAGGTGATTTAAGCATACTTATAATTATTTATTTTGAAATATAAACAACTGGTCTAATCAGAAATCACTTTAAAGCCACATACATTAAAAAAACAAAATGAAATTTAATGTGAAACTACATTTTAAAAATAATTAAAAAAAAGAACTGATTCTAGATTTTTTTTTATTAAGATAATATTTCCAAAGTACATTCTTATCATACCACTTCAGACATTGTTTTAAAATTATATAGGTTTAAAATGTCAAACTATTTTTATGTTAGAATAAATTCCAATTATACATTCTGCCATTTCATTTACAATATCTGTCTGCTTTCATTTTGCTCCTTCTGTCTAATAAAGCTTCATGAAACAAACCCTCTTCTTTTGCTTTTTTCAACTTGTTGGTATCCTCAGTACATAACCTGAGTCGTTTGTCTTGAAACTTTTGGAATTTTTTGCTAAAAATAAGGGGAAACTTGAGTTAAGTAACTTTAGAAGGCAAATAATATAAGTACTTACACATAATTTATTTCAATCTGTTTTAGATTTCCTTGCTCTTCTTCAGGAACATCTTTTAGAGGATTGATTTCCTTCACAGTGTGGGATCTTATAATTAAGAATTGGTCTGATCCTGCCCGTTTGGAATTTGCTACAATGGACTCTTCTTGGTCCACTGACATGAAACAATTATTGTCACTGGACAATGCCATTTTACCATTCTAAAAAAAAAATTATATTCAAAAATGTTTTCAAACGCAAATGTTTTACCTCAAAAACAGGCTCCCATTGCTCCATAGGACCAATTGCATCAGATCGTCCAATTACAAGTCCTTTCTTGCTTACACCCAGATATTTCCCATAACCAGATTTAAATGCTACTTTTCGTTCATTGATAGGGACGCCAGTAAAAATTTCTTCAGACGAAGGCCCTTCACCTTCGTCGTGCGGAGCCCCAAGAGTAAATAAACCATTATCCAGAGCTTTGACATACATATGGTTATTAAATTCAATCGCGACCGGCCCGGATATATCGTCTACTTTGGATATTTTCCACCAACTACCGTGTTTCAGGGTATCTTGATCAATTTTTGGTATTTCCTCTTGATGCTTTCTACTCTTATGCTTTCGCTTTTTAGATCTAAAACTTACGAATACATTCCAAATGTTTTATATGCATAAAACTCACTTTTCTTTGTCTCCTTTTAACTTCAATTTACCTACTCGAATTCGTTCGTATTCAGACATTTTTAGTGGAATATGAGCGCTCTTTATTTTACCATTACATCCTTTTGGGCATTTCAATTAGGGACACTCTCCCATTACGTAAGAAGTACGTATATTAAAATCTTTTTAATTGAGTATAATTTTAATACCCACATAAGACTATTGCCAGTAAAATTGCAGTTAAATTACATATTTTATTTAATTATTGATGCTAGGAGCAATATGCGTAAGGAAGAGAAACACCAATTTTTAACTCAAATTGGCGACACTGAAAATAATTTTAGAAAACAGATGTCATTTAAATTGTTTTCAAATTTTATCTATGGTTTTTTGTATATTTTTTGAATTAGGATTTTGATTCCAAGTGCTAATTTTTTGCTAGCGTTTTATTGTAAAGCTATTAATAAATACGTTAAGAACATTTAAAAGATAATGGCAAACGAGGGGGAAAAGCTCCATAATGAACACGGAACCGATGTCGCCATGGATGAACTCAATAACGTAAATTCTAGGGCCGACACTGTAACTGCAGGTAAAAGATCTATAGAAGGTGAGTAGTCAAAATGGAATTAAAATTTTAGTTTTACTAGAAAAATTATTTGCTATAAGTGTTTAATTAAACATTGCATGCTTTAAAATCATCGCCTCTATGGGGTCACTAGTTTGATTGTGCTGTTTTGGGGTTTGTTTTTTCTCTAATATATTTGAATTGAATTCCTGATCGTGACCTTGATAAGTAAAAAAAAACGAATAGGTAATGATCCTTGATGAAACAAAAAAAAAATGGGTTATTCTCTTGTTATTTTTGTCATCAGTGTTTCAATATACATATTCTTATTATAAAATTGTTTTTCTTAATAAGTAAAAATTATATATCTAAATGTGTATTTAGCTGTAATCTTGGTTGGTTTGAAATGATCGTTTACATCAATTTTGGTCAATGGTAGTGGACAGGAACGATTGTATCCTGTTTACAAAAATATAGAAATAATCAAATAAATAATTCTAGAACTTACCTTAAGATAATATAAAAATTTTCAGCAAAAACTACAACCACAACTTTACCCCAACACCTAACAGTTACAAAGACAAAAAGAGGCACAAAGAGCTTTCCTTTTTTTTAGGCATTGCGTCAAACAGTTGGGGATATTCACTAGCTAGAAGTACAGAGACATTTTTTTAATTGTAATTTGACAGATAACTTTTTTTGAAATGTTGCTGTTTCATGCTAATGCAAAAAGTATATTTGTTGCATTCATTATTGCAACTTGAGAGCTTGCAATTGTTATACAGATAATTGTTAGCTTCATTTTGGTGTCACGGAATAGGTTTTGTGAAAATTTTAATTAAGAAATATTTTGTTTTCTCGTAAGATATGTAGCTTCCCAATTATAACACCAATTGAAACCTTGTTTTCTGGAATCGCCATTAAAGTTACTTTTTCAAATTTATTTAGCTAGTAATAAAACAAACAGCTAAAATCAATACAACCTGTCTATTTGGTACAATTCAAATTTGGCTCGTGCCCCATCTTAGTATGTTATTTTACCATACTTTTTTGATACTTATATTTACTACATTTAGAATTTTTTGCGTTCATGTTTTACATATTTTCCTTGTCTGCTTATTTATGTTTAATTACTTTTTTAACTGAAAGAACATAGCATATTTATATAATGTTGAGCAAGTATAATTAGCCATTTGTTCAAAGTTTTTATATTAATTGAATTTTTTACATAGGATGCATATTTTGGAATGCAGCTGACAAAAATAACAATAGGATAGAACATTTCTTTTACTTTTATTAAAGGAACTTATATCCAATACAGAAACAGGGTAAGTCAAAAAACTATTTAATTAGGATATGGTTAACAGTTTAGATAGAAAGATTGGACCAACAAAGGGAAACAGATTTGACTAATACTGATATGGCAAGTTTGACTATTCTTGGAGACGCGGGAAAATTAATTTAGATTGACAGCAATTTGCATGAACATTAAAATTAAAGAGAAACCATCTCTTGAATGTTTGGTCAAAATTGGTACAATTTTATTAAAATTAAAACAGTGACCTGTGTTTCTTTCTAACTATCAACTTATTACAAGAGAAGGTTACATAAGGGTAAAATTATAATAACTTCGCTTTGGGTAGTTTAGCAATCTAGACTCAGATATCCCGCATTTATTTCAAAGCATGACTTTTGCGACAGGCTCACTAGATATATGAATAATCTAATTAATTAGTTAATTATCAATTTTCCATAATCTATTTACTGAAATATTTTTGCCCTGTTCATAATTGTCTAGACAATGAAGTATGATTAATAACTTTCATAAATTAATATTTCCAAAATGTTATGAAATCTCAATATTTTACATTTTCAATGGCTTGAGGTCAGAATTATAATACTAATACGTTTACGTACAAAATGAAGAAGTGTAATATGGGAAGAAGAATTTTGAGGGTAACTTTATTTATTTTCTATTAGATGCATGAATCAGTTTGTAGCATTTTTTGTAATTTGAAATTGTTGTAAATGTTGTTTTTATTTAGAGGAGCCCCAGAAACCTCAAAAAAAAAAGAAGAAGGGGATCAATATAAACGCAGTAGAAAAGAATCCTGTGTCCATACTAAATGAGCTTCGGGTTGGACTGAAATATGAGGTGGACAGTGTCCTTGGACCTCCACACAGTCCTATATTTAAAGTATATGTCACTCTTGATGGGCAGAAATATTACGGTACAGGGAGTTCTAAAAAAACAGCTCGCGCTTGTGCAGCTGAGGAAGCACTGAAATCTTTCATACAGTTTCCCAATAATGGATTTATCATATCTTCAAATAAAAAGGCCGCTGCGGATTTGGATTTTACCGTGGACCAGACATCAGCAAAGGTCAAGGCAAATGGCAATAACTTGCTGACAGACAAAACTAAAAGTCCGGTTATGGTTTTGAATGAACTGTACCCTAATGCATCATACTCATTTATACATAATGATGACGACACAGTAAATAGGTTTCAGACAACCATTACTATTGCCAATGAAACCTTTTCTGGGACAGGTATGTGGAATTTTCCAAGGAACATAATATTTATGTAATTTTTCAAGGCTCAAGCAAGAAAAACGCCAAGGTGGCGGCGGCCAAAACCGCACTAATGAAGCTGAGAGGGTACTGTCCTATTGGAATTTCTTTGGCCACATCTGGGTTAGAAACTACACATACCCAAGAAAAACTACTAAAAGCTGATGCAATCAAAGAGTAAGTTTTTTGTTTTATTCGATTAGTCAGTTGAAATCATGATGGGGAATAAATAAGAGTGCACAAATATTACAGGTTAGTGATGGAGAAGTTTCAAAAAGTGTTGGCCGATGATCTGCAACATACAAAACGGAAAGTGCTGGCAGGAATTGTAATGACTCGAGGCCCGACTATGGATGATGCTGAGGTTATTTGTGTGACTACAGGCACCAAGTGCGTTTCAGGCGAGCACATGAGTCTCAGCGGCGCGTCTCTGAATGATATGCACGCGGAGATCATAGCCAGACGTTGCCTTATCAACTACTTCTATGATCAGCTCGAGCTATTAACAAATCCTGGCACACTTTCCCTTTCAATATTTGAACAGAGGAGCGAAGGATGCGGTTACAGACTAAAAAAAGATATTGAATTTCACTTATACATAAACACTGCCCCATGCGGAGACGCCAGAGTGTTTTCTACAGGAGAGGACCACCCTTCTGAAGATAGACATCCAAATAGGATATCCAGAGGACAATTAAGGACAAAGGTTGAGTCTGGAGAAGGCACAATTCCCATCAAAGGTGTGGCGATTCAGACTTGGGACGGCATAATACAAGTAAATGTCTAATGTTTGACTAGGGGGACTGTTCAATTCAGGAACATTTTTTTAGGGCGAAAGGCTCTTAACTATGTCATGTTCAGATAAAATTTGTAAATGGAATGTTGTGGGTGTCCAAGGCGCACTGCTGGCGTATTTCATTGAACCTGTTTATTTGAAAAGCCTAGTAGTAGGTGGGCTAATGAAAGAATCCCATCTATATAGGTACAGAAAAAGTTTCTAGTTGGTAGAAGGCCTTCAGGGGCATTGGGCTGTAAATGTTTGGGGCCGGTTGAATTAGTGCCTTAAATGGGTGTTGTCCTTGATATAATCAGTTTTTATTTAATTGAGCTAATATTTTTAGGGTCACTTAAACTGATTCAAATTGCAGAGATTTAAAAATTAAAAAAAAACAATTTGGTTAAAGCATTCTAATATTGATTTCAGAGCAATTTGCGGCAGAATAGAAAACGTCCTGCAGGGATTACCTCCGCCATTCCTTCTAAACAGACCAGAAATGTTACGTGTGTCATCAAATGAGATCAGGCAGGTGCAAAAGGCACCCAGCTTCGCAGTATTATGGTGCCAGAGTATGCATATACCAGAGATTGTTAACACAGAAAAGGGCAGACCAGACAATGGCATCTCATTGGTTTGCAAGCAGAAATTAGCATCTAGGTTCAGTATATTGAAGGATAAATTATCGAACATAGCTGGGAATAAGAAACCACTATTGTTAACAACATATGAGGAGGTTAAGCAATCAATAATGGGATATGCCGCAGCTAGACAGTCGCTGTATGAGGCGTTTAGCAAGGCTTGTTTGGGTAAATGGATAACGAAGCCAATGGAACAGGATTTGTTTGAGTTCTGTGCTCCATAACTGTTATTTAATATATTACTTTAATTAGAATGCAAAAGTATTTTAAAATGCCACATCAAATTAGGTACAAAATAATGCATAGGATTAGTTTAGTTTTAAGTTCAATGTTTTATATGTACAATTTTAGAGTTTTAAGTACTATATTTTAAATGTACAATTCTTCTATTTTCACTGAACATATTCTTATGTGTGTCTTATATTCTTAAATTGGTTTCTAATAATCTAGGGATTAGAAAGATTCAATTAGAATGTTGGCAATAAAATTTAATATCAAATGATTTTTTTTGCCTTTGGAGAAGTGCAAAATTTCACCCAAAAAGAAAAATTGCAAGCTAAAGAACATACACTTGTCATCGATGTTGAGTATTAAAAATTTACAAAGTTGCTTGTACAACCCTGCTGTACTACAAAACCATATACAATTAAGGAACGCTTTATTAAAGTTCACTAAATTTTTATTGCTATTGAATTTTACCGTGTTAATCTAACATGTTGATTACTTTCCAGTGGAATATTTTGGCTACGATGTTTTATAATGCCAGCAGCTGCTTAAATTGACATATTTTCCTAATATACTGGTTAACTCCTGCTCCAAGAGTTTGTGCAATGTGACAGAGTCATGTCTGTAGATCCAACAGTCTTGTTTAATCAAGTAATCATATCGTTTAGGTCCTGATATTGGGGAACTTAGCCAAATCTGTTTATTTGGTGATTGCCGATTAATGACATACACTCCATGTCGCATTAAATCAACAGTGAGAACTCCACTCTATGAAAAGATTGTTATTATTTTATAGTAGAATACAATATAACAAATTACTTACGCTGTAGTTGACATCTGCATTAAATAAAGCTTGTTCCTTACCCACAAGATCCTCAAAAAATTCTGCTAAAGATTCCAATGTTTCTTCACATACTTTTTCAAATAGGTTCCTATCTATTTCTTTAATAGGAACATTAACATTTGAATAGTTATGAGTTGGAGTTATTGTAATATTTTCAAGAAAAATTTTCATAAAGGCAAAAGAAGATCTCCAATGATATGTACATATAGGTACATCTCGGAGAAAACGTTTTGGAATTACATCCTTTATTACACAGGCAACTTTTAAACTGTCCTTTAATGCTGCCCGAAACATTGCAGTATTAAATCTGAAGTATTCATTTGTAAATATTGTAAAATTAATAAACTAAATAATTTGCTGGCTATGTTATCTTCTAATCCTCATGAATCACTAAGAAAAAAATAATTTTTAACAAGCAACAAATATAATAGCTTTCGGCAAATGGGGAATTTCTGGCTCAGATTAGTAGGAATATTTTGTTTATAAATGAAAAATGCGATGTATCTAACTAATCAGTTTTTGGACACTAAACTTTTTAAAGGATTAACAAGAGATGTCATGTATGGATTAAAATACTCAACTATTATTTGCATTGACTTTAATAACGTCAGTCAGTAATCATTGTTTCATTTATCACAGATCATAGATACCATTGTCGGAGTAACTTTTAACATACCGTAAGTCATACGCCCAATGCTTATTTCATGAAATTTCTTTCTATTAATAAGGGCTAATATAAGGAAATCCCATTAAATGTTAAATATGCGTAATAGCTATTATACCTCAATTCTAATTGATAAAGGTTAATAGACTCTAATAAGCTTTACATACTAATTCACCTAACACAATTTTCTTTCTAAGCAGCGATCTTGAAACACGTTTTCTCTTTTGACAAAATCCCGCCAAAAAAGTGCCATATCGTAACTGCAAACTGTCAAATTGACGAACTCTAAGACTTTCGCATGCGCAGTGTTGGCTTAACTGGTTTTTTGCTCTGAAAATGTAATGGGATCTGAGAATATTTTGACAAAATACTGCCGAATAAGTGCAATATCGAAACTGCAAACCGTCGAATTGACGAACTGTAAGCCGTAAGACTTGAGCATGCGCATATTTAGTGTTTCTTCTCGACATTACTTGATGTTGGGTTGAAAAAAGCCTTATCAACATAGGCAAGTAGCTACATGGACCGAAGTTATGGTGGAAACGGCTTTTATTTGATGTTGATTTTGGCTTTAGAGATTTTAGTACTTTAGTTCACTTTAGGATTTGAATGTGTCTGCACCAAACGGCTATTTTTCTATTTGACAAAAGAACAACTGACGAAAATATTTTGTTACCAGTGCAACCAACATTAGGAAAAACACGGAAAAAACGAATTTTAATTTTTAGCACGTCTTTACTAAATAAAATGGTCGTCCGTTGGCGCTTGCGCTATTTTATTGATCAATTTTTTTTTAAAAATCATTTTTTAAATTTATTCGGCTAATGGGTTAATATTAAATAAAATTTGAATCAACCATTAATTATATTTCATTTAAACACATTATCCACAAGGAAGTCCTTTTGCTTTAAATATAAAATTTTTATTTTTTAATCCTAACGATTTTGTTTAGATTCGCATGAGTCATGCGCTCTGTCCCGTATTGTGTCAATCCAAAGTATTGCGCTAGTTCGCAATCAGCCATGTTCTGTTAAAACTTAAAAACCTGACGGTGGTTTGTTTTTATATAATATAAGAGTGAGCCCCCCCGTCAGAAATGGCAGGAAACACGGGGATGGAACAACTCATTCCCATTGTCAACAAGCTGCAAGATGCCTTTACTTCGTTGGGGGTTCATATGACCCTAGATCTGCCACAAATTGCAGTAGTGGGCGGACAATCGGCAGGAAAAAGTTCCGTTTTGGAGAATTTTGTCGGCAAGTAAGTGTTTAATGATTTGGTCTTATTGTCTAACGCGCCTTTATAAAAAAGCCGTTTTTAATTTGACCTTATTATAGTGTTGACAGCTATGTTTTTGTTTTCTTTTCACAGAAATTCACAGGTTTTGCGTTTTTCAGAATCATATAATTTTTATCCGAATGTATGGGCTTTTGACAATGATAATGATGATAATAATGAAAATTATATCTTCAACTAAATATTTTATTAATGACGACTTTTTTCACATAACAGCTTTTACATTTTAGGGATTTTTTACCAAGGGGTTCAGGGATTGTAACCCGTCGACCATTGATCTTGCAATTGATTAATGGAAACACAGGTGAGATGATTTGGAAGTAATCCAAAATTTACCAATATTGGAATAATAATAGTTTTTTCTTCCTGCAAAAGTCATTTAAACAAAGAAGTTTATATAAGTTTGTCATTTAAAATTTTATTTTTTATTTATTTAAATTAGAATTGAACCTAAGAAGCAATTATTCTAATACATCAGAGCTTTACTATTTAATCAGCAACATTTGTAAAGAATAATATCATGTATAGAGGTTAAAAGATTAAAGATCATAATTAAAATAGCAGGAATGAAGACCGGGACACAATCCTTCTAAATGAAACTTGATTGGGAAACATTTTTCAATGAACTCATCTAACTAAAATCATTAGACAGAATGTAGATGATCGCTAAAGACAGGTAGCAACCTGTGTAAAAAACAATATTGTTGCAGATTAAAACAATTAATGATAACCAAATTTAACATATAATCAAAATAATAGGACTAAACATAATTAACCTATATTCTTAAACCCATGATAACATTAATGTAACACTTACAAAATCTTTACACTTTTTGCGATAAATGCTCTCCAACACATAACACATAAAAGACTTCATCATAAATAATATCCAAATAATATTAAATTACTGCCCTGCGAGCCTATTGCAATCCCCTAACCAAACCTTAATGTAGTATATTTAACTATATATAGCAGTGAATTAGCACATTCAATGCTATTTGAAAGTCCTGCCAGTAACCACTTTTCCACAATGAGGATAATCAACCACAGAAACGCCCACCAAAAAAACCCTTGCCATGCATCTCACCTGTTAGAAGTTATAGAAAAGCAGACTGGGAAATTTGATAATTAATAACCAAACCAATAACAGATTGCTTACAATACAACTCAAATATATGTGTCGAAGATATAGATATTGTGGCAGCCAAAAAATATATATTTCCAAAAACTGATTAAAGACAAGAGAATGCAAACATGGACATAAAAGAAAAATTCAACCTTGCAAGAGAAAAATTTAAGTTTAGAATATATTGATGAATTGAAGACAACACGGGATTTGGGGTATTCATTCCACATATTGGCTATAAATTTTCGATCTGGATATTTATCAATCCTTAGTGGCAAAGGTTGTTAAATTCCTACTCAACATTTTTACAGTCCTATCCAAACCTAACAAAAATATCGTAAAAATAATAATCTTTCTAAACTACAAACAAAATTAAACTTTGACAAAAAAATCCCAAAATTCCCAAAATTATTAATATAAAAAAAACATCTAGAATTGAGAAATTACTGGTTTCTTTTTTTTGTGAATATAATTAGGACAACTGCTACCTCTTCGATAACAAGTGTTCTTTAGAATTGGTAAAGAGTTCAAGTTCATATTTTTAAAAAACCTAGCCGGTGATGTTGCTGAAATGACAAAATGTCTGGTTTTTCTGAATTGCCCTGAATAAGTAAGTAATTTTGCAAAATTTTCAAAGCTATCCAGAAACGAGATTTGCCATAATTATATGTGATAATTAATGCGATCTTTTACATTTTGTACTTTTTTCTTGCATAATTATTTAGAGTGTGCCGAGTTCCTACATTGTAAGGGAAAGAAATTCGTTGATTTTGATGAAGTACGTAGGGAGATTGAAGCGGAAACTGATAGGGTTACAGGCAGTAACAAAGGAATATCCAATATACCTATTAACCTGAGGGTGTATTCCCCGAATGGCAAGTACATTCAAAGAATTCCCACTTGTCATAAAGTGCGTAATGTTACATTTCAGTGTTGAATTTAACATTGATTGATCTGCCGGGTCTTACCAAAGTTCCAATTGGAGATCAGCCCATCGACATTGAACAGCAAATCAGAAGCATGATTTTGCAATTTATCAAGCGAGATTCATGCCTTATATTGGCCGTTACCCCGGCAAACACAGATTTGGCAAATTCAGATGCTCTTAAATTAGCCAAAGAGGTTGACCCACAGGGCATACGAACAATAGGAGTAATAACCAAGCTTGATTTGATGGACGAGGGTACTGATGCTAGAGACATTTTGGAAAACAAGCTTTTGCCCCTAAGGAGGGGTTATATAGGGGTGGTGAACCGGTCTCAGAAAGATATAGAAGGCAGGAAGGATATAAAAGCCGCTTTGGCAGCCGAGAGGCAGTTCTTTTTGAGGTATACTGCAAAACATCGCTAGTAATGAAAAGTTTATGGAGTTATGTTTTAGCCACCCATCTTACCGGCATCTTGCTGACCGCCTGGGTACCCCTTATTTGCAGAGGGTTCTCAATCAACAATTGACCAATCACATTCGCGATACGCTGCCTGGTTTACGAGACAAACTTCAGAAACAGCTGCTGCAACTTGAGAAAGATGTCGATCAATTTAAACATTTCCGACCCGACGATCCAGCGATTAAAACAAAAGCAATGTTACAGTAAGGCCATTACATTCTTTTACTGTTGTGTTTGTTACTAAATACATAGGTGACGACACTTGTGAAATAGTTTTCGTTACACAAAATTTGTAATCTTGAAAATGTTTTGCCTTTTTTTACGTTTTCTGACATTAAATACAATTTTTTTCTAAAGAATGATACAGCAGTTGCAAACTGACTTCGAGAGGACCATAGAGGGATCCGGTTCAGCACAGATCAATACAAACGAATTGTCTGGGGGTGCTAAAATTAATAGGTTGTTCCACGAAAGATTCCCATTTGAAATAGTTAAGATGGAGTTTGACGAGAAGGAGTTGAGGCGAGAAATTGCGTTTGCTATTCGGAACATCCATGGTATCAGGGTAAACTGGGCAACAGCCTCGTCCAAAGGGGGTTGTTCAATTTTCGAATTCTAGGTGGGTCTTTTCACTCCCGATATGGCGTTCGAAGCCATCGTAAAGAAGCAAATATCGAGATTAAAGGAGCCTTCTTTAAAATGTGTAGATCTGGTGGTTACTGAATTGTCTAATGTGGTGAGGATGTGTACTGACCGGGTAAGTCTAAGATTACTGTAAATTTATCATTTTGGTCACATTTGCGCTTCTTAGATGAGTCGATACCCCCGTTTGAGAGAGGAAGTGGAACGCATCATAACGACTCAAATCCGACAAAGGGAACAGTATTGCAAGGAGCAAATTTGTTTGTTAAACGATTGTGAATTGGCCTATATGAATACCAATCACGAGGATTTCATTGGCTTCGCGAAGTGAGATCGCCACCTAAAAGTAACACGTTGATATCTAAATGTTTCCGATTTCAGCGCTCAAAATCAATCGGAGGCGGCGGCCGCGAAAGGATCGCGCGGCACATTGGGTAATCAAGTGATCCGCAAAGGTTACATGTGCATCCATAATTTGGGTATCATGAAGGGCGGTTCCCGAGATTACTGGTTCGTACTCACGTCTGAGAGCATCTCTTGGTACAAGGACGAGGAGGAGCGGGAAAAGAAATACATGTTGCCTCTGGACGGACTCAAACTCAGGGATATCGAGCAGGGGTTCATGTCGAGGCGGCACATGTTTGCCCTCTTCAACCCCGATGGTCGTAATGTGTATAAGGTTAGGCCCGCCTGCGAAAATACTATAATAACAGTTCAGTTGTGTTGTGCGATTTGCATTAATTGATTTGAAATTTTGCGTCCGAAAAAATATATTTGATTCCCTATTTGGTTAAATTGAAAACATTGCAAAGCAAAGGAACAATTTTTCAAGATGTATTATATGAGTGAGTAAAATCTTTTTATTTGTTATATAGTACACAATTAGACTTAATCTATGATGAACTAAGCACTTGGTTTAAATTTTCATTGACAATTTCTAAACCGAGAACTTCTAATTTATGTCAGACAAAAAAATATCTTCTACACCGGCTCGATGTCTTTAGGATTACAAACAGTTGGAGTTGAGTTGCGAAACATTGGACGAGGTGGACTCTTGGAAGGCATCGTTTTTGCGAGCCGGCGTTTATCCCGAAAAGCAAACTGAACAGTTAAATGGCGAGGAGGTCGGTTCTTGCATTTTGTTGGAAACGTGTTGACTAACAGCGCCAATTTCAGAGTTCTAATGAAAGTGGTTCGTCTAGTTCAATGGATCCTCAGCTGGAACGTCAAGTGGAAACAATCAGAAATCTGGTAGATAGCTACATGAGGATTGTTACTAAGACAACGCGAGACCTCGTTCCCAAAACTGTCATGCACATGATAATAAATAATTGTAAAGACTTTATCAATGGAGAGCTGTTGGCTCACATATACGCCAGCGGCGACCAGTCTCAAATGATGGAAGAGGCACCGGAAGAGGCTCAGAAGCGCGAAGAGATGATGCGCATGTACCACGCCTGCAAAGAGGCTCTTAGAATTATCGGGGATGTGTCTATGGCGACAGTTTCCACGCCCGTACCGCCCCCCGTCAAAAATGATTGGCTCGCAAGTGGGCTAGAGAACCCTCGGCTGTCGCCGCCTAGTCCTGGAGGTCCGAGAAAACCCACTCCGCAGATGGGCGTGGTCGGGCAAAGCGGTAGGTTGTTCACTAATTTGTTAAAGTCGTAATAATACTAGTGTTATTATAGGGTCTTTAGGGTCTAGGGCGCCGCCGCCACCGCCGAGCTCAGGTCGACCAGCCCCGGCCATTCCCAACAGACCGGGTGGGGGAGCACCGCCTATGCCGCCTGGGCGTCCTCAAGGGGGAGCCTTGCCTGCTCCGTTGATCCCCACGTACGTATTTTTAAAAAATTAAATGATTTCGTTTCACATCTTGCGTTTGTTCAGTAGTTCTAGCTGAGTGTCGAGAGTCATTTTGAAGTTGTGGTTTTATTTTCAGGAGGCGTTAAGAAACTGCTCTCCAAAATAACGCCACAGTGTATTTTAAGGGCGTTCAATAATCCCTTTGTTTGTTACACATTTCAATCTCAGTTTTTTTTTTTTTTTCAAACATAACCTTAGGAAATTGGAATCTTTGTATTTTATTGTTGTTACATCTGATGTTGATATTCTACACGCTCCATTTATGGTTTATATTATTTTTGTCAGCAGATATAGAACTTAAATGTAAATTATGTGCTACAACAGTATTGGTAATTGGATTTGCAAAACTCGAGCGTGTAGAACTTGGGTATTTTAATTGCGTTTGCCAGTTTTAGGCTGGACAGACTGGCATTTGCGGTCTCCCACATGTGACATGTGGTTGTCTCTCAAAACATAAGCAAGTGACTATAGTTTATATTAATCGGTGGTGGACTACCATGAACTTGAGAATATGACTTAACTTTTTTGGCTTCAAATTTGCTTTGCTAATTTAAAATTAATGTGTAAAATTATAATGATTGTGATAAAATTTATCGTCATTAGAAATTATATATTTCCTAGACATAGCTCAGCTATGACAACAAATTGGGCTATGGCGTCAGCCTGAATGTTGAATTTTCAAAAAACTTCATTTAATTCTATGTTGATTTCGCTACTGTGGTGCCACACCGCGCGGAACAATTTTTTCTGTTTCTTGCCTACCAAAACTGGATAAAATATAATTCTTTTGTGTAATTTTTTATTACAGTGGCGAGCATAAAATTTAGGTCACTCAAAAATTGCAATTTTTTTAGGAAAAAAAATGTATAACGGATAGTCAATAGAGTAGGTGACAAATTATCCACCCTACTCTATTGGGTTAACTGAATTTAACATTTAATCCTCCCTCAGCTCTTGGGCACTTCTTGGACCTAGTATATGTCTTTGAATAGGTCGTCCCATCTCATCCCACGCATGTTCGATGGGATTCATGTCTGAACTGAGCGCTGGCCAATCAAACCGAGTCATCCCACATCATCCAGCTATTGAGTGACAATTCTGGCGGTGTGGGCATAAAAATACCGTCTCTTCGCTCATAGTGATCATTAAAGACATAGCATGATTATCCAGAATTTCCGTAATGTACCTGTGAGCTGCCAGAGAGCCATTCTTTATAAAAACCAACTCTGTGCGTGCTTCCGAACTGATTCCCGCCCAAACCATAACCGAACCACCACCATGTGGAACTTTTTCATCAGTAGAACCTGGCGCATATCTTTCTCGGGGTCTCCTCTATACTTTCTAAAAAAAATACCTTGTTCCATTCTGTTCTATTCCGCAATCTTGAGGACACCAAAAATCTATTATCCCTTTGGTTAGTGATGCTTCCTCGACCGGATCCTCATTTCATCTAGCACATAGACTGCTACCAACAATTCTTGTAGTTTTCCGTTTTCCTCGAGCACCTTGTATTAATGCTACAATTCTAGCCAAAACAATAGGATCTAATGGCATTTAGTTAAATACATCTTAGAACTAAAATACACCAAACAATCATAAGTTTTATGGAGATAAATGAACAGTAAGTTTAAAAGTACCTAAGGCACGAATCTTTAATTAGGCTGAAGTTGTGTTATTTCATCAAAAGTTGCCACTACGCCCTCACAATAACCCACAGATAACAAATACCTCCATCCGCATTTGTTGGAAAGCAAATAATTCGCTGTCTACTAGACACACTTGAGTGACTTAAATTTTTTGCTTGCCAGTGTAATAGTTTCATTCAAAGGTATACGAAAAATTTCAGCAGTATCTCCCCCTTTTATTCTTCCGGAGGTATTCTTGAATTCCGCTTGTCACGTCTTTGTTTTGTTGGTATTCCTTTCTAATACACATTAGTAATGTAGAGGCGGGAAAGTTTGTCATCCTTAAAAAATTTTTCACCATCAGTTTGAATTATGTTTAAAAATTTAACTCCGCTTTTTCGACTGATCTTTCCGCCTTTGCATTTATTTTTTGGCAGACTTTGACACCTATTTTCCATTTTCGATGTGGCGGTTTGACATTGCTAACGTTCAGGCACAGATAGTTAAATTCAAAATATTTAAACCTCAAAGTCTCGTTCGAAACAAAGGAAATATATATTGACTTTGGGGCTAAGAGTTCTCTTATTTGGTCTTTAACAGCCGCATGCAACAAGGAGGCGTGCAGATTCCGCAACAAGTGCAGATGGCTGTAGGTCGGGCTGTTACTCAAGCCGCAGTCAACGAATTGTCGAACGCCTTCAAGTTTCCTAAGTAAATATAACGTATTGTTTTTAAAACCTATCTTGTGTTCTCTGCGTCGCCGTCGTCTAACACGAAAGCGCGTTGTGCTTTATCATTTTGGTGCGACTTCTATGAAGTGTCCCTGTGAGCTTCTTCGTGTTAAGCACTTGTTATATTGAATGTGCTAAACTTGTGTTTACTAATTTGGTTTCAATTAACATATCATTTAACTTAGATAAGACCACCTTAGTTTGTGATGCATAATCAGTGTACTATAATAGCAATGTTAACACTTAGGGGCAATTGCTGGTGCCAATGGAAACCAACACGAGAAGGAGACTAGTTGCTCTACTGCAATTGTACACAACCTTCCCCGTGTTTCATTGTCGCCAAAATGTTTTCATTAAAGATAATTATTCCATACTAAAACATTCCAAAGTTACCTTTAACTGACGACTCTCTAGAATGAATTAGATTTATGAACACATAGTTTAGAGTCAATGTGCATTTTCAAGTAACGCACACAAAAAAGTTCTTCCTCATAGCAGTTTCATTTGTAGTATGAAGGACGTCGCTTTGGATATTGTAAAACGTTGCCCAGTAGATCTTATTTTTTGTTTCGGAAAAATTTGTGAAGGGCGTCTTATTTGTCTGGAGCAGACCAGTCAACTTAACGAATGGTACCTCATTTAGTAAATGCTGTTTTTTTATTTAGACAAGTTTTTCTACATAAAAATTTATTCTAACTAGATTATAAGTTAATTTTGGATTAAATTTAAATTCTACAGGCGGACGGAATATTGCTGAATGTGTTGTTGTATTAAATATTCTGTAAATAATTTGTAGATACTACGCTGTTAATGAAGTTGATTTTGTGCGTAGAACTCTTTGAAGAAATCTGCCCCTTTCTTTAATTGTATATTTTATTTTAAAATTCCCCTCTTAACTTTTCCGAAATAAAAATCATTTTAAATAAATTTAAGTTATTTCTAAAACATTCAAATTTTCATAAAAATGTGTGTACTTTACTTTAAAATGTTAAAGTCTGTTATGTTGGCAGGGTAACGAGTACTAAGAAAAGTGTATAACAACAATTTGTTATTTAAAGATAGTGGTTAAAGAAAAATGAAAGGAAATTTCAAATGTTCCGTTATAACTCATGATCAATGAAGTAGAATTCATGGAAACTACTTTTAAAAGGAGTCTTAAACTCATTTAAGTTCATTTCTTTCTTAAAATTCAAAAATAAAACCATTGACACATAAAAAATTCAGTCAATGTGTTCATTTTTCAAAAACCCTGTATGCTTGAAACTATTCGTTTTTCTGGAATTCGGTTATTAAGATTTCTTCAAGGACAAAACACTGCCTAAAAACGGCGGAAATTAATTTTTATTTTGTCCGGCTGCAAAATTTAAAATGACACCACCCGGCATATTATTGATGGATTTCTATATCGATAACTTATAACTTGTCTCTTTTGAAATTTTCCTGAGGGCTGCCCATCCCATATTTTGAAACAGTCAATTACAATGTAATTTAATATCAGTTTCTTGAATTGAATTTCTTAGGCCTAACGATTTTTAAAACCAATTGTGGGACGTGGTGCTTTGCTTTCTCCCGCAACCGTTATTAATGGTCCCAGAATGACTGGAATTTGATATACAGTATTTTTGTGTTTGATGAAAGTTGTTCAGAAAATTATGACGCGCATCAAATTGAGCATCAACATTTCTTGAACATCATAGTTTAAAAATAAAAATAACTCTTTCATATATCTCCATAGTATGCTTAAAGTTACTGATAGTCTCTGTTGAAGTTTTTACAATTATTGTCATCTTAAAAATATTGTAATATTGCATTGTTAAATATTTATAATAGGATATTATTACGACTATAAAAGTAATACCTAACGTTATCGCATCAATTGAGATTTAAAAAAGATATAATGTAGCATACATTTGAGAACGTTGTAGATATTTACCGGTAGGTTTTAAAACGGCGGTGTGGGTTGGGACTGGCAAAAGTAGTGTGAAATCGATAAAAACCGCAAAGACAAAAAAATTCACAAGTAATATTATTCATTGCACTTTTAATATTATGTAGTTATGTGTAAATATAGATATACAACGCAGTGCTATGTTTTTATTTTTCCCTACTAACAACCTATCACATTTCATGTTAACCATGTTAACCCGCCTGTGGTTGAGGTTTCGCTTTTGTTTTTTTTTTAAGCGTACTAACACTACACTTCGTTGTGATTCTCATTGCTGTTGCTATACTAAGTGATTTAGACACAGCTTTCATAATAGGGTGGTTAAGGTGGTAATAATAATTGAATAGATAAAATTTAATATTTTATCTCTTAAATTCGATATTCACCTGTTATTAAAAGTGTTGAGTAGGATAACTAAATTGAAACTGAACAATGTTACGGTGATTTTCAGTCGTCCGGTACCCAACATCCCGCCAAGACTGCCCGACAGACCGTATCCAACTAAATAGGAAGTACCAAATTGGATTGCGACTGCTCCATTAAATTGTTTTTCAACGTTGGCGTTTAGCAATTTTACTGTGATGGTATTATGTATTCTATAATTATGTGAACAGACTAAGGTAACATACAATTTTTGATAGTGAATTTAAGATGCTAGTCTTTCTAATAAATAGTATTATTAGCAATTTTTTTTAATTTACAATGTTTAATATGTATATATTGTTTTATAATAAATATATTTTTAATGTAACAAAAATTTATTTACTTATGATGTGAAATTACAATTTTACAGATTTCTACGTTAGTCTTTTTCAAATGTATAATGTTGTCTTCCCTTGGCTGGCATTTGTTTTGGAATCACGGGGTGAAACATTTTAAAACTTTCGGCCGTCAAGTAAATAGAGAAAAAACCAGCCAACACTCCAAAGAACTGGGCCCAGTAAATCCACAGTGGGAAGTTCAAATTTTTATAATTAATATCATACCGATCCTCCCTTAACAAATCGAAATCAGCATGAAGCTGCAAATTAAATCATGATGTGTGTATTATCAAAATGTCAATGTTAATTACAGGTTCTTTGAAGTTTTTCTTCAATTCTGGAACATCCCAAGGATAAAACGGATCCTTGTTCTCATATGATATAAGTGGCAACTTTGGGTAATCGCCATATCCTTCTCCATCGTCCACATAGGGCTCGTACTCCGATGGATGTAGTTCGTACTTTTTAGCCGCGTTTATTCGTTTCTCCTCAGTGATAGGATAGGGACCTGGTTTGTAATATTGGTACCAGTCTAAAAACAAAGATTACACAACTAAACTTAAATTTAACCTTAATTTCATATAAAACAAGATCTTACGGTTCCTTAATCCTGTCATTAAAACAGGAGCCCTTTTTAGCCAGGGCTTCACAGTTTTTAATGGAATTTTTACAGAATTCATTTGGGAAACAAGGAAAAAATCTAGTTTTTAAAATGACATCCCTACGCACCCATAGAAAATGATTGGCAGAAACAAATGGAATTATTTTAGATCATAGAAAACAAAGCATCATTTTCAGTCAACAACAGTGCAAACCAATTAGTTGAGAATGTAGTTAAGGCCCATTTCAATTTAAGCTTATCTAGTAACAGCTGATCAGTTCGTTTTAGTATTTTTAGGAAGTTTCGGAACGCGGCCAAAATCATCTGATCAAACTTAGCAAAGAAAGTTGAGAAAGTGTGGGAGTGCAACATTTAAAATTTTGACTGATTTGATAACCGTTGCGACAGTTAAGTTCACTACCTCAATCACGCGTCGATTTTACCAGAGCTTTATGATGTTTTATCACTTTTATTACGTCGAGTCAAAATTCGCTAAATTACCACTTCCACGACGAAATGGTTTCGTACGTCGCGTATTTCTTTGTGAAGATATACAACGCTTATGTTCGCAAAGTGCAACGTGTTGTGGCTTACGGCGCAGCTAGTGATCAGCTATCATCACGAACCACTGAATGATATGTAACACGTGCGTAGCCACCACCGCAACAATAAACATTCCAAAAAGTCCCTATTGCTTATGTTTCTCAGCATACATTAATATTCCAACGTGCCGAGCCAATCAGAACGCGGCGGCTAGTTTTGACTATGGCGCCAAATTCAAACCGAATCGGAGGTGTTTAAAGTTGGCATCCGCATACCCATCTTTACTTTCTTGACAGATTGGAGAACGCATGTCGCATAAGTATGATCGCTTGGATTATTTGTTGTTAATCATTGACCAAGTAAACTTTGGTTAATTTGTTAATTCTGTTTAAAGTTTATAAAATCATACAATCATGCAATAAATAAAACACTGATTAAAGTAAGCAATTATCTAAAAAATAAAATATTATATGAAAATGAAACGTTTATAAATAGTTATATTACTTTTTATTAGGATAATATGTTTGCTTCTCAATGTTTCTTTTTTTCGAATTTTCCTCGGAATTTCGTTGTTCTGTGTCCATCTTAAATGTCCTAAAAATATCCACAAATTTCCCAAAAGATTCTTCGTCCAAGCTGCGAGCAAAGCTATTCATTTCTTGCAAAATGACCTGTAACAAAAATTATGCAAAATTAAATGCAATAGTGTCTACATGGAGATCGGACATCATCTGCACTTAGTTTTTCGACGATAGTCTCCTGTTCAGCTTTTGATAATATCTTGGTCCATAGTTTATCAGTGTGTCCTAAATGTTTTTCGACAAACTTTACCGTCACAAATCCTAAAAAAATATAGTTAATCTGTAGATAACAATAATATTATATTATTTACCCTCAGTTGAAATGATAACTACAATTCTTGAAGGACATGTCCCATGAATATGAATACTACCTCCAGTTTTCACACTTCGTTTTTTAGCTGAGCTGGCAAATCCTTAAAAAATATGACACATTATATGCCTACTCACATATTAGTAAACACACTACCTTTGTAATCACTTCTGTTACACTCATAAAATATTTTTGATTCACCGTGTTGATATTTTTTTCGTATATGGCAAACATAATTTACTTCCCTCTTCTCTTGGGTCCTCCAAGCTGAAAACTCTTCAAAATTCCTAAAATGCAAAGTAGATTCATTAATAGTTAAGCTATGAAAAGAATTTAAATCTTTAATTAAGTCTGTATGAAGTAAAAAAGAAATAGTCTTGTCTGTGCATATTGGGCATAAAATATGTGCATTCTTTCAGATCCAGATCCCTCTTGGCCAGAGTGTTTTGTCCGTATATATCGGTTTTTAGTCGATGTACTTGAAAATTCCATCTCACAAAATCGGCAAGTCAAAATAAAGTAAAGCAAGTAAAAAATTATAAATTAACGGCCTGAAATAAATATCAATAATTAATCACAAAAATATAAGTCGCTTATTAATCTCGATTTCAAGAGCAAATATAGGCTTGCTATAAGGGCAAACACCCAACGGATTCTGATGTCTTCGCGGTAAAATAAAAATTAACTGTGTTTAAAATTGGCGGGCTGCTATACGATTAAACTCGATATCAAACGAAGCGCGCTTCGGATTACATTGATGGTCCTGCCTTCCGATTGGCTCGACACGTTGGAATATTAACGTATGCTATGTTTCTCTCCGTAGCAGCCGTGACAATCTGTGGTGATTCCTCCATAATTTTTTCATCTGTGATTGACGTTGATTCATACAAGTTACAAGCCTACTGAGTATAAAAGCTAGCTCGTCATTCTGTTGGATTCATTGTTGTTTTGTTTGTGGAAGAGGCAATTGTAAAAGTAAGAACTTTTTGGTATTCTGGTTAGGGCAAGTTAGACAGACGATAGTAATTATTGTATAATAATTGTATTGCATGAACAAAATGTGTAGATAGTTTTATTATTACATATTTGGTTATTTTGATTTTTGTAAATATTTTATTTAAAATTAAATTGTATGTATTTATTCTGTAAAGAATTTAGCAGATTTGATATAAAACATCTATTCTAATTAAAAGCTTGACATTTTTCCAGGTTAACATGAAAACACTGTTCGTATTGTCAGCCTTTTTGTTGGTTTGTCAGGCGGTCTCATTCTTCGATTTGGTACACGAACAATGGGGCGCCTTTAAGGTAAGATGATCGTTTACAACAAGATATATTCAGCCTCCATTATTTAAATTATTGGGCACTTTTGCTTGTTGAACGAAACATCAAATCTACAAAGTTAATTATGCCCTCCACAAAAACTATTTTCTTAACAAAAAACTTTGTGGCCGAAAATATATTTTTTGGTTGAAACATCTCTTAGCTTCAGATTTGTATTAAGTTATTTTATCAAAATCGACCGTTAACAAATTCTGCGTAGTTGTATTTCTCCAACAGGGCAAATGCTAACAAATAAAAGATAACAAGACTTTGCGATTGTGTCAGTCCTTTTGACTAATATGGGTCTGTCTCGCAAAGTTTATCAGTGTTTATTTTCGATGAGCACTCTTTGTTTTTGTTCCTGCGTTTTAAGAGAAAATGACGTAACTTGGTTTATTTGTTGCTTGGTGAATTATTTATTGTGTTTGTTAATGCAAATACGCAATAAATCGAAATTCGAAAACATTTTTGTTGGGGCCATTTATCTAAAAATTGAGAAATTGTTTAAGTACAACCAGCAGCACCCTTCTTTTTTAGGCTGGAGACATAGCTTTATATTCTAAACAAAATATTTTCTTTTTGTTCTATGTACATTAGTACAAACTAATATATTTGTACTATTTTAATATTTCATTTATGATTTTTGCTTCTCTCTTGTAAATTTTAGTGGTACACCATTAACTAACTTTGTAAATATAAACATCCCCATATTCCTCCTGCATCGGTTGTTGATGAATAAAACTTGCTGACGTTTCGCCAATCATCTCGTTAATTTCTTCAGAGCTTAACTGAACCTGAAGGAGGGGCGTGAACATCGCGTCGGATGACTGCTTATAGATTTCCTTAAATTCTCGGATTTTTTGTTGGTAGAACAATTGATGAGACAATGTTCATGCCCCTGCTTTAGCTCCTCCCTTCCTCCAAAATATATAACCTGGTACAGAGTAGAATGTGATTCAGTTTCAGTTAAACTCTGAAGAAGCCAACATCAATAACCAACGCAGGAGTAATCCTGAAGATTTGTAAATACCATTAAGTAGCCTGTTGAAGTTTCTTTGAAAAATTAGAAACAAAAAACTTTATAAGTTTAATAACTTTGGTTAGTTTTGAAAATTTGATCAAACAGACAAAGCTTGTATAAACTCACGCAAAAATTTAAAAAAGCAAAATATTAATGAGTTTTCACATTTTCATATAATATAGCTGCAACACAACAAGAAGTATACTGGCGAGACCGAAGAACGTTTCCGAATGAAAATTTTTATGGAGAACTCCCATAAAGTAGCCAAACATAATAAGTTGTATGAAATGGGTCTGGTCACCTTCAAACTGGGCATTAACAAATACGCGGACATGCTGCACCACGAGTTTGTCTCCACTGTAAATGGTTTTAATAAAACAAAAAATGGTCTAAGGAGCCAAGAATCAAATGACGCAGTGACGTTTATTCCGCCTGCTAATGTTGAGTTGCCTGGTGAGGTTGATTGGAGAGAAAAAGGAGCAGTCACACAAGTCAAAGATCAGGGACATTGCGGTTCATGCTGGAGTTTTAGCGCGGTGAGTAGAATATTACAATGATTTTGTAAATGTTTTTGCATATCTTCACAATATTTTAGACTGGTAGTTTGGAGGGCCAATATTTCCGTAAATCTGGCCAGCTTGTCTCATTAAGTGAACAAAACCTGATTGATTGCTCAACAAAGTATGGTAACAATGGATGTAATGGGGGGCTTATGGACAATGCCTTTAAATATATTAAGGACAATAAAGGCATTGACACTGAAGTGACATATCCTTACTTGGGTGAAGATGAAAAGTGTCACTACAACCCCAAAGATAAAGGAGCTACTGATCGTGGCTATGTAGATATTGATTCAGGAGACGAGCAGAAATTAAAAGCCGCCGTCGCTACCATAGGGCCTATTTCTGTGGCTATTGATGCAAGTCACGAGGCATTTCAGCTGTATTCTGATGGGGTATACTCAGATCCTGAATGTAGTTCCGAGGAATTGGATCACGGGGTGCTGGTTGTGGGTTATGGCACAGACAAAAATGGGCAAGACTACTGGCTTGTTAAGAACTCTTGGGGTCCAACTTGGGGCAATGAGGGATATATTAAAATGGCGAGAAACAAAGACAACATGTGTGGTATAGCTACTCAAGCGAGTTACCCATTAGTGTAAGTAGGTCAAAATTTTACACTTGTGAACAAAATGTTGATATTAGTAATGAATCTCTATTTCTTTTGAATTTATTTTTTAACTGTGCCTAATTTTTATATTTAATGGATTTTAGTTCTATAACAAAAGTATGTGATATTTAGTTGTATTAAATTTGATAATAAAGACTCTCTAATAAATACAGCCTTTGAATAGCCTTTACAAATAAACCTGAACAGAGTTAATATTTTGAAAAAATACTACAGCACAATTACTAACGCCAAAAGCTAACTTCATGCAAGGTTATTTTAAATTTCAAACATATAGTTATTTTTGAAAAACTAAATAATGGTAACTTATTTATATTTTTAGCACAAAAATAAGAGTACAAGAATCTGTAAAAATACCAATGGTACTAACATTTGTACAATGTACTTAACAATGTCAGTCAGGGTCATGTGTTTGCCTTTATTTAGATTCAGTTTTAGAAAAATATATATGACGCATATAATTTGAATGATCTATTTAATAAAATCATTTACAAGAGTATTATTCTTATCCAAACCAAAATGATGAAAAGGGAATATCTTGAATGTGGAACTGATTGTAAACAACTCTTCATTAATCCTGAATGGGGAGTCCTTGGATTGGTTTTCAAAAATATACTTCAAAGTACCTCTTTCCAAATTGAAGGATTCCAACGTATACATAACGGAAAAGATCTCTGAATTAACTTTGTACAGGGTATACACAACATCATCGCATACTGTCGACTCTAAATCTTCATACAAAATTTCGTTGAATGGCAATGACATCATTTCTATAAAAGTCTCATCTTCCAAATCAAAGCCAAGCAAATGTTGACCTAGAATAATTGGCAGCCTTAACTGATGACTGCACCATGGGACAGAAGATTATTTCCCAGAAGGGTAGTAATCTATAGTAGCACTGTCATTATCATATTTTTATAACTTATTTAGCTATCCAGCATTACCCTGCTAGGGAGTTATCTCCCGTCTTCCTTGGGACTCTATATATTGGGGGATTTATGGCGAGACTTAGGATCCTTGTGAAACTTTGATCATTTAGGAAGATTTGTTGATGTAAAATATTTTCAGCGATGCGACGCATCTTCTTTTTTATGAACCTCAGAACCTGCCATCTACCGTGAATCATCCTGTATATAGAGCTAATGAAGACGCACCTTTAATAAATAACTTTCCTTTCCACGAGAAAATGGACACAGGAAGTTTAAGATTCTCCAAATAAATATCTTCATTCTTGACTAATATTTTTAACACGCGCCAGTTTTCAGTATGAGAGTCTAATAAATATCCCAGTCTAGTGCTACTACACAATATAAAAAGCTGATTTCGAAAATTGCAACACTTTATTTGCTGGGAGGGGCTTGGCAGAGCCTTTATATTACTCCATTGATCTGAAAATGAAATATTTTGTTTGTATAATCCCTACCCTTTTGCGATGGCATAGTCGGTCATACAAGAGAAAAAGGTCACTCAATATTTTACCTGCTTCCCTTGGTATACTAAGAACGGCAAAACCCACACATTTACCTGCCAGTGTGCTACCTTTCCCTATTGGGCCTCGGTGTCGCACTCTCGACAAAGATAGTACCATTTACGGCACAATTACAGTATCCACTACAAAACTGAAAAACTGCTACCGAAACTCGAAAGGCCGTCTTTAATTATTATGGATAATGCACAATATTATTCTAAACTTAATCAAAGTGCACAAGATGCATCGACAAGAAAAGAAGAAATTAATTACTCAGAAAATGGTCTAAAATGTGAGTTCTTAAAAATTTTCAAAAATTACAAAACAAACTTGCCGTATGCTACAGACGAAAGAATTGCTGAAATTGGTCATCAAGTTCCTTACCATTGTATATTTAATGACATAGAATTGGTGTGGGCTCAGTGCAATACATTTTTTAATCAAAAATTAAGTGAGGCAAGGCACGATGGTAGTGCAGTACTATCTGTTTGAAAAGCAGCTCTTCAGACAGTTACCAAAGAAAAATGGATCAGTTATAAATCACATACAGATAATATAATAAAAGAATACAGGTAAGAAGAGAATGCACTTGATATAACAGTAATACCACATGTTATTAATGTAGATGAAGGTTCGTTTTCTGGTAGTTCCAATTTTGGCTCTGATGATGCTTTTCCATCGTAAATAAAAACTAAATATGGTTTACTTGTATATTCACTCTTAGCAAATTATATTTTATTTTGTTTTAATTTTCCATTTTTTTTGTTTTTTTTTTTTAATTTTTATTGCAGGGACAGAGCATATTATTAAGGAACACCCTGACCTATTACTACAGAGAAAATACATGAATCTATCACTGAGTATGGGCTTACTAGTTAAATTAATAAATGCCAAGTACAACTGATTCTGTCTTATTCCCAAGTAATATAATCATCATCATTAATAATGGCTGTCTTGTATTGAAGTATAAGTGGAAGCAAAATGAACAATCTATTTCATTCTGTCTGGCATTTTATTGCCGACTATGCTATCACAAATCATGACTATAGTTAACTTAATTCTTTATCCAACACAGCACTGAGTCTAGCATATATCTGTATTTAAAGCAAAATATTTAAAACATAATAACACTGTTAAATTTGTTTTGTTTTGTTATGCTAAAAGTAGCTTATTTTTTAATGAAAAATTAACTTACCAGTCTTGAAATCATAATAGATTAAGTTATCCTGGATAATTCTGAACCTGCCTATACCGGCTATAATATATAGACGGTGCCCCACTTTACAACTTTCAAAATGGCGACGTCCATGTGGAAGCTGATGCTTGCGCTCCCATCGCTCTCGGAATGTGTCAAACACCCAGATGTTGTTGTTCCAGTTACCACCTCCTATCAGAAATTCTCCGCCATAGATGAGAACAAACTCTTTGTAGGCTGTTAGGCTGAAACCCGTTAAGTCTTTACATTTTTTACCATCGATTTCTATAAGTTTTGTGAACCCATTTATGGCCGGATCTAAAGCATCAATTCTTTTATGAGTGTTAATTAGGAACTTCATATCTCACCATAAAGCATCCCAAATAACATTTTTTTTTTGCTAGAATTACTTGTCGATTCAAGAACTTTGGTTAAATGTCTCTTCCTGTGAAATCTATCTACATAGGAAAAGAAATTTTCAAATGCCATAGACATGATAGCTAATCCTACCTCGAATTAAAACCATTTCCTCTTCATTGGTTGAACTGTAGTCAAATGCCTCAAATATTAAACAGGGCAAGTCACTTGATTTTCTGCCTTTTGACTGACTAAGACTGCAAGCGTGCTTATGACTTGCTTGGGGATATTCATCCACACGTAAACCCTGTCTTAATGATAAAAAACAATTTAAAATATCAACCACACCACTATTGGTTGATATATCCGGATAAGTTTTCATTTCCCTGACATTATCATCTGTTAATCTCTTAAAATTAAGACAATGAAGTAGTTTTACAATAGTTTCATTTTTCTCCAACTCATATGCCTTACAATTTTCATACCACCACCTCATAATTGTTTGAAACACTCTGAACTCGCAATCAGTTCTTAAATTAATGTGCCCTAAGTACATACAAATTTCTTTCAAACTTAGTTCTAATATAGGGTCTGAGTCACAAATTTCATTGAATTCTTCCAGGGCCATGCACTTAGCTTTGAGATAGAGTGGGGTAATGTCCAATCTCTCAGTTAAAATCCAAATTTTTAAACAGTTGGATGGAGCTAGGATTTCCAAGATTCGATCTTCACATAACTTCCTAATCTTAGTAAACTGTAGCATACAAGAGGTCTGGAGTACTAAAAGCAGATCTTCATTCTGAATTATATAAGCTCCATCCCATAGTAAAGTGAGGATAATATTCATTGATTTCAAATCTACTCCCTGAAATATAAGGTGTGTAATAGATATTTTTTGCAGACTCCCTGACAAACCTCGAGCTTGACAGTGGTCTGCGAGCTTTCGAGGAAGTTACCGTTGAACATAGCATTGAAATAATCACTGTGTTCTATGAGATCTGATTTCTTATATTGAATTTGAACCCCTTCAATTTCCAAACATATTTCTTCCATTATACAATACCATAAACTTGACACAGTTAATTGTACAAATGCTTTTTTACGGTTACAAGCAAAATAACCTATCACAGAGTTTTAACCTATAAAATTTGATGGGTACGTCTTGTGGTGTGACTGACAAAGTGACAAATCTCCTGATTGGTTGGCAACATATGGCTGCTAGAGATACAAAGGCTCTGTTTATGCCGATAAAACAGGAAGTTACGAAGCAACTGTGAAAAGAAATTGAGAAGGTCCAATCAACATACACACTCATGTGATTTAAAATTTAGTTTTTAACTGATGCTGTTGCAGCATTGAACAACCAACATGGCTGGAAGCAGATCGTCAATAAGTTTGAATAGGGCATTATTTTCTCAAAACATGTCCAGAGCCTCTGTATCTCTAGTAGCTACATGAGTAATATGATGCGAACATTTTCGGAAATAAATGTCAATAACTTCAGAATGACTGAACGCATTTTGTCATATATATATATATATATATATATATATATATATATATATATATATATATATATATATATATATATATATATATATATATATATATATATATATATATATATATATATATATATATATATATATATATATATATTCTCAAGTTCTTGACACTTATTTCCGAAAATATATATTCTGCTATACTGCTAAAATACAAAAATTATATGGTTAATAATGATTAATGCCCATATGTCCACACAAAATTCGATTTTTTTATATCCAAGTATGCTTTTTTAAACAAAATAGCATAAATTATAATAATATAAATATTAAGATTGCACCTATTTATTGTATATTTGGGTGAGTTATTAAAATAATATATAAAATAATGCCTTTTCCACATGTTTGTTTATTTTCATGTATGCGATGGACTATCATACATTAAATCGTAAAAATCTTATTGTTTTATCTGTGTTATTGTTTTTAATTATTGCAATCTTGCATTGCAACATTCAATCATCTCCAAAGATGGCGACATTTTTTTTTTCATTTCTTTTACGGATCTAATAGGTTAGGAAAGAGATACCGAAATGCGGTTTTCACTTGTGTATTTGGCTATCTTTTGTTGCACTAAAAGTAAAGTAATCGAAATCAATCCGCTCAGGGCAGCGTTGATGGCCTAACAATATTTTCCAGCATTTTATCTTGGCCACACAGTCATAAGTTGTTTCACCCTAAATATTTGGGATTACTTTTCGAGATAGGACCGAGTGCCCTTGTTAATTGACCACCATTCCAAATTCTGCAACTAAATAAACAATTAGTGATATTAGTGATAATTTATATCTTCAATAACGAAGAATAGTTTTAATTAATTATTCATATTTAAGCATGTCTCTTGGTAAAAACAGGAGTTGTTTTGGTTTAGGCATTAAGAACCAACGACTGAAATATGTGTGTTAGTTGGAATAAAAAACACATCAAAAATTTTAAAAATATAAAAAAAAAAATTAAATAATTTTAATAGTCTCAAGAAAATTATTTCGCGGACTCTGCCTTAATTTTCAGTTAATAATCGTTCGATCAGGTCGCCTACGAAACCAAAAGTGAAAAAAAAAACGTATATATCCAGTGAGAGTGGGACGGGTTAATCCTAGGTGATTTCTTATCTAGTGTGCCATTTCATTCAACTGAGTGTTGAGAGGCGGAGGTCGCCCGCAAGAACCAATAAGACTGTCGTCAAAACGCCCGCGAAATGTTAAATTCGGTGTAGCTCTTCTGTGAATCGGTTTAGTGACTTCTTAATTGATCATCGAGCGAGAATTCAATTTGGGGCTGTTTAAAGAAGATCGTTTTGCAGGTTTGTTTTGCCTTCGGCTTTTCATACTTCGGTACCTAATATGGTGAGTGCGACGATTGACGCGCGAAAGTAAAAAAATTGTCCTATGGGTAATTCGTTTTTAATAGTCCCAAGGCACGCAAATTGGTGTGAGAATTAAAAAGAAAACGCCGGAATAGTTTGCGCTACTATGAGGAGATTAGGAAATAAAGTACAGCTATAATAAATATATATAATAAAATATATGTTAGATCGTTTGAAAATTGCGAAATTTTGAAAAATCCTTTAAATGTCTTTAGCACTAACATGTTAAGAAATGAGGTTGATCGTGATCACTTAGACACTTACGGCGGGCCGACAGATTTATAAAAATTTCGATACCTCTGGATGCGGCCGCTAATGAGATTGATGAGCAATTTATTTGAAATTAAATAATTGTCTAAAATTGCCAACTTTCCCCAAATTCTCTTAATTTTCGAGACGGTAACAATCAATAGGATGTGGTTTAATCCAGTGTAGATACTCAAGGGTGTGGAGAATTCGATGACTTTCAGAAGAAAAGTTAATATCAACATTATATTGTAAATTTCTTAATTTTTGAGCTATAAGGGTTAAAACTGTAATAAACAACAAACTTTTTATTATAATATTTTCTATCCTACGGGACTGGTGAAAGTAGAAAATTGATATTGTCCCAAGGAAAATATTTCCACGGTAGCCGCCTACCAAATTTCAACAAAATATCAAAAGCAGTCTAGTCTTATCGAACTTAAGAAAACAAGCATTTTTTTTGTTTTTTATTTGTTTTTGCGCAAATTGGTATACAAAAGTACCAAAGTCTAATTAAAAATATGCAGTTCAAACTACTTATTGGCGTGACTGGTAAAAATCATTTTTGTCAAATAATGTTCCTTAATGAGTAGAAGGTGTGTGTTAAAAAATTATGATAGAGGTTCTTTTTTTCTTAAAATTGAAACTATCCTGTAATAGTATTGAAAAATTTACTCTATTCTTAAATGTTAAATTAAAAAATGATTTCACTAGGTACGCCAAAAATATTAAGCCTAATAATAATAACAATAATATTAAATATTCTATAAAAACAAATACAAATACGTTCAAGAGTCAACACTAAGCATAAATACTTAAATAGGAGAATCAAATGAATGTCATGCTTGCTAATATATTTTAGAAAGATTATCGTGCTTCTATTTATATTTGTCAACAGTTACTTCCTTAACAAAATATACAAATACAAGTAATTATGTAATTATATATGAACGCAACTACTTTAAGTAAACAATCCTCAAAGAATCGCATTTGGAATACAAAAATCTACTATATACAGTAAACGGTACTAAATTTTCGACGAGACGTTGAAAACTTTTTATCTATAATTTCAATGCACTTTTAGGCAACAAAAACGAACTATTTAGATGATATAACTACAGAAATAAGCAATAAAATAATGAAAGTTGAATGAATACAATTTTTTAGAATTTTCAATGGGATGCGACCAATCCTAAAAGTGACCGTGACCTTTCCCTATACCCCGAATAAAACAGGCGAAGTTGTGATTAATTTTGAAATTTATGTAAATGTCTGACGGCAGATTTTAATTCGATAATTTCGATCGCGACGGATCCTGGTTCGAGATATTTCTCTCGCCAGCTACACGAAATCGAAGGTTTCGTTCGAACGCAGCAACCGTAATTATCAATGACGAATGAAAAAACTACAATGAACCCTTTGTCTTACGGCGTTTGCTTAATCTTAAATCCATAGTACCCGTTTAATTAATTTGAAAACGGCCGCCGCAATAGACTTCTGAAATTAACTACTGTAACATTATCAGGGTGGCGTAACAACGCACTCGAACTCATTTTTTTTACCCGCGAGTATCGTATGTATCGAAACCTTGAAGCGATTAAGCAGCCTTTTTTAAAAGAAAACAAACAGTACGTAATTTCTTTTGCGATGTACGTGACCGACTTTGGCCGCTGAAGACCAGCGCTCTTCAGTCGCCGAATATTATTACTAAATTCCAATTATGCATCAGTGCTCCTACTCGTGTCCTTGTAAGCCCACAGGAAAGCAACTCGGTATAATCCTCATCACGGGAAAAACTTTAGTTCGGTCCCCATACAATCATTTATAATACAATTTACTCAACATTTGCACAGTCGAGTTAAACTTGTATTTTGGTATAGTGCAGGTCATTTCACGTCGTCTAGTGCCTGAGCTTATTTAAAAAATATAGAGATTTAAAAATGAAACAAAATGATGAGCTTATCTTATCCGTAATAAAAAAAATGGCGGTCGACAAATTTGTTAAAAATACAAACAAGCTTTCCACATGTTTTTTGTACTGCTGTTGGCCACGACTGCCATAGATGCTTGTTTCGGTACGCCTTTTGTATCTGGTCTTCCTTTTATGGTGTACATAATTAAAGCACTAAGGCATAAATGATTTTAAAGTACTTTTTATGTTGAATGTGGGTTTGCTATCTGTGTTAAAAGGAAACACCTTATAACCTAATATAATTTTCTCCATGTAAAATCTGCTGCCCCTGGAATTCTTATAAAATTAGCCTTCATATTCCTACTAAAGCAATTAGAGATAGGTTTCACTAACCAATTCACAATAAAAATTGCCGTTAATAGTTACATTTCTAGAACTAGCTAACACCGTCTAAATGACTTTTTTGCACCCTTCACCATTTTCTTGAATGAAGTCTAGATCAAGGAGAAACTACTATTCTCTATGTAGTCTTGACTTTCTTTGTGATGCTTAAAAAGTTAGCGGTAATAGTAGCATTATTATTGTTCTTTTATTATTTTATCTCTCTAACCGACTTAAAACGAAAACAGCTGTCAAATGTCACAAAAACGCGGCATTTGAAATTTCCGGTTTCTTGAATTTTTTCCTTCCTTATTGTTCAAAAGTTACATAGGCAACGATTTCTACAGCCAGAGCACTTATAATCGGAGAAATATTGTCTGACCTAACTCAATTATCATGTTATATTTTTTAATATGAAAAGTTTTCAAACATTGTAAAAGTAAAAAACTTACTATGGCAAGTATATATCATTCGCCGCCATCTAGCTTAAATTTGCTACTAATTAATTATTAATTAATTAAAGGTTCTGTATGTACAGATGTTAATTGTTATCCATTAAACGACGCTATATTTTTTTAAATTAATTTTCTGTATCTATTTCTTCTCTTGCACCTTTTTTGATGTACAAAATATCATACTGTTACCGTGATGTTTAACAAAATATGGCGTTTAATTAGTTTACTTTAAGAAAATATTCAGTAAAAGGAGTAAATTTGGATAAATAATTAAAAAAAAAAATAAGATCATTTTAAAAATTTAAGTTCGACTATATATGGCTCAGAAAGAATTGAATGAAATTTTTGAGTTTCTCCTCAGATTGTATATCGGACTTGAAATCAGTTAAAGTGGTTTTGAAATTTTTTAAATGAATAAGAATTAACGACAACAAAAGTTAACAGTTCTCGAAAGAAATAAAAAAATGACTAATTTTAGAAAAAAAATAAAATCATGCCTGATATGTCTTTAATTGTAATTATAATAATTATTACAATCTCACTAAGGGCCAATGCAGATGTGAAAAAAAAATGTAAAAATCAAACATCTTGAAAAACACTACACCGTCCTATAAATGCAATAGTTAAATGACTTTTATAGCATTTTTCGTCTTCAACGTCTTCAAAAATGATACCGCTACCGACAACGATTACGTAACTTTGACATCTGTTCAATTGAAAAATAACCTCCATACATGGAAAAACTAAGCTGAAAGATTTTTTTAGTATTTTAATATACCACATTTGAAATTTTCGTCTAAGGAAGGTGCTTCCTAATGATTTCTAATATGCGAGTAGTTAGGGCGTGATTCATTATATATGAAAAATTAATGATAGTTCGCGTTATAAATTATGGTAAATTATTAGTACTTCGCGAGAGTCCATTAAGGTGCATACTTTTTAATGCTAGTCTAATTTTTTGCCTTTGACCTTTAACACTAAGAAAATGCTGGGCTAATGCTTGATGCGCTCAAGTTGTATCGTTAGGAATGCTTATATCGAACGTTTGAAAAAAAAAAGCTTCAAACACATTGAAAAACTGCGTTATTGAACTCCTTGTGAAATCAGACCATTTCTTGTATTTTTGTAGAGCTTAAAAAATTCTTCGAGGTGTTTTCAAAAGTTTTAATTATAGCAAAAATGGGAAAAGTGGGTAATCTACAGAGAATGCTCACGTAACTCTGCTACTAGTTTGTGAATATTTGAATTTGAAGACATTTAAATTTAAAGGTCTTATAAGTATGATTGGATATTTCGTTGCAAAAAATTGAAAAATGAACAAGATAGGTAAGTAGATCGAAATTGAAACTAATAAAACACACTAAGTCAAAATTACAATATACAAATTGTACCAATTTAAAAAAAATCACCCAGTACAATAGAAACTATAAATTTTAGACTTCTGCACAAATATAAATAATAAAAATATAAAAATACATATAAATCTTTGGCCAAATATTCAAGTTGTACGAAGTTTTTGAAGGTGTTGGATAGTTTCGACCTAATTCTCTGTCTTTATTTTTTCATTTATTTTTAATTTTTACATAATACCAAATAATGTTGAATTATGCAATTGCAAAATTGACAATAGCCCTTTTATAGTTAAGACATTTGAATTTGCTAAAAACATAAGATATGTTTTTCTTTTTCCCCGTTCCAGATTATACATTGAACGGTCATCATGAGGGCGATATTTCTACTATTAATGTCAGCAGTATTAGTGAACAATCAGCACCTGGGCGTCCAGTTGGGGGCGCCGATACTGGGCGCCGCGCTGGGGGGTAATCTGGATCATATCGGCGGACATATAAGAAGGCCCCATGGAGACCATCCCGCCGACAGTGTCATCGGGAGACAAATAGAAGCCCACCTGCCAAGGTTTTCTTTGCAGGCTTTAGAGGAACCGAGATACATTCAGAAACAAATCAAACAATTGGTACCGGTTAGCTTGGAAGATTTGCTGGAGGAAGAATGGAAAGCGTTTAAGGTGGGCAATTCCCGAAATAAGTGAACGGCTTTCTGAATCACCACAGTCGGAGAGAAAAAAAAAATGCCGCCGATAAGAATCTGGTCGCGATTCTCGGTATTGGCGGCCAATCGAACCGTGAAAAGTTATTTAAATCAATGTCGCCAATTATTTACCGCAGCTGTAGGAATAAATGTTGCGCGTCATTTTCATGAAATTGTCGTTTGGCTGAATTAGTTTGATTTTTGGTTTTGGTTTCATACCATATTAGACCAAAGGCGGCTATAGCCGAGTATTGTACGTTGAACATTGTAACAATGACACCATCGTTCTATCTATCTAATTTTCTTTCTCTAAAATATAATATTCTAAAAGTTGACATTTTGGGTACAGTTTGCGAAGGTCTTGTATATTAGATTCATTTAGATGTTCTCCTATAATAGACTGGGTCGTTTAAAATAAGTGATTTGGATGTGGTACACAAAAATGGTCAAAACTTAATAATAATTAAATTTTATTTAAAACGATGTAGAATAGTGGTTAAGTTTTTGAAATAATTACAATATCTTGACATGCAGGACGCCCGGCTAGAGATTCATTATAAACGTAGGTACGGAAATATTTAGTTCTAAAATACGTTCTGTGTTGTCAAAGTGTTGAAACTCAAATAAAAATGATGAAAATGACCATTAGCCGCATTGTTGACATGTATAGCCTACGACGTAAGGAATATCGCATTTTGTTAGAAAAGCCATTTTTCTTTTAAATATTTAACAACCCGTATCATGTTTTTCTTAACATCCTGGAAGACCACATTGTTACAAGATTGCGTTCGGTTAACTAATAATACAAAAATTGTCAACATAATGTAACTTTGAGAATTATGGAGGTTATTTCAAAAATCCAAAACTTTCACCATTTTAAGTAATGTACAGGGTGGGTTTTCTTTTTTAAAAAATACAGTTTTGGCTCTCACGTCACGTCAAATTTAATGCAATAATGTTAAAGTGCAACTAGAATTTCAGCATCCTGTAGGTTCAAATAGCAACTAAATTAAAGTTTTAATGGAGAAACAAATATTGCGAAAATCGATCTAGATAGCAATTGGAAAGTATTATGCAAAAATATAATCAGAATAGTGAGACCAAAAATATAATAACATAAGATAATGATGTGGCCATATGTTGTTATAAACGGCAAATATATTTGTGCCAAATTGTTCCAAATTCGCAATTGCATTAAGAATCTCATTAGCATCTGAAATAATGTAAATCTACATTTAAAAATAAGCTTAGTGACTCACAGATCTTTGAATCGAATTACAAAAATATCGCCGCTATTAGATAGGGCTAAACAAATGTGTGATTTATTTTTAACACACTGTATAAAAAACCTGTTAACTTATCAGATGACCTACAATAAAGCGTACCCCTCCGCTGACGTAGAACGATTCCGACGAGAGGTGTTTATCGAGAATCGGGCGAAAATCGCCAGGTTCAATCAGGAGTACAGTCAGGGCAGGCGGAACTATGTGCAGCAACTCAACCCTTATGGCGATCTGCTGCACCACGAGTTCACCAACATCCTGAACGGTTTCAACAGGTCCGGCCTGGCGAGACCCAGGATACCCACTTCCACCACATACATACCTAGCGCAAATGTCAATTTACCAGCTAGCGTCGACTGGAGACAAGTCGGCGCTGTAGGACCGGTCAAATCGCAGGGAATGTGTGCTTGTTGCTGGGCGTTCGCTGCGGTACAATATACTTTCGTAGGTTTTGTTCAAATAAACGACCAATAGGCCTTACCGTTTTCAGGCAGGTGCTCTGGAAGGCCACTGGTTCCGCAAAACCGGACAGCTTGTCGACGTCAGCGAGCAGAACCTGGTAGACTGCACCAAGGATCTGGGCAACGATGGCTGCACGGGGGGACTCATGAATCCGGCTTTCGAATACGTCAGGCAAAATGACGGCGTGGACTCTGAGGAATCCTATCCTTACGAAGGCACGGACAATCAGCAGTGTCGATTTAAGCCAGAAGATGTCGTCGTTAAGTGCACAGGCAAGTGATAAAATATTTATTAAAAAAATTGCAGTAACTGATTTGTTGAGATAGATTGACAATTTGTCTCAAGCGAAAACCAAGTTCGATTTCTACGAGATAGATACATAGATAGATAGATAGATAGTCCTTTATTTCAAAAATTGTTACCCATGTTAACAATAAATTAAATATGACTTCAAAGCCCCTCAGTAGGTCAGCTACAACATTTACATTTTTAGATAGTTGTCTAAGCTATATGACTCAAGTTCAATTAAGAATTTTATTTTATTATTATAATTCGTGTAACTTTCAGAGGTAGTTTATTAAACAGTTTTATACATATTTACTCAGGTATCTTTTGAGTGATTTGCAAGCGATGCAAGGGATAGATGTATTATAATTTTCTGTATTTAGTCATTGGAATAAATGTTTATTTCTGTGAAGGAACATAAGGCATTCAAATATGTATAGCGCGTATACCATCAAACGTCCCATTTTTTTAAACACATTTCGGCACGTTTGATTATATTCCATTTTCCTAATTACTCTGATTACCCTTTTTTGACTTATAAAACTATATACTATAATAGTACTATCTTTCCCAAAAGATTATTCCGTATTTCTTTCTTAATTCGAAGTTGGCAAATATAAGAATAAAAAATTTGGTATGTTCTGAGATGCGTGGGTTTTTATTGCCTACGCTGATTTTCCTATTGTTTCTATATTTTGTTTGTTTGGTTCTGAAGAATACCGCATTTGTTTTGTCTGTATTAAGAGTTAATTTGTTGTCGATTGGAACCATTCGGATTCATTTAGAAGCTTATAAAGACATTTGCATAATTTATTATTATTTGTCAAGCGTTCCACTTTTCAGTTGTAACTTTTCCTGAACTGACACATAGTTTCTGCATTGCTAATAGTATATTATGCAACAAGTGCGGTAAAGGGCATTTGACTCACTAGTTTAGTTGACACGAGCGGAGCGAGTTTTTAATAAACGAGCGACTTAAAAAGTTTAACGAACGTGTTGCATACTATACTTTTCCTACGACCGTTAGTTTTTGGGTACATTTTCGTAAAACAACACGAATACATTCACTGACATGATCGTCAGAATTGACAAACGTCAAAATTCAAAGCGTGGGAAATATCTCCGAAAACGTCCGATTGCTCTCAAACCCGTGCGGTAAAATCCCGGAAATGTCCGAAGTGTTGGTGAAGGAAGTTTAGTAGACACAATTTTCTTATCTAATGGGTTTTTAAAAACGAAACGAAAAGGCCTTACCTCTGCTCAAATCAACATAAAAAAAGGTTAAGGGCGATAATCAATATGCGCATGCGTGATTCATTTCACACCTGGATTACAGGGAAAAACAAGATACGTATGTGGAAATCGTTGTTGCAGTTTAATGCAGGTCATTGTTTGAAATTTGTCATATCTTCCTGGTGTATTAACGATCAAACTTCCTTTTACACTTGACTCACATAATCTTATTCCTAAGTCTTGATGCTATTCCAATTCGTCTTCTTAATACTAAAATTTAATCCAGTATGAGTACACCCGCTTTGTTCGTTATTTTTGCGGGATTACTCCAAAATTTTTAAGAATTTACATCCAAAAAATGTGTCGCGTTTCGCTTGAGGTGGAATTACACGGTCTTCGAATAAAGTCTTTTGAGGTTGCGTCATTATACTTATAAACTGGTTGCTGAACATTAACGATTAAATCAAGCATGTGCGATCGGTAATATAACGTGTATGATGCAAATTTCTTGGGTTAATTGGTTTTGAAATCCTTAAATTATGGTGGATGGTGAGTTTTAGTTTTTTATAGGGAAGCATAGAAAAATTAAATTGCACCTCCCACAATTTATATGCTCCTAGAGAAATGATAGTGACAAACAGATACGTGATATACAGTATGTCCAAGATTATATTATTAACTGTGAGAGGTCGGTTCAATAAGAGAAAAGTGCTTTTCCAACTTTCCTTTTTGACGTATTCTTTATTCTTCTTCTACTCTATCTTCTAATGTTGATCTTTGGACGATCGCCATAAATTATAATTTATATAATAATTTACAAGCTACTATTTTTTTCAAAAATAAACTATAAAACATAAAGTAAACATATAATTATTTAAATTCGTATTAGGAAAATAAGATTCTAACTCAGAAACGAAACGTCTGATTGCAAAGAAGAATATAAATTAATTAAAATATTATTTTATTTAATCGAACCACAATGAAAGTGTAAATATAATACTGAAATAATGCACCATGATATTTTTATGTTAATTTTAATTTTGTTTAATTTTTGATTAAAATAATTCACACTTTATGATTGAAACGTATAAAAATGTATATAATTTTTAAATAAATTGCCTTCTTATGAAAAGCAAATAATTAGTATATTTGATAAATGCCACTGTAGTGACGAGTTTCTATTGTCAGCAGAGTGCAGATGCATATTATACTTTTCATATTACCATTACCTTTTGGGTACATTAAAAATATTAAAAATAACGTTACTTAGTAGCCTCCTTCAGAAGGCACGGCTTTTTACAGGGCCCCAAAAATCTTCTATTATTATTATTGCTGAAACGGTTGAAGATAATTAAATTGAAATTTGGTTCACAAATACCTTTGATTGGGTAATAAGTTACTGCTAACAAAATTTAAGTTCAAACTTTACGATATTTGTACATATGAAACTTACTTGAAATATTTTTTTCATTAGCTCAGCATTTTTTTACTTTAAAGATTTTAACAATTTGTATGGGAAACAGAAATACAAAATACTACTTTTGTCCAAAAAATTCAAAATATAATAGCATAAAAAACGCATGACACCCCTACACCAACGCTCCTGTAAAAAATATAAAAAAATCGTGAGTAGTAACTCTTGTCTCAGTCAAAGGCATTTGTGAGAGAACATCAATTTTTAATATTCTATTTACCCTAGAAAATAGCAGAGCGTTTTTTGAAACACCCTGTAAAAATTAAAAATTTTCTGCAACAACGCAGCGACAGCGGACTTCTGATCAGTACTTTTATTTAATTTTTGCAGATATTCATCTCTCAAATTTTGGTGCCCGTATGGAGTGTGCACCAGTTTATTTATATTGCTCAATAATTTATTAATATTATTTTTATCCTTACAAATGATGTCAACAGTGACATTGAAAAAATCGTCATTAATATAGTGTTCAGAAACAATGGACATTGTTCTAATTAATCTATCGACTGGACCGCAGAAAATTTCCGTTCCCATTTTTATCAATAAACCTCGTGGCTAAATCTTTAAATTTTGATTGATTGCTAAAATAAGGCAGCGACATGTCACGTCGTTACGCATTTTAACATTGAAAACTCTCGCAAGCATTATTTTAATGAGTCAGCGGGTGATTCGGACTGTTACTTTTGATCTTACGTCGTGAGAAAGCGATTAAACGTGTCGTTTGGGGGTGGGGGTCGCATTGCTACGGTATTAACTTGCACACCTGAAATTCTGCGTAGTTACCTAAATTACAATCTACGACCATATGTGTACACCACGAAGAAATGAAAGAAAGGGTCATCATCAAGTGGCACAGTGAAAAGAGCGCCGTGACTATACAATTAATGACGAGAAAAAAAACCGCGCGCATCTTTTCATAGATGCGCGGGTAATTACTTTCAACATAATAACACCGTTCAATAATTTTCTTTAACGAGCAACATGCGGCAGCTCCGTTTTATCCGCAAAATACACGCTACTGGGAGATTTCAAATTGGTCGAAAGTCGTTTGATTCCGTGAAAAACATAGTGGCCTCTGTCTGTGACGTATCATGGACCAAAAAATCCCCGATAGTTCGAGTTTTATTCGCCGGGAATGTAGCGTCGTTTACATTGTAAATTTTATGGTAATAATCGGTTTTATTGATATAGAGGATTTTGCAATTAGCGAGCTACTGAACGGAACATTTTTGCATAATGTTGATGATTAATGAAAAGTATGCAGCCCCAAGCCCTTTTCGAAGGGGATTCGACGCAATGGTAACAGCTGTCATGCCTCGTGTTTGTGTATAAAATTAATAATTTAAATGTTTTATTAATAATACAAAAAACTGCACAACTGCATTGGTTATTCGACGCAGGAAAGTGACGTTTAATTCATTTACTGTGTGTGAATGTCAACTAATTAACCAATATTGGTTATTTTCTTATGAACCCTTATTCGGCAACGTTTGTAGATTGATTCCGATTGCTCTTGCAGTGGAGAAAAGTGAAATAAACAATTCCGCAAAATTTTTGAAAAATTTCGATCGTTTCTATTACACGCATTCATAATTGAACCAATTTTCTTCCAAATGACAACTAAATTTTAAACACTGACTATAGTCAACTTTTTTTAACCGTTTTGATAGTCTAGCGGTTTATTTTGCAGTCACAAAAGGGACATGAATGCTACGAATCGATTGGACTGGAATAGCCACATCTAAAAAATCTGAAAAATTAAGAAATATTTTCAAAAATTCAGCGATTGCGGATAAAATAAGCTCCCCAGGGTAGACCAAAATCTCCGTCAAAAATGTTTTTTACTTCTGCAGACATCGTGCACGTGAGTACGTTCCACAATTTTAGCCTACTCGTTTTACAACATACTATCCAGAATCCAGATTTTAAAAGATATGGCATCATTGAAAATATTTTTTATAGATAGATCATTCTACCCATATACAAATCTGGTAAATTCACACTAGTCCAAAATGTTAATGGTATAATTTGCACCTACAACTATATTCTTGCGACTAAGCTTTGGTTAGTCACACTTCGAACTAAAATATCATCCGCCACCGTTATTGGTTTGAGCTATTTTCAACAATTTCAGTGTCGCATACAAAACGTGATGATGCGACTCGGACAGATGCTTGATAAATTTAATGGAGGTGTTATAATCTGGTTATGTTAATTCCCATCGAAATGAAAGAGCAAAGATTCCGAAAACATGCCCTTGACCTATGTTTCGAAATTTGCTGAAGATGTTGGGACAGGTTCCACTAATTGGAATACTACTTGATTTAAACTGTTATTGAGTAACAATAATATATTTATGCACGTGCTGGGACACTTAAAAAAAAAACGAAGAATTATGAGAATGCAGCACGCCTAACATGACAGACTAATTAGGATCATACCTGCATAAAACTGTTTTGGCATTTCAAATCTTGCGTACATACGCACAAAACGTTGCAACTTTCAAAATAACATCCTTGATGATGAATGATTTGGCAAGTTTCACGCGAAAAATTCAATCAGAGAGAAACCCGCTAAACAATGCCGTGTAATGATTTTCCGATTATTCGCATTATCAATAGATAAATCATTTAGCCGTCGAACGAATGATTTAAATAGGTCATTGCAACATATTTTTTTTTATATTTATCTCATCTAAGGAGACTTTGACATTTTCTATCCACAAACGCATTTTTTTAAATAAATCTTCTGTATGGATGAAACGTAATTACCCGTAACCTTAGTTTTACCTATAACCAAAATAATTGTCAGTTGCGAATTATTCAACAACGGGACAGTTTAATCCGAGACATACAGAGTGGACATTTTACTATCTCGGAAGCAGTAGTCGTTAAAAAAAAAACGGTAGTTTTAAGGTTCAAATGAAATATTTATTTTGTTATCATTAAATTCTTCATTTTTAATGGGACAATATATTATTATCAATTTAAATAGTGCCTTTAAAAATTAGTTGAGGTCTGTGTCCCTCCTGATTAATATTTAACTTAACAATTTAATTGACAGTATAAACTAATATCAGTAGACCATTTTTTATATTTTCTAGATACTTAATTTATGTGATAAATTCATATTTTAAAATGATCTTTTTTCAAACATGCCTTTTACCCAATTTTCTTAACTAAGTGTAAGCTGTTTACTAGATTTAGGTTAATTACATTATCTGAAGAATGCTGTTTTCTTATATAGCTTATCTATGTGATTATCTAACTATTTTATTTCAGTAGGCTGTGAGAAAAAATACTTGGGCTTACTTATATATACAATTTTTTGACATATAAACAATATTTTGACCGGTTTAGTTTATATTTAAGTTACATTTATACAGTGATGAAAAAAATGATATGCTTCAATGCTATTTACCAACTTCGTTTGCGCTCAGGCTCAAAGGGAATTCAAAAATAAGTTATTTGAGAAATTGCCATTTAAGAAACTTATCAATCAGTTGAAAATTTCGGCCGCCGAAATTTTGCTCTCGGTATATAGCAAGTGAGTATAAGGCCCGTATATGTAACAAGGCTAATGGTCCCCCAAATGAAAATAATAAAAATGTAGCTGATTTATTCATCTCCATATTGGAATGTCCATATAGGTTATGGTAGATGCCATATTTTTTCCTAAACCAAACCTAAAAGAATTCCGTTTACTAGGTATGATTATTACTTTTTAACGTCTCTTCATGCATATGATAAAAGTGATTACGCGTCAGATGACTGGAACGGCAGTGTATTAATGAGACCTTCATATTCCTGTCCTGGCGCAATAAATCGGTTTTCAGTAATTTTGTTTCATCATTTCTAACAAATCCGAGTCAAGTTTTAAGTAATTTTGCGTTTAAAGGTTATGTGGACATAGCCGAGGGCGATGAGCAAGGCTTAGAAATCGCTATAGCCACCCTGGGGCCGGTAACGGCCGCTATAGATGCGAGCAAGGATGGGTTTCAGTTTTACTCCGACGGAGTCTACTACGATCCAGACTGCGGCAGCCGGCAAGAAGATATGAATCACGCCGTTCTCATTGTCGGTTACGGTCAGGAACCCAACGGTCAAAAGTATTGGCTGGTCAAAAATTCCTACGGGCCACAATGGGGCGTCGGCGGTTACGTGAAAATGGCCAAGGATGCCAACAACCACTGTGGCATTGCTAATCAGGCCAGCTACCCGTTAGTTTAGCTGAATATGGATATGGGTTTAGATATAATAATAAAAGAAGTACAACAGCGAATCCTTAATATTATTACTTAACAAATAACTTATCTCTCAATAGGCAGAAAAAATATCCAATGTTCTCGGTCAATGACTATCTAAACCCTCATCGTATTGTAATTCGTTTTTGATGCTTGCGTAAGTGCCACTCAACATACTGCCAAAAACAATGAAACTATGAAAATTTCTTAAATAAACAGAAAAAATTGTCATCATTTTATTTTTTCATACCCTACCCACAAGAGACCTAAAAGGTCTGTAACAATTTGAATGGAATATGGCCAATATGAACAAAAAAAATGTGAATTGACTTCCCCAATCACTGTGTGTTTCTCAAAGAGTCTAATATCAAATTTAATTAACATAATTTTTTCACATGTCTAGTTCTAGCACAACGACTCTCATTATATTTTACGAACATAAGTTTTACCTTTCCTTACACACTACAAATCAAACTGGGCTAAAGATACAGAAAACTGAACAAAGTAATTTCCCAAGAATTGGCATCTAAAAAATTAAGGAGGATTTTTTACAATTCTGGATCATAACCACTTTATTATTTGAAGCGAAATAATTTAAAATCAACTTATTTTGTTTCTGTTTTTGACCACCCTGGCTGATATTGACATTAAAAATAGTTTGGGTCAGTAACAATAAAAAAAAGTAGTAAAACCCACATTTTACAAATTAAGATAATTAAGCCCTAAGACCATAAAACTCCAAATGCAATTTCATTAAGAGAAGAGGTTTTTGTAACAAAAAGATGATGAAAAATTAAAAATGCAATTAGACAAAAAGAAGAGAAAAAAAAAATACTCTCCAATTTGCAGTTTTTAAATTTAATTGATAATTAAATAACTCCGTCACTTCTTAATTATAACATATCTTAATACTTTGAAGGACTGAAGTTCGATTTTCAGTTAAATGGCCGAAACTCGACACATTAACTCTATTTGATGTCTCCCTATTTATGTTTGCATTTTCATAGAATGACGCAAAATTATATTTTCACAAGGACAAATAATAATTTTGAAATATGTTTTGGTTTCCTTTGGATATAGAATTGATCTAGATAAATGAAATCATTGCTGCCAATGTCTTTCAATTATTTAATTGTTAAAGTAAAACAACACTAATATTATCTTTAAACGACGCTTTACGTAAATTTGAAATTGCGATCCTTGTATGCCACTTCACCTCTGCGGTATTGCCCTTCCAATTTCATTTTGTACTTGTAGGAAATATAAGTGTAGGCGGAAAGTGGGAGCACAATCAATAGAAGTCCATTGGCTACGTTCTTGGGGGACGTCTTGAAGTAGTCCCACAAGTTGGATTTCATCGCTTGATACCTTTGCAACGCTGGATCAAACTGCGAAAAATCCACAAAATAATTAAAAGAACGGCCGGGAAAGTTTCCAAATATTTTTAACATAATTTTTTTATGGTCCGGCGATTTCGAAACACCGCTGTTTTTTATTCATACACTCATCTTTTTAATTTCAGTTTTTCCCGAGGTTAGGGGATAATTGCCTCCCATTTTACTAAAACGACATTGATACCGTGATTCCGGTACGGATTATAAACAGAGCTGTGTCCTTATCGGCCTACACTTGCTGTCCCGAGAAATAAAATGTTATTGGTGTACCTAATGGTATTTAACCTACTTGTGAATTCGCAGGCTAACAAAATAGTTGATTTTGCGGAACAAGCTGCAGATTTTGTTGAGCAATGGATAAAATTTCAGGTAATTTTATATACAATTTCGTTTCCTATTGTTATTAACATAACAATATCTAGCTGGATTACGCTAAAAACTACACCAAACAAGAGAGCCTCTTTAGGTTTGCAATATTTAAGCAGAACTTAAAAAGAATAGAGAAACACAATACAAAATTCCTCCAGGGCTTAATGACTTTCAAAATAGGACTAAATCAGTTTGGTGACTTAACAAAAGAAGAATTTATTCAAACATTGACCGCAAACCCTTCAAACTTGGTATCAAAAAGATCCATTAATGAGAGCCACAGAACGATTCGACAGGTGCCTGAATATTTCGACTGGAGGGAACAAAGCGCAGTCGGAAGCGTCAAGAACCAGGGAAACTGCGGTTCATGCTGGAGTTTCAGTGCTGTGAGTAAAAGCTGCAGATTTTCGAATATCTACCTTAATATATCTATAAACATCTAATATCAGATTGGTGCTCTTGAAAGTCAAGTGTATTTAAAAACCGGCAAAATGGTATCTCTAAGTGAACAAAATCTTATTGACTGTGCAAAAGACAATATCAATCATGGTTGTCAAGGTGGTTGGATGGCAAATGCTTTTGAGTACCTGAAAAACAATTATGTCACATCTGACAGTGAATACTCTTACGTGGGTGTGCAGCAACAATGCCAAATAAACGAGAGGCAAACAAAGATAAGCATAAGAGGTATAAAAAATTGATACAATATTCGGTGAATGCGCCGGGAATATTATACGCCTGTGTGATTATTTGTTATTTGTATTCTCTAGGATACCAACGAGTACAAGGCAACGAACAAGTTTTAAAGGAAGCGGTTGCTACTATTGGACCTATTACAGCAGCTATGGACGCGTCAAATTTACAATTTTATTCCAACGGTGTTTACAGAGATGATGAATGCTCCCCAAATTATGTGAATCATGGTGTACTGATTGTAGGCTATGGTAATGAAGCCGGCAGGGACTACTGGTTAATCAAAAACTCTTGGGGATCATCCTGGGGGGAAAATGGCTATTTTAAAATTATACGAAATAGGGGCAATCAATGTAATTTGGCATCTTACACAATGTATCCAATTTTATAAATATCAGTTGAATTATATAATTTTAAAACCTCAAGCAAATTATTTTTTATTTCGATTATACCAGAAAGCTAAAGTAGAACAAATCTCAGTTAGTAAAAATCTCATACACATGCATTAGAAAGGTTAGAAGCAAGGATGGCGGGTCTGGCCCCCACTTCCATCACTCAGGCCACCCCTAAGAGGGGGCCATGGCCCCAAAACTAAACCTTCTTATCCCCGGTGATTGTCGTGGTAGAATTATATAACTATATAAACCAAAAATTAACTCACCACAATCCCTGCTTCTCCCGAGGCATGCTGAAAAGGGTCTGTCCTCGCTTTTAAGAATTCGTTACGAAGAAAGGCCCTTCTATTAGCCTTTTCTTCGAGGATTTTTTGTTGTTCCTTAGAAACGTCATACTGCTGCGCCATTTTTATTTTACCACAAGCACAGAATCAGTCAAGTCGAGTCAATTATGCGTTTCACAAAAAATGTTGGGCGCGACTGCTAGGATCATTTGCCCATTGCCGACTTCCGTCGAGGATTTTCGCTTCTGGTCAATTGACCACCACGTACAAAGAAGAAAAATAACCAATAATTTGCTCAGCTAGCAAAAAACGATTCTGACCGATACCAAAAAAAATCGGCTTCCCCCCGCTTCCACCACGGACCATCCGGGCCCATCCGGCCTCCATACCGGCGTGAACGGAGAAAAACGACGGGGCCGACGACGATTATCACTTTAAGACGTACACTGAACACTCAGAACACTAAATCCACACCGTGGAAACCGATATCAAACTTTTTGGGACGAATACATGGGATTCTGTCGGGAGCGAACGGAGGTTAAACCGCCGCGTGCAATGCTCCACCACAAAGCACAGAATCAGGGAGAGAAAGTGAAAATACATTTCGTTCTCGGCTAGGCAAGAATACTGTGGTTATTCAGCCTTTTACCGGCATCCCCCGAGGATTTTTCTTTTCGTCACAGACCAACAATTAAAAAAGAAAATATACCTACATTTATTCTCAGCTAGCAAAAAAGGATTTTGACCGATACCAAAAAAAAACGGCTTCCTCCGCGTCCACCATAGACCATTCGGGCCATCTGACCCTTAACCGACGTGAATAGCAAAAACAGCGGGGCTTCCGAAACAAAAACCACAAGAAAAACGATATCAGAGCTTTTTGGGACGAATACAAAGGATTCTATAGGGAGTCCGCGGAGGTTAAACCGCCATGTGCAATGCTCTAACACAGAATCAAAGATAAATAGGTATGAACATGTGAAATTTCTTTTCTTCTTTTTAATTTCATACCTTCAAAATTTATTGCAAAATGATTTGTTGTAAATAGCAGCTGTAGTGTTGGTCACATACCTATCAAGGTATTTATTTTGACTTTTCGGTTTTTGTCAGCTTTTAAATAAACTTTTTTTTTTCCATATGAAAATAAAAATTCTCATGCCCAACTGTTACATAAGCCAAGAGTTTAAAGCTGGTTTTCATTGGAATAAAAAACAATTGAACTATCAGTTTTTTTTTGCTTCAGAAACAATTTTCATATCGCAATTAAATGCAGTAAATAAACAAAGCTATAAAAACAAAGCCTAGAGCATCTCGATCGACGAAAAAGCAATGCAGAAACGACCGATATAATTAAGGCCGTGAAACGCGCGGAAGAAGCAATTAGGCTTAACTACTTTATAGACATGAGTAACTCAGACACCAGAACGTCAAGAGACCCATCCGTTTCTTTGCTATCGTCGCCTGCAAGAGTTTGTTTCCACCCACTTTTGTCCACCGTGTTACTCGTTTTGCGTCTCTTGCCCTCCTGCTCTAGAAGTGACAGCCACGATATCCTAAGCCAGTGGCGTAACATCAACATGTAACTCGCAACATCGTTTTCGCTGTGACATTTATTTCTTCATGCATACGATTTCATGTACTTATACGTAGAAAACCCAATAAGATAATTGCTGTCAAGCCACGAATCACGCCAATAGCAAAGGAATCCTTTTTGTTTTGGTTTCATTAAAATGGAACAGTAAAGTGACGTCTGGTACATGAGAATTACAATATTATTGGACCACTTCCCAACTAAAGGTTAAGTTTCAGTTAAGTTGAGAATGTGCGAACTATTATTCTGAACTAATTATCAAACTGCTTCGGAGTAGTTAGTTCACGCACGCGCAAGATCGCGAATTTCAATTTCAATTAATTTAGTAGCTTTTATAGCTAATTACGAGTATCTTATGCAACAAGTGTGGTAAACGTCAAAATTCAAGCCGTGCGGTAAAATCTTCGAAAACATCCGTTTGCTCCCAAATACGTGGGAAATTCAATTGATGATAAATTACACAGAAGGGAGTAGAAAAAATATTATAACTGCGTCTTTGTCCCTTTTATTTTTGCCTAATGACAGTTAAATATTTCCGTTTTGAGTTAAAACACAAACGGCGGCCAATAATTAAACCTCGTGGACTTTAGTCAGTTTATTCAGTTAATGTTATAATATAGCTAAATATTTTGGAAACGCCAATATATGAAAAAAGAAATGTTCTCCTTCTATAACCACGTACATTGGCGCTTTTAAGGTTAAATAGTTACACCGCTTATTTTCGTCTTAAAGCTTGTATCGCAAATTTAACAAGTTCTTGGGTTTTTTAGCTTTGGTGATTCGTGATTGCTTGGTAGGAACAGCTATGTTACCTACACCTTTGAGTAAGATTCGCAATTAAACGCGCCGTCCCGCATATATTATAATCTACTAAAAATTCCGTATTTATTGTTCCCTTGTTGCGCTTATGTCAGGAATTCCAGGGTCATGGGACTGAAAAGTGGTGAAGAAACCGGCCGGACCAGCTTTCTTTCACACCGCCAGGTACGGATTAGCCGCCTGAATTCCAATCTTCCTGGATTTTATAAATTCATATCTCAAATTTTGTGCCGCTTTGCGAAAAGAAATCGATTTAACGATTACAACATCACCATCAAATATGATTTTTAATGCAAATTTTTCCTGTTAAATTTGTCTCTACCAGAACAAAACATGGATAAAATGGCCCGGAAAGCGAAATTCATTGGTTAAACGACTGGTGTCACCGGCTACGGCCCTGTGCGCCCAATCGGAATCGCTTATCTCCGCTTAGGCCTGCCGTTTCAGTGATGCGGGTTGCATGTTTACCGAAAAGGTAAAATGGTCGCCCAGACTGGCAAGTAAAGATTCATTATTAATCCAAAGGTAGCGAGTGTGCGGCAAAAAGTAATTACGCAAGACTGGGTGTGTCTGGCTAATCATTCAGCTAGTTTTTGCTGGTTTGAAAATTGACAGTCAGATACCTAGTTTATTGACTTTTTTGGTCCGTTACATTAGAGGGGACTTCAGATTGCCCTATTAAATTAATTTGCGAAATTACCTTCACAAATCCGTTTAACTGTTGAAATGAAATTTAGAAATAACAGTATAACGGTTCCAAGAATGTAGCATTGTTAACCGGCATGTCCAAAATTGTGGTGGCATTTCCTGCCTAAACGATTGTTGATGAGTCATCGTACCGGTCAACGTCTCAGCTAAATAATAGTTAAAGTTTATAATTATACCTAGGGCGTTTTGCCGAAAATTCTCGGTTTATTTTTCAAGTCGAACTTCAAAAACAGACGTTAAAAGAACAAATTTCGTTTTCTTATTGAATGTCAAATATTTAAGGAGCCGATTTTTGGGGTGGTTTTTAGAAGAAAACTTCATATAAACGTATTTAGTAATCATTGTAATTTTGATATACATCATAGGAAGTATTTTTAAAAAATCAGTAGTATTAAAATCCCAAAAAGGTATTATCTAATCCTAAATTTAATATGACCCTTAAAAAAACTAAAATCTACTTGTTGGAGAAATTTTCCTATAAATAAATTGCGATTTTAAGAATAATTTTTTAATTTTAGCAAATCAGTGGTGTACCGCGCACCATCGATGTTTGCCATAGAATGTAGGTCAAGAACGCCACCGGCGGAAATAACAGAAAAACCTCACCATCGGTAAACCCTGCATAACAAATTTCATTAAAAAAATTAGAATAGTGTTACAGATATTATCAAAAAATTATTTATTTTTAAAAATTATCCAGTCTTGCATCACAAAAGAGAAGACTTTTTTTCTAAGTCGACTCTTTAACTAGAGGCATTCAATTACAAAATATTCTGTGTACAGCGTGTTTCTAAAAAGGGCTGAAAAAATTCTACCCTGAGTTAGTCCAGTTCAAAAGTGGTAAAAGGGGGCGAAGAGGGTCAAAAGTTCCATTTGGTTTCAATTTACAGAATCCCCATGTCGTTTTCATTTCAAAGAAGTCAAGTATAATTGTGTAAATATGGTTTATTACTCCTAAAAACTAAAACTTTAGTAAAGCATCAAAAAACTGTGATAATATCGTCTATATGCGTATGAAATACTTATAAAAAATACATATTGACTAATTAACAACCGATGATGTAATTAAGTTCCGTATTAATAAATGTTAAATGATAAGAAAGGAATCTAACGTCACATTGGCTTGGGATGTAGCCATCTCAATGACTGAATCATCGGGTTTTGCAGATGCCTTTAAGCCGTTAGTATAAATCTTTGTCTACGTTATGTCCAGACAAAGGCAGAAATCCCAAGAAAATAACGCAGCACCAAGAGTCGTTCGTTAATGACTTTGAATTGTGATTGATATTCGAAGAATGTTAACCAGGATCTGGGAACGTGACTCATGAGATTTATATGTTGGGTTCCATGTAACCAGTACATTCGTGTATATAGGTAGGAATAACTAACTACACATGACGCTCTGGCTCTAGCTCTGTTTCGAATAGTTACATTTGGATGCCCACTATCAAAAACAAATTTTTGAACACTTCAGCTACTGATTCGATTCCAATTTTGTAGAAACGATTTTTTAGCAAATTCGAAATTTTGTGGTCCTAGAGCCTATCCTAGAAATTTTGAATATTGAAGGGCTTTTCTAACCAGACCCGTGACAATTTGTCGAACTCAATATATGGAAAGACCTGTTTAAAGTAACCTTTATGCAAAATTAGGTCATATTCCAGACTGTTCGGCAACGATGGAGTAACTCGTTAATGTCCATACCTTAGATGTACATTTTCATTTTTCTAGCCTTGGCATCTCGTCAGATAACGCGTGTCTCGGTAGCGTTTTCTCAGCCTCTTAGTGTCCAACTAATCGAGCAAAAAATGACCTTGACCGACTCGCAATTACCAGTATTCCCATTTTGCATGCAAATTGCCTTTGTGTCTAGATTGTCGCAATTTTCAAGTTAAATTTCTCGGAGCGTATCTGATGACCATACCGTATTTTTCGTACTACAGTCTATTCTTTAGCAAAGGAAATAGTAGAATGAATAATGTAATTTTATTCAATTCGATTTAGTGTTAGTGGACAATCCGGTTCAATCC